GGCCCCAGTGGGTCCAGGTCATGAACTCCGTCTGGGTAGGGTTGGTGAGAAGCTGAATGCGGTAGAACTTGTTATTGTTGTTGGTTGCGCTGGTCTGGTTCAGGGTGGCATCCCAGATGGTCGACTCCGGGTCGATGTACACTTTATGAGAGCCTAAGCAAATCTGTCAGCTCTTGACACCACTCCCACCAGCAAAGTTGGATCACGAACGTCGAAGCGAGCACTCATCATCCACAGGGATGTTCAGCGCCTTTGTCCCAGCCTTCTGCGCATTCTTGAGCTTCTTAGTCGTCCCATCCTCGTTGACCCCCAGCGCCTGCTCCAGCGTGCGCTTCTTCTTGGTCTCTTCACCATCGGTCTTGGCTTTGTTGCTCGCGTTGTCCAGAAGAAAGTCCTTCTCCGCCAGTCTCTTGCCGGCCGTTTCGGAGTCGATGAGCCAATCCAGCGAGACGATGTTGCAGTACGGAACCTTGCATGCCTGCGTGTCTGGGGAGGGAAGAGTCAGTAGGGCGTCCAGACAGCAGTCACCTGCAAGATTGTGCAACGCTCCAAGCTTCCCCGCGGGGCTGTCCGTTGGGACAGCTCGGGGATGGACTCACATTTGCGACTCTGGTTGGCTACTTCTTTGGGGGTTGTGATCAGGTGGGTCAGGGTCTCAGTGATGGCCCCACTGAATTCAGCTCCCTGTTTCTCGATGATGGAGGTGAGGTCGGCTGTGAGAGTCAGTTTGTTGCCATCAGGACGATTGGAAACGAGACTGGCGTATGATCGGGGCATTCGCACCTTGTTTGTAGCCGGGGAAAGTCCCGCCTACGGCGATGACCAAGCCGTCTAGAGGTAGTTTTGTCATGGTTATGAGAGGGCAGTGAAAGGGACCTGAATGTGCAGGGGAAAGAGTGGGTGAGTGAGCTCGCCGAGCAACGGTGTTTGGCCTGGTTGCGAATACGAGGTCTTGCGGGTCACAATGTGTCTGGATAAGGGGAAGATGAGCCTGAGATCAAAGTTCATCAACACTGGAGATGGTGTGGGAATCAAAGGAGAGGATAGAGATGACAAAAGCGAAAGGATTGAAGGAGATGTACATGGTTATAAAGCGAGGGTGGAGCGATGAAGATGCTATAGGCAAAGCAGCTACTTGCCTGTTTGGTCCCCGCCGCTAAGCCGATCGCTAGCCTGAGGCCTCAGCGCCCGGCTGTTGCCTGAAGACCCTTAGCAAGTGAGGAGCGTGATTGGCCGGAGCTCGGGTGGACCGGCCAGGCACCGGTCGGGGCACGTGATGCTGCCTGTGCTGAGTGGAACTCAACGCTGCAAGGGACACCCTCGGTGGCCTGAAGCTTAAGGTCTGGGTGTGGTTGGATTGCACCTGGCATGGGGGAAGTGATGCTTGTTGTGTCTTGGCATCAGATTATCATGAGACTCCCCAACTACCTTATGCCAAAGGCAAAGCCCACGACACGGTAAAAAGAGCGCAAAAAAGAAAGTGGCGCTGCCCGGAATCGAACCGGGGCTGGCACGGCCACAACGTGACGTCATACCACTAGACCACAGCACCTTGATTATATAATGTGCCAACATCTCAGCAATCATATCCTACAGTCTAGCTTACAGGTTGAACGACAAAACAGCCAACCCACCTTATCTCGATTCCACGATAGCGACCCTTTCTTGACACTACATCAAACCAACCAACTCCCACTGCATAGACATATATGATAAGATACTCAATGTTCATTCCCAATTTTTATGCTAACCTAACCCTGCAGAATGCCAATGCAAATGCCATGACAGAAACGCTCCACGTCACTAAGAATTATCATTACATATACAATGCGGTATAATAGTGTTTGTCCTTCCCTGCGTCATCCACATGCAGCGCAACCCTTAGTGGGCGGCCCCATTCTCCCCCTCCAGCACATGGTCATCCTCATCGGGCGCATGCGACTCCTGCGCCTTCTCGTAGAACGGCGCAAACTTGCTCTTCATCCGCAATCTCCGCCCAAAGAAGTAGAAGCCCACGGGGATGGGAACCAGAATCGCAGCCACGCAGCCCAGCAGGGTCGAGGCCCACTCGATGCCCATGTTGTTGAACATCTGGCGCGAGAACAGCGGGAAGCTGGCGGCGACCATGGATCGACAGAAGGTGTTGGCGGCGATGGCGGAGGCGGCGAACATGAGGTAGGTGTCGATGAGGTAGTTGAAGAGCTGGATGAAGATGATCAGCAGCCCGAAGCCGGTGAACAGGCCACTCAGCGTGGGCACGATCCAGTGGACGCGGCCGGTGTAGCCCGCCCAGCCGAACCAGAACAGTCCCGCGGCGAAGAGGGCACCGCCGACGATGACGGGGGGCAGCCGCCATTCGGGGACGGGCACGCCGCCGTTGGCGTCCAGCCGGCGGCTGTACCCGGGCGAGCTCCAGATGATGTACCCGGCCGCGATGATGAGCCCCACCACCATGCCGAACAGCGGCAGCCCGCTGACGCCGGCCTCCATGTGGTACACCCCCTGGAAGACGAGCGTGTACGCCGTCAGGAAGCAGTACAGCAGCCCGTAGATGAAGCTGAGGTAGATGGTCACCGCCAGGATCAGGGGCTCGTTGATGAGCAGGCGCAGCGGGCGCGAGAAGTTGTTGATCACCAGTTCCCGCAGATCCACCTCGATCTCCTCCTGCTTGGCGTGGATGCCCCAGTTCTTCGTGCGGCGGCGCAGCTCCGAGGCTTTGGAGACCAGGATCACCGGCGGGTACGATTCGCGCAGGAAGAAGACGTTCAGCACAAAGGCCGCGTAGCCCATGAACGCGGGGATGTAGGCGGTCCAGCGCCAGCCGAGATAGGAGGCGTTGATGAAGCCCGAGATGAACGGCGCCAGCAGGGGGCCCAGGAACACCGTGCCAGAGAACATGGCGATGGCCACCCCGCGCGTGCGGTTGTCGTACATGTCGGAGAAAATCGCCGCCACGACCGCCAATGGGGAACTGCCGAAGATACCGCAGAAGAACCGACAGATCATGAGGGTTTGGAGATCCTTGGCGACGGCGACGGCCGTGTTGAAGATCCCGAACCCTAACATCGCGACGACGATCGGAAGTTTACGACCCTTCAACTCCGACAGCGGGGCCCAGATCAGCGGACCCGAGGCGTATCCGATGATGTACAGCGAACTCGACAGGGTGGCCACTTCGAGACCAACATGGAAGTGCTTCGCGACATTGGTGCTGGAACCGCTGAAGACGGCCGAGTCAAAGGTGGAGCAGATACTGGTAAACGCGAGGATGGCACTGATGTACACTCTAGACGGGGAGAGGGAAGGTAGTTAGCCATCCATCCTTTGGCTACCGGACAATGTACTATTAGAAGCAATGCATGAGAAGACTTACTTTCGCATCAAGGGCCAATTCTGAGGGTATAGAGGATCGGCAGGCCCATCGAATTCGACGACATAGTCTTCACGGGCGGGGAGAGGAGGAGGGTAGGGCTTGCCCCCGCCGAACGCCGGCAACGGGCCTCGAGATGGTCGCGACTTGACACTTTCTCCCACCGTCAAGGCATGCTGAAGACGTTGGGTCTCGATGCGACTCAGCGCATGGGAGGTCCCCGTGCGGAGGCGCTCGAGGTCAACTTCGGTATTTCGGGACTGGAGCCGGTGAATCTGGGGGTTATAGTCGATGGAGCTGCTCGAGCCGGACGAAGCCGAGCCGGAGGAACTCGGCCGGTCTGGATTCTCAGAAGACCTCCGCGGGTCTTCCTCTTTGGTGTGAGGGCGGGCATCGGCTTCCGCCATCTCGAGCTCTTTGTCGAAGGCAGACATACTTGATAGTTCGACTCAGAAGGGGCGGGAGATGGAGGCGAGAGGGTGAGAGGAAGAGAGGAGACACGAAGGTGGGAGTGGAATGGCCACCAGAAGCTTGATTGAAAAGTGGAAAACCTGGAAAGAGAAACAAGCTCCAGGGACCAGACGGCATAATATTGTTACAGTTAAACCCAAGGAAGAGAGAGAGAAAAAAAAAAAGGGACATTCAGCCTTTTTTTTTGCCTTGACCAGATCCATGAATCAGGCGCAGTGCACCATTCCGACTTATCCGTCCAGCTGCCCTCGCCCCACATTTAACGGCTTCCGGGAGTAGTTGGCATTGCCGAACCCAGAACCAGCACACCTCGTTGATCTCAGCTCCAGCACACACCGATAGATGGGAGGTACTAGTGGTACTAGTGAAGTTTCCAATTGACCGTTTGTTTCATCCATTGAGCAGCAGATGCAGTGAATAGAGCAGATGAAGTGATTGCGGTGATGTGATGCTTGCATCTGGTGCCTCAGGCCTCCAGGCAACAGTGGTCTGGCCCCATTGGCCGACAGCGGGACAATGCCGCCATGACGTCAGCACTGGGGGTGAGTAAGACACTCAACTGGCATGCATTGATTAGTCGTGTGGAATCGTATTCTCTCATTGTTGTCACATCCGTCATCACGAATCTTCCTGATCCTTCTTAATGATTAGTATCCCAGTCGCAACCACTTGCCGTATACCCGAGACAACTCAGGCAGAGAGAACGCTCTCTGCGTGTTGCGCATCTGTGTCTGTCTTCTCGCGCACTTGCAGACAACAGCGACCTCGAGGCCAAGTTCGGAACTTCCGAATGGCTCCAGGCTGCCACGTGAGAGGGGCCTCTGCTTGCGGCTGTCGATGGAAAATTCCTCAGAGTGGCGACCAATTCTGAAACTATCGATTCGGAATCTGCCCCGCCAGTGGGGCGGCTAGTGCTTTGTACGGAAGGCGGTAAGGGAGGGTGCCAGGTGCTGCCTGGAGATCATGGCTGCCCAATCATTCATCCCCCTTTTTCTTCCTGGTTGGGTTGTAGAATCCACTGCCATGCCAAGTCTTTTTGGCTCTCTTTTTCTTTTTCTCTTTCTTTTTCTTTCTTTTTCCGTTTTTCTGTTTTTCTTTTCTTTTCTTTCTTTTTTGGTCGTGCTGTGTTCACAGTGTTTTATCTACTCGGAGTACATCCGCCGGTCAACCTCCGCTGACAACTGTTATATCCTGCCTACAGCCAGTTCATTCATGGCATGATCATGCACAACATCTGCATGTAGGGTCTCTGCTTACTTGCTTCGTCAAGGGCTCACCGCCCAGCTTGCTCCTAAGAATAGCTCCACCGCACATCGTAGATCCTGTCTTCCGCGCAGCCATTTGCAGGACAAACCTTCGAAAATAATGCCCACGCGAAGGTGATACACTGCACACCGATACTCCGGCCAAGCCTCCGCTACTTCTCCGTCCCGGCCGAATTGCTCTTGGCCCGAATGAGCTGCCGCAGCATGCGGTTGGCCGAGCAATCCACCCCCAAGGCCTCGCCCTGCTGCACCACCCAGCCGTTGATGAACTCGATCTCGGTCGCGCGGCCCTTGCGCAGATCCTCGCGCATGCTGCTGGAGTTGCTCGCCGTCTGCTGAATGACACTGATCAGTGAGGCCTCCAGCGAGGGGAAGGCGAACTGCTGCTGCGCGTCGGGGCGGTCGCGCAGGGCGGGCAGCCGCTGGAAGACCCGCGAGACCTCCTGGAGGAGCTGGCGCTGCAGGGGCAGGACCTCGAGGTTGTCGAGGAGGGCGCCGTTGCGCACGTCCAGCACCGCCGTCAACGGGTTGATCACGCAGTTGGCGGACAGCTTGAGCAGTTGGGCCTGGAGGAGGTCCGCCCAGGGGGATTCGGTGCATTGCAGGATGGGCGACTCGGTTAGTCGATCTAGTAGGTAGCGGGTGGACGGGGATGTGCTGTTGTTGTTGTTGTTGTTGTTGTTATTGTTGCCGCCTGGGACGGTCCCCACGGTAACGGAGCCGGTCATGCCCGCCAGCACCGCGTCAAAGGGCGATCGTAGATAGACACCGAGACGCATGATGCCGGAGATGTAAGTGGGGCGGGTGTGTGGGTTGGGGAAGAGCTGGTCGTTCAGCTGCTCGATCTGTCCCAGGCCATTCTGGAGGAGACAGACGGTGGACTGGTGGTTGAGCCGGTGCTGGATCGATTGTAGAGCGGCGATGGTCGATGAAGCCTTGACGGTGACGACCAAGCATTTTATGGGGTCGGTGGATTGTTGGTGGGCGGAGTCTTGGCTCTTCCCCAGAAGCTCGACCTCGAACCCATTCTGTTCGGCTGAGGGGCCAGACTCCCCAATCTGGACGCGGAGTTTGCCCTCACGGGCTAAGAACTGATCGTGCAAGCCAGGTCGATGTAGGAGCAAGGTCACGGGCGGACGTGCGGGCAAGGAGCGTAGCGAATGAGCGATGAAGGTCCCGATGCTCCCGAGTCCAAGGATGTGGATGGGAGGAGGAGCCATACTGTTCACAGTATGTGAGAGTACGGAGTATGTGATACAGTAAGTTAACCATGTGAAGAACAAGAGAACAGCCCGGAGCCCGGAGAGGTCCAAAGCGGATAAGTTTGGTGGATTCGGCTAGCATCGGGGGAATTTTCCCCCGCCCACCAGCGCCAGCGCGGCCCGGAGCGAGCATTCCGTGCGGGGTTGAATCATTAGGTACTTTTTTATTCATTTACTATGAATATCTACTTGTGCATAGCAACCAGGCCATCCGATCACATCCGAGATACAGAAGACTACTGTGTACCTACCTACCCTGCAAGTGCAGCCAGCTTACTGCATTATCTCCTCATCTCGCCCAAGATATGCCTGCTAATACAATAGCCCCTGATTCTGATAACAATATGCTTCTGGGGCTGCAACATGTTTATCTGTTCTTATGGGATTAACTACACATGTTCAGGGACAGAATCCTTATACCAGACTTCTGTGAACCTACAAACTTATCAATGATCCATCCTCATACCGAGAGTTCTTCGTAGAAGGCTCTTCTTCGTCCATAACTAATTAGCACACACCGACTACGGTCGCACCTGTATTTCGATGACATTCTACATGAGAGAAGAAAAGGTCACTCAGTTAGAAACAAGAGAAAGGTAAGAGCTAATGATTGATTGGTCACCGAGGAACAGACCCATGCCGGAGTGATATGCCTGCAGTCATTACTAGGTAGATCGTCATAAGACAACAAGTCCTTCGTGATACCTATCAAATGATAGCACTTATCTTCTAAATATTGGGCATAATATGTGTGGAGAGGTAGTCCTCGGAGTTGATATACTCACCCTCCTCATAGCTCGAGTATGCTGATCAGCCAGAATGGAGTCCATCCCACTCCACCCCAAGGGCTCAATAGAGGACCCGATGACTGACGACAGTGATCCTCTCTTAGATCATTTTGACATACCCCACCCACATCATCTTCATATTCGAACTGCGCACTGGCTTTGGGCATTGCATCTACTGTTTTTCCTCCTCTCTTTCTCCTTGCTAATTTCAGCCTTGAGACTCAACCGATCCTCTCCTACCGACCGTAAGTGTGCAGAACAGGTATCAGCATATTGTAGGTGCATCGCCCTCTTAACAAACACTGCTAATCATAGTAACAATATATAGCCCCTTTCACACACCTCGTAGAATATGAGGATGTTCGCTTCCAAGGAAGCCTCTTCGACACAAACCCATACAAAGGGGCCCCCAACCCACACCTGGACGCGGCATGGGGCCACATCACTCACAGTATCTTCTCTTTGCGTCCGTTGTCTCCGTCTCTATACTGATGATTTCTAGTGGCGCAACTTGAGATCACAGCAGAGGACATGTCCCGGCTCAACAAACCGCTGACCCAGGTGAAAGTGGCCGAAACCGAGGGCAACGGGTATGCGGGTGGGATCGAGGTGTTCCATCAGGTTGCGCCCCCCTCAGCTTCACATCTACAAGCTCTCATGCGCATCTGTCCAGATACCGCAGACTAACACGTGGATCAGCTCCACTGCGTCAATCTAGTTCGACAGTACACGTACTACGACTACTACTCTCAGCTGGAGAACAGACCGGCAGAGTTCCACGATTCGAATGAGACGCTGCGACTGCATGTAGGTATGGCATTTCTGTCCCTTTTGCCGCTTGCTATCTAATTCTGACATACATCCAGACCACTGCATTGACATGTTGCGACAAGTGATCCAATGCAACGGCGATGTCGGGGTCGTGACGAGGAGCTGGGTCAAGGGTCGCGCCCTCAGCTACCCGGACTTCAGCGTATGGCATAAGTGCCGGAAGCTGGAGCCCATCGCGCAGTACTCGAAGGCACACGAGATTGACACAGAACCTACCAAACTTGCAGATTCTTTGGAGCTCTCTGAGCCGCCATGCACGGATGCTGCGCCTGATCAAATTTGCCCGTAGGACCGAAGATTGTCATCTTCACAGCAGATCACTCTTATTGAGCAATGTTCTCCCTGTGGCCACCTCAAAACCGAGCAAATCCAAGTAGCGATCGTTGCAATGGTAGAACATCAAAATGGATGTACGATATTGACATGTTAACGCCTTCGAAATCTGGCTGGAACGTGTTTCATATGTCTCCTGACATCCTCAGAGTAGACTACGCAACGAGTCCCCACCAGCCCACTCACTCCGACTCCACATTCACCAATTCAGCCTCGATGATAGACGGCCCATCCCCGTCCGGATGCGCCACGAGGTTGACAGAAAGGCCCACAGACTCAAGAAGCGCGACCCAACGCGCCTGCGTGCGCACAATCCCCGGCCCAAAGACCATCAGAATCATATCCACCATAGAATGTAAAAGGCCAGCATGCTCATCCGGGAGGAGGAACTCCTCGATCAAGACCTTCGAGTATCCTCTTGTCATCACCCTGGTAACATTCCCCAGGATCCTTCGGCAGTTATCATCCGAGAATTCATGCAGAATGAATCTGAGATAGTAGACCCGCGCGCCTACCAGCAGACATCAGCAGATGTACGCACAAGGCTCGGAGGTGGACAGGAGGTTAACTTACCAACGACAGGCTGCGGCTCGAAAACATCGTGCTCGACCTTCTCCAGCCCGAGATCCTGGCCATGAACGTCCTGGAACACAGCCGGAAGATCCTGGATGATGATTCGACCCGCGACGTCGGGGAACTTCCTCTGAAATGCCAACATATCCCGCCCACTGCCGGCGGCGACATCCACAATCAGCGGGTCGCTGGCGCTGGCGACGCATCCGTCCAGGATCCTCGCTTTCACAGGGAACCAGTCCACCCAGTCCGGCTGGCCCTCGCGCACACCCTCCACATAGGCGTGGAACCGTGCATGCGCGGTCTTGTCAGTGGCGAGCCATTCGAAGCTGTTCATCGGCGTGTGGTACGTGTACTGGATCGGGCCAGCGGAATGGTCCTCCGGGTTCTGGTAGTGCGTGTCGCGGAGGAAGGCCGGGGTTTGGAGGATGGCTGGGGCCAGAACAAGGAAGCTGGGTGGGACAGGGTTAGTGCAGACACGATGGTGGAGGACGCCATGGCGTACAGCGTGTCCACGATCCCAGATTTCTTGCCCGTCATCTCCTTCGAGAGTAGGGTCGCACGGTACTGTCCGGGTCCCTGCTCGTTCGCAAAGCCCATTGCCACGATAACTCGCATGACACGTTCTGTGAACACGCTCAGCAGACTTGACTGGAACGAGGGATGGGGTCACGAGCCACGCGTGTAGGTGACAGAAGATGGACATGGTAGGGATGATGACGGACCGACCAGCAGCGGGTGCGCACCACTCCGATCTGCCAAATCCTGGCAAGAGATGGCCGTCTCGGAGCCTGTCAGAATCGAGAAGATACCGAGGTCATGCGCGACTTTGACGGCCATCGCTTGGGTGGGCTGGGAGTTCTTTCTCAGCTTTGGGCTATGGTAAGCTGTAGGTGTAGTACTCACCGACAGAAAGAGCTTGAAAACCGCATCTTTGGGGCTTTCAAGAGCTCTTGTCAGTTTTACCGCTTGCTCGAGAGCCTGATTTCGTGCTAGATTCGAACGCGTAGCCTCATAAGTTGCAAGGGAGGCTTTAATCTCCTCAAGAAGTGAGTGAAGAGTTTCAAAATCTGGCCGTTCCATTGTAAATAGTACCAGTCAACAGATTGTTAGATTCAAGGTACGTGTCCTGCGAAAGATGAGCAGGATGGAAGGTTCATGACTGTAGTTCAAGGGATGATGAGGTTTACAGTGGATACGATTTATGTTCGTACTAATGAACGCTGATGTCTACGATTGGTGCTCGAGTGTAGCCGAAGAATAGTAGTTATAGAGAGGTCTGGCTAAGATGAAGGTCATAGCATCTAAATTTACATGGACTTTGTTGAAGACTGACAGGCAATCAACTGATGCTAGGAGAATGCTACCGTGACACGTTGTCATAGTCATAGTCAATCAGCTCTTTCCAGTCCTGCCAGTGACATCAAATATGCGCCCACCAAATTTTTTCCCCAATCCGCGCCATGGCCGATTCCACCTCAGCACCCATGTGGCTCACTCTATGTCCGTCAGCATCAAACCTGAATTCCACCCGGGCTGCAGACATGGCCCCAGCTATAGTAATAACCAGAACCCAAGAGTTACCACGAACATGGTACATCTCCAGCGACAGCGGCTTGGGGAAATAATCCCCTGGTTCAACCAGAAATGCACAGAGCTTTGCACCTGTCCCATTCTCGTAAAAAGTTCCACCTGCCGTTTCACTACAATCACTCGATATGGTCAGGTTGGGGTACGCCGCATGTACGTATACCCCCTCATACGCAGAAAGATTGAGCGGGTAGGGTTGGGGCGGATCCGGGAGAACTGGATATAATCGACGAAAAGTGTCGTTGGTGAGCGTGTCGGCTGCTAACCGTTCATCGGCTCTAATCAATCAAGAGCATGGAGAAAAGACAGTTAGTCATGCCACGTTACACAATCATAAGGGTGGTCAGTCACAGACCTTCTTCGCCAATCGAAGCGTTCATCTCTGGGGGTATCGAGGACATCATCTATGATATCAAAAGCAATGATATCGGCAGCTGCATTGGTCCCACGCATGTTGTTGCCCATGATCACGACTCCCAGTTTGCGCTTCGGTAGAAGGACCACTAGAGACCCGAACCCGTACTGGGATCCAGCGTGCTGGATCACGGTTTCACCGCGGTACGTCTGTGCCACCCAGCCCATCCCGAATAGCGTCGGTGATACAAATGGCGGGACTGGTTCCCTGGCAGCGATGCTGTGAGCACCGAAGAGAGTGCGGTAGGCCGCTTCAGACAACGGGGGCCCCCTGCGTAGGAGAGTCGAAATCCATTTGGCGTAATCCGCAACGGAAGAGAGGATATTCCCTGCGCCACGCGAATTTCTCATACTAACATGCTGGGTTGACACCAGCTTGCCGTTAATATCAAGGTAATAACCCTGCGAAATGTTCCTTCCTGCGCGCTGGGCATCGGTCAACGAAAGATAGGTTTCCGACATGTTCAGCGGGGCCCAGATCCTTTCAGTCAAGAACGACGGCAACGAGTGACCGGACACGGACTCGATCATGTGAGCGGCGGTGATATACATGAGATTGCTGTATTGGAACTTGGTGCGAATTTCCGCTGTCAGTGGCAGGTACCGGATCCTCTGGACAATCTCTTGCTGAGTCAGATTGGTCAGCAGCAGCCAGTCATGGCGTGGTAGACCTGAGCGATGAGAGAGCATATCTGTCACGGTGACATGGGCTGTATACCAGGGGTCGATCATGGTGAAGTCTTCCGGGATGATGGAATGAACGGGAGTGGTCCACTGGATGTTGGGATAATGATGGTTATCGTCCACCAGAAGCGAAACTGCAGCAGCGGTGAAGGCTTTGGTGGTGCTTCCACCGAAGAATAGCGTGTGTTCGGACACTGCTTGCGAAGTCTCGATGTCAGACAATCCGTAGCCCTATGGATGTTCAGTCAAGGTTAAGTGTCGATGGTGTTGGCAAGTACACACACTCGCCAAGATCTCGTCATCTTGCACAACAGAAATGGCGAGTCCCGGGATACTAAAGTGCTCTAGGAGCTGCTCTATCTTCCGGTTGAATTTTTCACTGAATGGTCTCTGGTCATTTTGCTTTCGTTGCACTCGGAGCAAGTGTGAGCCTAAGAGAATCAACAAAACAAACAAGGAGAGAAGCATGTTTAAGAGAATCTGCAGCTGCGCTGTTTTTAGAGGTGAGGCCTTATCTGATGTTGAGTTAGACCGATGCTCAAGTGAAGGGTTGATGAGATTGATGTAATCTTTGAAGTATGTCCATTGCGTCAGGCAGTCAAAACAAGGATACTTTCAAGTGCCTGAGTAATTTAATTGTAAGATAAACTGACCTTGTGGATGTAGCAATCTATGTGCTCACGACCCAGCATTACTGCCAACGGCCAATCACCTCTAAGAGGATCACATCAAATTAATCCTTGCTAGAGTGATACAGAGCTAGATAGGTCGTTTGCTACCCACGAAGTTTACGACTGTAAGATTATTCACATGCAATATATCCGTACCTGTTGAATGATCTGTCGTTAGAGGATTGGTTGCCTACCACATTATCATCGCCTGTTCTTTGCAGTACACGACCGAAGAATACCTCATCTTTCAAACACAATCATACATAAGAACACCGACAGACTATTGACTCCTTGGGATGAAATAATCCCCAAATAGTCCCATGACTAGTAATCATGGAAACTTCATTTCCTTCACCAGTGTCCCTGCTTTGCATCCCATGGGCTCGCAGCCATCCCACCGCGTCTGCAGCTTGTTTTAGTCATACTTAGAACTTATGTCCACAGCCCGGTCATAGTTGGCGGTGACCTCCACAGCCCGGTCGTAGTTCGCAGTCGTATCCACGGCACGATCATAGTTGGCAGTCATATCCACAGCACGGTCATAAATCGATGAGACATCCACAGCACGATCGTAGTTAGACGTCACATCCACAGAGCGGGCAGCCCTATTCCCCAGGTCGACAAAATTACCCGCATGCACAAAGGTAGGGGGTTGGAAGGAGTAGTGTACATACCGATCCGCAGGTGCAGCATGGCTCGCTGTGAACAAGATCGAGATAAACATCAAGCCTGTGCTGCAGAGCTTCATTTTGGGATGATCGTAGGCAGATGTATTTCAATTTTAGAAAGTCACGTCAAGTCAAGACAGGAGCATTGATCACTAGGAATCTTTGTGCTGTTGAGTCTAAGCAAACCTTTTGGTAGAAGGATGTCTTTATATCTTACCCTGCAAGTTATGATTAAGCTTTGGCCCAAACCCTCTCTGCTCGTATAGAAGTATACTTTTTGTGCTAATTTGTATGACTCTGGCTATTGCTGAATTATGACGCACAGAGGACTATCAATAGTACTACCAACCTATCCTTACGCATCCACGCCGGCCAATGGTCCACAGAAGCGTCCCTCAGGGTCCCTTCTTTGTCGTACTTGAGTCAATCTTTCGAACTCCTTGTCGGCCCAGCATTTAACAACCCGAGCTTGAAAGTCGGCTTCGCCGGAGAAAGAGCCGACACGAAATGGCTCCAGCTTTTCTGCTGTGTCTTGGATCCACGAACGGCACCTTTCATCATCGCTTTCGCTCTCGTAAATGGCGTATGTACCAACGTAGTGATCCGATTGCAGACTGAAAGCCATGTCTGACAATCGACGACGACTCTGCGGGGCCAGCGGATACCAAAGCACAACAAACCGCCTGTCTGGCAGTGACAGACAGATCTGCTCCAGCACAGCAGCCAAATCTGCCTCGTTCTCGATGAAGGCATTATCCACCACCCAGCGACGATCTCCCGGGTAAGCGCTAACTTCGTTCGCGTATTCCTGCTCGAGGCTATCCTCTCGACAGAACCACTCTTGAATTGTGCCCTCCGGACGGGTTTGTTGTGCGGGCAGCAAGGCGCTCCAAGCCGCGTCCACACTGTCCTTCATTGTGATAAAGTACACTGTAAAGCAGGTCTCGTCGATACCGTCAGGATATCGGCAGACGGCCACGATTTCCGTGTCTTTGTCAAAAGCAGGTGTGAGAGCAAGGATCCAATTAAAGGCCTCTGTATACCTATTTTTGGGATATATGTACCCGGACGAACGGAAGACCATGGGTGCAGGGAGAAGCTGCACAAGAAACCGGGTGGCAATGCCGGGGAAATCTGGTGCATCCTTATCAGGTCTGAGCTAGTTGGAAACTCTGCAATCAGAAACACTTACAAGGCCCAGCTCCCCGCGCAGCCCAGAACAAGTCCCTGTTCTCTTCCGCAGAGCAACGGACCAGACTCCCATCTGCCGTGACCACATCAACAGCCCTGACCCTCTCACAAGCCCAACCCCAGTTCTAGGCCTCGTCAGGCATAAGCCCTCATTAAACAATTGGTAGAGGAGATTGAAAGACCTACCCTGCAATTCCAGGATAGCCCTCCCTGGAGCAAGTAACCCCCGATTCCAACACCGGGGTGATGACCCGCACCCAGCATCAGTCCATGGTCCTTCATCAACTGCAAGTCTATGTCACTTTTCATCCCAGAAGATATCCAGGCTTCTTTTCTTTCTGCATCAACCTCGACTTCACGGTAGTCGCCAAGGTCGATCAGGAGAGAATTCTCGCGAAGGCTCCAAGCCGGGAATGAGTGACCGCCAGAGCGGACAGTGATCTGCAGGTTCGAATTGCGCACTAGCTGAACTGCTTCGATGATGTCGGACTCTGTTCTAGCACGCACAATAGCCGCTGGATGCTGGTCAGGGCGGCGAGAGTTGAAGACCCGTGCCAAACAGGCCCCCTCGTACAGCGCGGCGGAACAAGTGTCCCGCCAGATGATATCCATGGCTGGTTCGGTAGTAGAGATGATGTCTCTAGTTAGACAAAAGCATTCGAGGCCGGTATATATACCAAGAGCCGTAACTCAAAGACTCGTTACGCAGGCGTACTGTACATGGAACTGATTAGAAACACCAGAGCTCATGTGAATGGTCCACATATACGGTTTCTCGGCTACCATAATCCTTGATTACACGTCTTTTAAGCAGTTCAAGATTACGACATCCTTGCAGGATTGAAATCACTCTTCAGTCTCTTTCATAGTAATCTAGTCATCATGTGCTTCACTATCTCAGAGAGTAGAAGGCCTGTCCCTCGAATAGTTTCCGCGCCGTCCGCATCACCGATGCACTCTCAATGCAGTCGGATCCGTCCGCCTTCCGCGATGAAACAGTCTCGACCTTCACCGTGCCTCGAGGGTGGGCAATGCGCCAGGTTCGGGAGGTGGAAGACGTGTAGAAGGAGGTACGAAGTCCATTGCCCCCCTTGGCTGTTGTATCAGCGGCAAGCACAGTCCCCGGCACACTCAGCGCGGCCGCCAATGCGACTGCACCCGTGAGTTGAATCGTCGGATGCAAGTCGCCCAAACTATAAGCCGTCACCGTCGCATCTATGGAGGCACTTGCAGCTGTAGCTGATGCTACCACTGCGATCTTAGGAACTGTCCTCTGGCGGGCCGCCGCGTCCCAGCTGGTCGCCAGCCCAAGACGAAGGGAGCCAGCCCGACGCAGCGTTTCCACCGTGAGGCGAGCCGCGTCGCTGAACAGCGAATCCTGCTGTTCCTGGTGGTATTGCGCGGGCATGTCGGCCGCTGCCACCAGCACAAACGGATTACCACAGTCGATCAACGTGGCCCGGACGCGGAGGAGCTGGCCCGTCCAGCCACAGGGAATCTCCAGCAAGGTGGTGCGTTCTTCGCTACTGCTACTGCTGCTCTCCTTCTTGGGAAACAGTGCCCCCGTCATTTGACCACCCGGCTGCACCATGGTCACCTTGATCGCGTCCCAGGTTGAGAGAGAGATGGAAGGTGAGTTCGGGTGCTGGTGGTGGTAGTGTGGATTGGGCATGGTGAGACGAAAGACTTGGCCGGTATTGGTATCGAGGACCTGGATATTGATCTGGGAAACAAGATGGGTGAGAAGTCAAGCGCTGTTTGTAAGGACTCACAACATACCATTGGGTCGATCTTATCATCTTCCTTATCCACTGCTACTGATGATAAGGAAGATGACCACCCCGATGAAGGAGCGAGCAGATTCTGATCCCACGCAAACGGTCCCACGCCAGCCATCATATTCCCACACGTCCCTGAGCGGTCCACTCGACCAGCTTTGAAATCCACCTGGACGAAGCTGTACTCCAAGTCGATGCCGGGCCGAGAGACCCGCCCCACGATGGCCACTTTGGACGTCGTGGACGTGCCCCCGCCAAGGCCGTCGGTCTGTGGCGCACTCTCCCCAGAGTGAGCCCCCTTCGAGCCCATGAGAGCGAGGAGAATGGGTTCCCACTTCGATTCATCCGCGGGGAGATGCTCGCGATGCAGAAATAATCCCTTGGACGTCCCAGATCGCATCCAAACGGCCGGAATGGCGCCTTCCTGCGTCAATCTTTGGGTTGGGGGCAACATCGGGAAGAGCGCAGGTAGCAGGAGAACAGAATGAGTGAATGAGAACAAGAGAAGAAGATGAAAACGATGCACAATGGGGTTTCTTTTGTTGATCACGAACCAGACGAAAAGTCTTGCTCTGCTTGCCCTTTCCCTCTCCCCATATCCCGATCCCAGATATATACGGGCCCCGGTGCAGGCACACAAGATGATTAACATCCCATCCCTCCCTTGTTCAGCTGGAAGAACATTGCTCACCCTCTGTCGGCAGCCCGCCTCAGCTCGAATTGAAATTGGCAGCGGCAACTCCGCGTCAAGACGGGCCAGCCAGCACGTTGCTGCATCCACCCAGCCAATTCGCCGGTTATGTGAATGCGGAAAACAACTTGACGCTGCTTTCGTGGAGGCGACCATTGCAAACCTGCATTGAAGTTGTTCCCGTCCGGAAGAATGGAAGTAAAGGTGAATAGAGGAGGGGGGAGGGAGAGAGAGAAAGAGAGAGAGAGCGAGAGGTGGGCGTTTCTTGCCTTATACATAGTCACGTGCAGTCTTCGGTTTGATTTCCAACGCGCCTGGGAGATTTTATTTGCCAACCTAGATACAGTTTTCGGGGAATTGAGGATCGATCATGAAGAGCCAATCAGCCCTATAAGCACGACTTGCCATGCTCATGGCCAGGCCGTGCCAAGCATGTATGTGCTTAGGCAACCACAATATACCTCTCTGCAGTAGGTGAATACAAGCGAGATAGATCGTTCAATTCCCAATGCAGCCTTTGTAATTTCCGGAGGAGCATGAGCAAACATTCATAAGCAGCAAGATGGTACGCACGGCAGCTTCTAGGCCCTGCTCATGCTCCATCACTCGCCGTCTTCCTGTCAGTCCATGCATCCCAGCATGGACCTGAAACACAGTCTCTCGACCAGGTGATCCTTCCAGCTGAAAGAATGTGTTTGCCGTTTTCTCGGAGTTCATAGTGATGAATGAATATGCAAACCACTGCTGCAGCAGAACCCAGGACAGCAGTTTATAGGGTTCAACACCGTGGGTGTAAATAGGCCCTTCCCGCGGGCCGGATTCCACCACTCTACTCTCATGCTCCTCAATTCGCCGCCGTGGGACAAAGCTACTGTTTCATCTAGTTTCGTAAACAAATGCCCCGTATAAATTGTTTCAAGCTTCTTTCAAGCACATACGACCACAGGGTGTGGAAAACAGGGCTTCCCGTCCGCTCAGCCGTACTTAAGCCACACGCCGGGAGGTTAGTAGTTGGGTGGGTGACCACCAGCGAATCCCTTCTGTTGTATGTTTTTGCTTTTGCTTTCTACATACACTGCATGGACAGACAGAAGAAGCCCTATCGTATCAGGTTGAAGATTGATGAATGACAATGGCGTGGACTTCGTGAATTCTCAACCCTTGGAGCAAGTTCAATCCAGGGCAGCGCACTGCAGCGCATCGCAGCGCCTCGGAGATAAACCAAGGGTATGTAAACGATCCAGGAAAACTGTCACATGTTCACAACCATACCATTAAGCATTACAGTATACAGACATCTATCATAAAAACCAGATTCACAAAATCCAGATACACCAACTGAGCGTCAAGCCTCACCGTGCACACATCAGCCGAAACCAGCAGCCATCGAACCACTCCCAAAAATTCAAACCCACCCTAGAACATCGGCATCTTAACCTCCGTATTCCAATCCACATTCTCCGGTCGGCACTCGATCCGCTCGCGGCAGGTCCCGAACAACCGATCCCACAGCCGAGTCTGCTTGCCGTAGTTCGAACTCTGCTTCCAGCCCTTGCGGTGGTGGAGATCATGGTCCTCGATGACCAGCTCGGTCCCCGTGAGCCTCAGCAGCCAGCCCAAGGTCGAGGGCGGGGTCGTCCAGACGCGCAGCCCGCTGTGTCCCGCCAACTCGGCGAACATGACATACTGATGGCAGATCCACCACTCATAGAACCCCATGGGGAGCCCCATCAGCTTGAGCGAGAAGTACGCCAGCAGCGGGATGCCCGCGATGTCGAAGATCTCCTGCTCCGTGTCGGCGTAGAGCGACAGCAGCGGGTTCGGGTGCTTGGTGAGGTGGTGCGTGCGGTGGTACTTCCAGAGCCCCTCGAAGTCGTGCATCACGCGGTGGTACCAGTAGAACCAGAAGTCGAGGACGATGCCGTACAGCCCGATCTCCAGGATGAGCCAGGCCCAGCTGATCTGCGACGGGGGCTGACTGGGCCGGTAGCTGAAGAAGACGGTCATGACCGGCCGGAAGGTCGAGGTGGACATGAGCGACTGCACGACTTTGCTGATCCCCACGTCGGGCACCCCGTCGCGCGCGTGCTGGTCGCCGTCGAAGAAGCCGACCTTGTGGCCTAGCCGGCGGAGGACGTGCAGTTCGTGGATGGCAATCAGCTTGAAGGCGAGACTGTAGAATAAGAAGGCGGCGATGAGGCCCATGGGCCGGCCGGTGTAGGAGACATACAGCTGGTGGACGAGGAGGGGAAGCACCGAGTGCCAGAGGATCCAGCGGTGCAGCGAGAATTCGCCGATGTAGGGCATCTTGTCCTCCTTGGAGTGGATGGGGACGTCCTGGTCCAGGTTGATGTGGTGGATGCCAAGCATCTCGACCATCCAGTGAGGGAATCTCCACTGGTCGCGGTCCAGCTGGCGCCAGGTGGACTTCATCGAGTCCTTAGGATTTGGATGTGTGCTGCTCATAGTGGTGTTGATGTTCTGGTTGTTGATGAAGTTCTCGAGAGTGATGAGGGGTGCCTGGGGTCGGCTGATGGCTTGGTCTGGTGGCGGCCATGGCGGATGGCTGGAGGGGCAACTATATAGGTAGGGTTCATCCTTGCCGCCCACCACAGCGAAGAGGCAAAGTCTTCAGTTTCCCTTGACAAACTCGGCTGTTCAGCATGTGACAAACGGCGTTTGGGTTCATGTGGTGGCAGAGGAGGGTTCGGCTGGCGGCTTGATGAGGGGACAATCACCGCGGCTCTGCAGATCCCTTCGAACCGGAGGGCCGTTGTTGGCCACGGCGGCTCAACAGACAATTAGGCTGTTAGAGACTCCGGGGGCACGTGCTGTAAGGTTTGCAGATTTTCTTTCGTTGGGGACGGATGATACCTCGGTGGTTGAGAAGAGATGATGTAGGGTGTCTCTTTGAGCTTGTAGGCCGCAGTCTTCTTCATCTAGGTCATGCTTCAGTCCCAGAGGTATAATTGTGATATATTGTCATTGATGATCTCTGATGATCTCTCATGTTATTCTTCTACCCAAGTATACGCAGGTACTGTCCATACACAACAACTATACTGTACTTCTGTGGTTGGGAGTAAGGGTTCCCCCCGACCTAGGAAGTGTCACCATTCACCAACACTCTGAATTTTGATTGATGCCTAAATATCTTCAGGACAGCCATAAGTAGATGTATGGACCTAACAGATGGAAGCAGGTAGCACATGATGAAAACGCATGAACAAGCTCACTGGGCAGGCTGAAGCCAAGACTGAAAAAGGCAATGCAGGGCTTCTCGCAACCATTACCCTTTTGGGCGATGGTGCAGAGCAAAAGGTGTTTGTTTAGTCATCATTCCCCCCTCTGTCTCCCTCCCCAACCCTACATTGACTCAAAAATTGCCAGTCTCGATTTCCTGGCAAGCCAGGAGGGCGATTTGTCCTGGCTTTATATACTGAACCTGTCCAAGAACATGGGCTGACTGAAGGATTTGCGGGGTTGATCCCACTGGGTCCACCTGGTGCCTTGTTTTTCCCCAACAATTAATTTCCTTCAGGGCGCTTGCATCGGAACTACGCGGCAAGTCCATATATCACAATCAATCACACAAAACCGATTATTTGTACTGTGTATAGAGTAGAGCGTCTTTCGATGATACATCAGTGGATTTCTGGCAAGCATTGACTTTGTGCAGAGGGGTACCAACACGAGCAGCAGTTCGCAGTGTTTCTATTTATGAGTTAATGTTTCGGGAGGTCCCAGAGCTCCAAACCACCCAATTTTGCGCCCGCCCGATATTTGCGATCTCCAGCCCTCAATCCCCACTTCGCTTGTGATCGCGACCGTCCGGTGGTTTCAGCCTAAGCCACCGTGCCTGTTGATCACAAACCTCAGATTCTTCTTGTCGGTCCGTGGATTTCAGTCCCCACGCGAAAAGGGGCGCACGGAGTACAGTTCCTGATCTTGCTCTTATGCTCCGAGGCCAGAGCGCATTCCCCACAACCTTCAGGGCTATGATGCACGACCCTGCGATCCCGAGTCAATCGGATGGTCCAGCCAGCAGGAACGGTCTCAATATGGGCCGGATCGCGATTCTCGGTGCCAGGATGCCCTCGTCGGAGAGAAACTAATTCCTAATCCCTGGCAGAATTTCCACTTGGCGCTCGCTTGCAGCTCAGCTTCTGGAGATACGGGTATGGGGCTCTTTAAGAATGCACCATTCAGAATCCAATCAACCGTATAGATCGATCGCTTTTCCAGCTTGACTGATCCACAATGTAGCTTAGATTCTGGGCAGCCACGATCCTGATTCCTCGGTCTTGCCATACTTGAGAAGTCCCCGTGCTGGTCGAGCATGGCTCATAAACGCCTGCTGCAGCTCTCCTTCCGCAGTCTCCCTGCTCAACCGACACTCTTTTTGCTTTTGCTTCCGATACCCTGTTCTATCCTTAGTCCACTCCTTGATCCTTAACCTTTCTGGCTTTTCTGGCACCCACACTCCTTTACAGTCCCGATGATAGGTCACGTCTTCCTTGCGTCGCTCGCTTTACAATGGCTGGTCCCGGGGACCGCTGCTTCGCCCACTGGCCACCAGGAGCGCGGCCTCTTCGATACTGAATTTGACTACGTGGTCGTCGGCGGCGGCACGGGAGGCAATGTCATCGCCACGCGTCTGGCACAGCAGAAATTCAAGGTCGCCTTGGTGGAGGCCGGAGGCCTTTACGAGCTGGAATCGGTGGCCGCCGTGCCCGCAGCCGATGTGCTCCCTGTCGGCTCCGACCCCAAGACCGTCGCCCTCCACGACTGGGGGTTTGTCGCGGAGAACCAGCCCGGCGCCAACGGACGGTCGATCCACTACGCTCGGGGGAAGTGCTTGGGTGGATCGTATGTGATGCGCTGGTATTCAATGTGCGGATGCACTTGTGCTGACAGATAATGTGGCAGGTCGGCGATGAACTTCATGATTTATCAACGGTTGGTCCCAGTGCAACTCGGATGATAACCTTGGAGACCATGTAACTGACCGATGCGGGATTACCAGGCCGACGCGCGAATCCATGCACGAATGGGCCACTACCGTCAACGACAGCAGCTATGAGTTCGACCAAGTGCTGCCCTACTACAAGCGCAGCGTGGCCTTCACGCCCCCCAACACCGAGCTTCGGTTCAAGAATGCCACGACCGAGTATCACAGCAGTGCGTTCGAATCGAGCGGAGGACCGCTGCAGGTGTCCTACGCGAACTACGCGATGCCGTTCTCGACTTGGATGGACCTTGGCATGCAGGCCATCGGTATCAACCAGACCCAGGACTTCAACACCGGCTCTCTCATGGGCGGGCAGTACTGCTCCTCGACCATCAACCCCAAGGATGAGACGCGGAGTAGCTCCCAGTCGTCCTTCTTGACCTCCATCAAACCCTCCACGTTGACCACGTACTCGAACACGCTCGCCAAGAAGATCATCTTCGACAGCAACAAGAAGGCCACCGGTGTGCAGGTCAAGGGCGCGCTGGGAATCATCTCCACCATCAAAGCGAAGAAAGAAGTGATTGTGTCGGCTGGTGCCTTCCAATCCCCTCAGCTTCTGATGGTTTCGGGCGTAGGACCGCAGGAGATTCTGGAGCAGCACAACATTGCGGTCGTCGCGAACCGTCCCGGTGTTGGCCAGAACATGTGGGACCACCCTTTCTTTGCGCCCTCGTACCGTGTCAAGGTGCAGACCTTCACAGCTATCGCCTTGAATCTGCTGGAACTGGTCGGCCAATTCCTTAACATAGTCACCACAAGATCAGGCCCCCTGACCAACCCCATCGCCGACTACCTCGCCTGGGAGAAGATCCCCGCCAGTTTGCGCTCGGCCTTCAGCCAGCAGACCGAGAAGGATCTCGCTACCTTCCCCAGTGACTGGCCCGAAGCAGAGGTAGGGCTTGTTCCTGTCCCAAATCGAAGTCTTCAAGCCGATGCTAACCTAAACCCAACCAGTATATCTCCGGCGCCGGGTATATCGGCAACCTCTCCAACCTCCTGACGACGCAGCCTCGCGATGGCTACCAGTACGCCTCCATGCTGGGCGTGCTCATCACCCCGACCTCGCGCGGCAATGTGACGCTCAAGTCCGCCGACACCTCGGACCTCCCCATCATCAATCCGAACTGGCTGGACACGCAGGCCGACCAGGAGGTGGCGGTGGCGATGTTCAAGCGCATCCGTGCGGCCTTCCAGAGCCAGGCGATGGCGCCCGTGGTGATCGGCCAGGAGTACAACCCGGGCGTGCAGACGCAGACGGAAGCGGAGATCCTCGAGTTCATTAAGAACAACGTCATGACGCTGTGGCACGCCGCGTGTACGTGCAAGATGGGGCTGGCGAGCGACGCGATGGCGGTCGTGGACCACGAGGCGCGCGTGTACGGCGTTCAGGGCGTGCGGGTTGTCGATGCCAGCGCTTTCCCGTTCTTGCCCCCGGGCCATCCCCAGTCCACCGTTTGTGAGTCTTCCCTACCTTGGAGAACCTTTTCATCTTTGGTCCATCTACAGAATGGGTTACTGACCATGGGAAATAGACATGCTGGCGGAGAAGATCGCCCAGGCCATCATCGACGGCTCGACCTAATCGGGACTTATAGCACAGCGCTAATCTCGCTCGCAGATCTACTTTTCTTAATCTAAGCTGAAAGACCTTAGTTGGTTAACCTTCATTGTGAATATGTTAGTGATATAGTACAGTACAAATATATCCTCGCTTCAGACCAAATCCTCATCATACCGTCCGAGCCTTTGCTTGCAGCGTAATACCTGCATGTATGCATGCAGAGCACACCTTACCAAGAATCCCCCACTCCTACCACCTACTCATGCGGCCCCTCCCGCCTCTCCCTTTCCTGCTGCCCCTCCAACATATCACTATCGAGCCGTGGATCCAGCTTGTTCAAGACCTTGTTGCCATGCGGCTTGGTCGTCGACGCGGCCGAGCTGTGGGCCCCCGGCCCGGAGAAGGAGGGCTGGGTGGCTGCCTCCTCGGACTGGGTGTTGTGTTCGTCGAGGGGCTCGACGTTCTTTGCGGATTGGAAGTCGCGGTTTGTGAGCTGGGAGGGCATTTTTTTTTGTTCGTTGTGTGCTTGAATTCCAAGGCGGTTGGCTATGATGTTTTTTTAGAGGCTGTAAGATGATTGTGTGGGTGGAGATGGATTGGATGCTTCTGGTTTTCTGGCTGGCTGGTCTGTGATGTTTGGGTAGGGTTTATATGCGATATTGTGGAAGGGTGGATGGGGATGTTGTGTCATGGGAGGGTAATTGTTATCCTTCGGAGTAGACCGGAGCCAGTGGGCTGGAATAAGTGCCAGGTGGGGTAGGAGATAGGACTTGAAAGCTTAGTTATGGGATGACAGGCGTATGGATTCTGTCTGATTGTGGATGTGGTGGTGGGATGGATAACTAGAGGGGTTGACGTCAATCGGTCAATCTTGATGTCAATGTGGTATGGGGGTTGCGTGTGCTGGGGGTATACTATCTTCACGTATACTTCTGACCATCTAGTAGAACTATGGATGAATAAACTAATCCTGGAATGATATTGACTATGTATAAGTAGATCAAAGTCAGTAGTCTTGCGCATCATTATATGTGTTTGGAATATAAGGTTTAGTTGTGGTTGCACACGGGTTGTGCACATAGGTGCGGTATGGTGTCTTATCGATAACCGGGCAAAAAGCACACAAACCTTGGTAACCAAAGGAACAAAAAACGGGTAACAGAAGGCCGGGGAGAAAAACAGCAAAAAGATGGAGCTGCGGGGAATCGAACCCCGGACCTCTCCCATGCTAAGGGAATATTATACCACTAAACCACAGCCCCAACTGTTGGAAGATGATGCAATTTTTGACATTATACCCTTAATACACATGGCACACAACAATGAGAATGACCGCTCTCGACATCATTGTCATTATATGCATTTGATGGTGGAAAGAGGATCATATATTATGGTATATTATTGGTGTATATCTGGATTGTCATAAATTAGTCTTCCCTTTTTTCTTTTGTGCGTTCGATTGTCTGTGGGAAGTTAGGGTGCTCATAAGTGGATAATGGTCCATCTGTATATATAAAGGTGAATCTCTTCACCGAGAATTATGAATCACCGTCGAATAAAAACAAACAACAACCGGGTTTAATTGAGTCATTCCCGACCCAAGAACAGAACAAGCTACGCCAGATCACAAGGAAGCGCCCCAATGAACTTATTCCAACAAGCTACCAATGCGTATAAGCTACTAAAAATACGAAGGGAAAAAAATGCATACGCTGAGAGCAACACCAGATCAATCCCACAATCATTGTCCTCCCTGCTGCTGCTGCTGTTGACCCTGTTGACCCTGCTGCTGCTGCGACGAGGAATCCCCCTCCCCCTCCCCCTGCCCCTGCGACTGCGCCTGTGTTGTCGTCGACGCCGCATCAGCAGACGTGGTCCCCACCGAAGCAGCCGTAGACGTTGCCCCCGCCATAGAAGAGGTAGTCGTCGCCGTCGTCGACGCGCCCGACGAAGTCTGATACACCTTGAAACTATTAAACTCCCAGTAGGCATTGGTAAAGTTGGCCCCGTTCTCGGCCGCCCACTGCGTGCACGTATCCGGACACCCATAGAGGTCGGTGTAATAGGTCGACGCCCCCGCGAGATCCCCACAGACATCGATGTTCACAATGATGCTCTGGTTCGTGAAGTGCGAGCTGATGTCGCAGTTCGTGCTGGGGAAATCCGCCAGCGCCTCGCCCCAGGTGGACGGGTCGGGGCTGCTGCTGGAGTTCGAGATGTCGTCGGGGATCTCGTCGCGCGCCCACATCCACACGCGGATGCCGGCGTCGCGGAGTTCCATCGCGTAGACCTGCCACAGCCGTTAAGATGTGTATATCATGTGGTTAGGGTAGGGGTTGTGCTCACCCCACCCCCGTTCTCGTTGAATGCCTGCCCGTACGTCGCTTTCCCGCCGGTCACGCCACACCCCGCGTTGTCGTTCGCCGTGTTCAAGCAGTTGGTGTACGTCGGGGAGCCGGTTTCCTTGCGCTTGACGTTCATCTTGCACCCGCTGGTCGTGTGCAGGGTCATTGCGTTGCCGTGCGTGCCCTTGTTGTTGGACTCGAGCACGTCGATCTCGCCGTGTTCCGGCCAGTTGTTCGGGTCCGTCAGCCAAAGCGCCGGCCAGGTCGCGCAGCCGTACGGGGTGTGCACGATGTCGAAGATGAAGAGTCCGTTCTCGTACGTCTCCTTCGAGGTCACGCGCACTGACCGGCGACCGCTGGTTTGGTTCGAGGTGCTGGTGTCGACCCTCAGCACGGCGCGGGAGCTGGAGGCGTAGGTCAGGTTGAGCTCTGAGGCTGTCGAGGAGTCCACATATCTAGATTCTCCGAGTCAGTGACAAGGTACTGTGTAGAATGGATGTAGGTGCTCACTGAACAAACCCATCCGTCGGGTCGGTGGCGGTATAATAGTCAAACTCGTCGAAAAAGGAAGACCCCGAGTATTCGCGAGACAGGGTGTAGCTCAGGGCGGAGTAGTCGGGATACGAGGAGGATTTGAGGCCTTCCACGAGACCGACGATGAGGGCCACGATGGCGACAACCACCCCGGCCGCAACAAGCGACTTGGTGAGTAACGACCAGCCGCGCGGATCGTACCAGGGTTTCGTTGCGGCTGCCGTAGGCTTCGTGGACTTCTCCATTATTTCTGGATGGGTGGCTGCTGCGGTGTTGGTGCCGGTGGTGTAAGGGACATTCGTGAGCTCGTAGTCGGGATAGTCACTGGCCTGACTTGACAGGTTGCGGTACACCATCGATGTGCAGGGGATTGACAATCTGACCGGGCGGGACTTGAGAGAGTGCTGTACAATCGTCCAAGATTGTTCGCCGAAATTGGTGGAGAATATCCAATAGTCACGATCAAGGTCGCGTAGCCCTCTCAAATACAGAGTAAAGGGAATCCCACCCTCGCCTCGGCAGTCCGCTGCAGCAGGCCCGGACCCTCTTTGTACATGCCGAACGCTGCGACAAGGGAAAAGGGTACGTACTGATAGGGCTCGGCCGCAGTCAGTGACACCGTCGGATCTGCCATGCTTACGTGTCTGGCCTCCAGGATGGAGGGACCAAGCCAACGAGAGGGAGGCACCAGGACGAATGCATACGTAAGCACCTGGCTGTGCCAGCCAAATGATTCCTACGATGGATGTCGAGTACCATGCCCTTCTATCCTTTGGTCGCGAGTGCGATCGTCATTGTAGCGGTCCAAGGGACGCGAAGGGTTCGGATATGGAGTTATCGAGCTCTACAGGGTCCAGTAGAGCAAAGGGTCTGGTGGCCGACTGAAAGATGATATGAAGCCGCCGATGCATGCATGAATCAGGCTTTCCACGTCAACGGCCCACTTCTTGGCGCTTTGGCGCCGAAAGGAGTCTAGGCCCGCAGCGAGATTATGCACCTGTCCGGATTTTATTCATCGTCCGTGGTTGCGGTAGATTGGCTTATCTCCTTGGAAGGGGAGTGTTTCATTAAGTGTCAGGTGATCCCGGGTCGAAATGGCGTAAGTTGGAAGTGACACCACGTGATCTTAATGAGCTTAGTCAGTAACCGGCCTCTTCCTCGCACAACAAGATGCACAAGATGTACAACTTGTTCCCTCCACCACCTCTCGAGTCTGTTTACCTGTCTCTTGAAGTTTGGCCTGGTTGTCGCCACGAACTGAATATTAACACTCACGAGTCTGAATGACTCGTTCCGTCAAGCTCACCAAGATAGTCTGAAGGCCAGTCAGACTGAAAATTTCTGCGTTGGATGAGATTCACAAGCTGTTAGGGAATCACGGGCAAGCATGTCGAGAGCTGATCCAAGATAGCCGGGTCTCCGACTTGAGCGCTGGAGGATCAACCGTGGTCAGACACTCTCCCTACCGCAGAGCCTCCGCTTGATCCGGTCGAGGAACTGCTGGCCCCGCAAGCCTGTCACCACGATGATCGGACCCCGATGACCTCAATCATGACCAAGGCACTTCGATGAGGCGCAGCATCATAGCTGTCCTCGAGTGTCTAAAGCCAGCACCGCTTATCTGGAGTGGAGCCACATGAACGACCGCCTGAAAGGTAAAGACAAACTACCCACGGAGTAAGTGCTGCTACTATCTCACGCTGCTTGGCCGGCTAAATTTAATAGCGCAGTCTTGCAGTCTTGTATCCAGGTACAGCCTAGCAGCACAAACACAAACAAAGCACCGTCGCAGCCGATTGAGGATGACAGAATAGCGAGGCTTTAGAAAATCCCTCATGTGTCCTCACTTTCGCACCTCATCGAGGTATAAATAGGACACAATACTCACCAGAGCAATTCTCAATCTCAATCTCAACTCCCTCATCACCAGATTCCACACCGGCACTTCTCGTTCATTGCCCCACTCCCAGTCGTCCTTGCGATTGAAACCACCCTCCCAAAATGCAGTGGATGTTCTATTCTTTCATCCTCGCGGATCTGTTCGCTCTCTATGTCCGGATCACCACGGGAGAATGGTCGACCCATGCCAAGTACTGTCTGCTCTGCACGCACTTGGCCCTATGGGCTCGTGCCTTGCAGGCTGAAATATTGCACCAGTGAATTATGCGTCCGTGGGTGAGGACACTCTGCGGGGGAGGGAAAGGAAAAGGACGCGACTGTCAGGATTGATGCTATGAACGAGGGACATGCAACGCGACAAGGGAAATCATTCCAAGTGCACCCGAAGACCCTTCCCAACATTGATTGCAGTTCTGCTGCTTGTTAAATCCCGTGAAAGCCCCGGCCCCTGCGACATCCGCAAATGACAACCTCGGCATGACGCCCCGATACAACCAACCAATCGGTGACTCAGGACCTGTGCAATCCGAAAGAAAGTTGGGCCAAGCTATACCAAATTACGAATGGGGGAAGACACAAGAAACGAAGTGGAGAAGCAGGGCTGAGGCTTACGCAACTTAGCTACACACTTAGCCGAATCGGACAAGGTCGACTCCCGCTATACTCTCATTCTTGGCCGAAAGGGCTCACCGTCCGGAATCTCCCCGAGACTCGATCCTGTTCGTAAAATCTCAGCATCACCAGTAGTCTAATGTCCAGCCTACGAATGCAAGAATCGGGTGGTTTTGATAATGAGATTGCGAGGTAGAAATGATTAGGAGGTATGTATGTACTGTACATTGCCGTAAAACAACTCCAACACTAACACAGATGCAGTAGCAGACCCTCACCCATAGCTCAGTGCATAGCCCACGCGAGAAGAACCGAAAGCGAAAGCATAGCAACATTCACCGACTGTCCCAGTGCCGCACCGCTACTGGGAACCACCGACGACGCGCTGCTCGGTGTCGCAGACGCGGAGGTCTGCGTGCCGGATTGCGTCTTGGAGACCGCCAAGCCCACGGTCGCATTCTCGACATTGTGATCGATGTACAAGCCCCGGAAGAAGGCTGCGAGACATTAGCCTTCTGATCCTCTTCGGAAAGGAGAAAGGGTAAAGGAGACTGAAAAACATACGTTGACCGACCACCCACAAGGTCGGGTACGAAGCGACGGTCGCGCCCGAGAGCACCGCCGTGCAATTGTTGTCCCCGTTGTCGGCGGCGATCCACTGGTCGGCGGCGATGTTGAAGATGGCGCTCTGGTGGCTGACCAGATCGGAGTCCGCGGTGACGGCAGCGGTGGCATTGGCCTGCGAGGGGATGCTGAAGCCCACGGTGGGAGGGCTGTCGCAGGGGAAGTAGCCCGTGACGGTCACTCCGTCGCTGGTGTTCTGGACGACGGCTTGAATGTTGGTCGCCTCGAAGATGGCGAGTACTTCCTCGACCGGACTATTCACACATCAACATCGTCTCATCGATGAAAGGTTTGGGAGCAGAGACTCATCGACTTACCCGGTGATCGTGGCGGTTCCGGTGTCGAGCTCGATAGGCACATCCTTGGTGAGGATGGTGTCGTTGACGGCCACGTCGGCAAAGAAGGCCCATTCCTGCACGATGGAGGTGGTGGTCAGGTTGCCTTCAAAGAGGGAGGTGTCCAGCTCGCCCAGCACCTGGGTTCCAGTCGAGTTGCTGCCCAGGACCACGCCAAAGCGACACGAAGAGACTTGACCCTGCTGGCAGAGCGCGTGGAAAAAGGGCGGCGCGCCGTTGGGAAATTGAGCCACTTCGACTCCGGCAAAACCCACGATCCCATCAGCGGGGATCAGCGCCGTGCCGTTGGCGGAGCCGATCGTCTGGTCGATGGTCAAGCTGCCGTATGTGATGGTGTCGTTGTACAGGGTCCCCGCTACCTGAATCGAGACAACTGGCGTTTAGCTATACACTTTTGACATGAGCACGGGAATCGTCACGTACCGAGCCCGTCCCGGATCCATCGCTTTGGGTCGTTCCATAGCCGTTCTCAAACGTAAGATTGAGGTTGACTGATGCAGAGCTCGCGTTGTAGTATCCAGGGTTGATGATCACATCGGAGGAGCCCGTGTCAATCAGGAGATGGAGGTTCTTGGAGCTGCCGACATCAAAGCTCCCGAACCAGAAGCCCTACCACTAAGGTGAGTCGGGGTACGCATGAGTGAATGGGATCCGACCTACATCCGACTCAGAGACAGTCTCGATGCCATATTTGTCGCGACGAAACAACTTGGCTGCCGGGTCTGTGCGCCGTACTAATGGGATGTGCGAGGAAATGTGTCGAGGAGCTGAAGGCCGGGCACTTGCCAGGCACAACGGCAACGACCCGAGGGCCGTGAGGATTAACCAATGCTGAGGAGGGGCCATTATGCACTATGAATTAAAGTCCCCGAATTAAGAGATTATTGGAAAGGTGCAATGAAAAACTGTCGAGTGCATGAAGCTGAAGCTGAAGCTGAAGCCTCTCCGACAATTGCGAACATCTCTTCGACTTTATACACCATCTCGCATGGCTCGTGCTGTACGCAAGGCTGAGCTCGCACTCAACTTCTCCCAATGTAGGAATGGCAGACGAGGAGCAATATGGAGATTTGGGGTCCAAATCTATCTAGATTGAGGCTTGGGCGTTGATCTGCACCGGGTATATCGACAGGGAGGAGAGCCCTACTCAGCCTCGTCTAATCAAATCCCGTGGATGAAACGCGAGTGGAGATGGCGATGGCAGCAATCACTGGCCCGCTCGCGTAGACTAACCCGACCCCGACTAGTTGCAGGATTGCACTAGGTAAGTTGAGGCTCCTTACCTGACTTGGCTATAGGTTTTAACCTAGTTTTAAAGTCGCTTGCGGCCACGTCGGCGGGTCTGACCGTCTGATGTTTCCCCCCTGCTGCATCCACTCATCGGCCTGCCCTCGCATACGCTAACCAACATAGGGTTGCCTCCAGACTGTCTCCCCAAGCTACACAGCCCAGCAGGCGGACAGCAACCAATTGAACCAAGGAATGAACCATTCTCCGCAACTCGGACCGAACGCGCCATGACGGGGAGACCCCAAGCTGCAAGGTCCCGCAATGGCTGCATCACCTGCAAGTAAGTCTGGGTTTCTACTGGTGGTCGTCCGGCAACAGCGCAACTCACCCCGACAGGATTCGTCGCGTGAAATGTGACGAGCAAAGGCCCGAGTGCAATCGGTGCGTGTCCACTGGAAGGACCTGCGACGGCTATCAGGATGGGTCCCAGTCCCAATCTCAGGCCCAGAAACCCTGCTCCCTGCGGATCATCCAGCATATCCCGCCGGGTCGGAAGATCCAACCTGCAGTGCAGCTGAATGTCGAAGAGCATCGCAGTCTGGAATTCTTCCACCACTATACCTTACCGGGTCTAGGATCAGAGGTGGGCTCGTATCTGCTGCAGGCAACCACCAGTGAGCCGGTGATCCGATCCGTGGCTATGGCGGTGGGCTCCGTGCACCGCTCCTTTGTCTTCTCAAGCGAAGAAGCCACCACCTTCACTCTGCTCCACTACAACAAGGCCATCCGACAGCTGGTGACGTCTCCGCAGAGCAAAAGCACCGTCCTCCTGGCCTGTATCCTGTTCTTCTGCTGCGAGTGTCTGCAAGGCCGCTACAAGACCGCCATCCAACATGCCTTATCTGGGCTGCGAATTCTCCAGCAGCAACAGTCGCTTCCCCCTAGCTCTCTCGAGAGGGCTCCAGCAGCGGTGTCCTCGCTCTTCCACGCCGTCCAGAGCCAGGTGCTCGAAATCGAGGGCATGGAAGGGCTGGACCCTGACTCGCAGCCCAAGCTGTCGCCGCCTGCTCTCAATGCCAACCCGCTTCAAATAGGGCTACCACTCGACGTGAGAGACCACCAACGCATCTTTCGACAACTATACTATCGGTTTGTGCAAATCGACGCCCTAATCGAAGCATTCGAGTCAATCCCCAACGACCACTCCCCCGCACGTATTGCGCACGAACAGCAATTACTGGCCGAGTGGTTCCGCGTCCGCGCCGACCTGAAAACGTGGATGCACGACTTCGACCGCCAACCCATGCATCGGTGGCAGACAGACCCCCGCACGGAATCTCCCCACGCCCATTCCATCGCCATCCTCAAAGCCTGGAAGCTGCTGTTCAGCATGTACTTCCGGATGGAGTGGCCGCCGTCCGAGCTGGCGTGGGACCGATTCACCCCGGACTTCCAATCCATCGTCTCCCTGATATCGGTCGTCACAGGCGACGTAACCGCACTTGCCGTCCCGTCAGCCCCTACCACCACCCGCCAAGACAGCAGAACCCCCCCGCGCCGATCTGCACCGCCGCCACTTCTTCCAACTCCACCACCCCCAGCTCCAGCCCAACCCACCTTCACCCTCTCTCTGGGCTTCCTCACCCCGCTCTACATCTGCGCCACCCGCTGCCGGAACTCGACGATCCGACACCACGCCCTCCGGCTGCTCGAGACCTGTCGTCGGCGCGAAGGGGTGTGGGACTCCGACCTCGCCGCCCGGGTGGCGTGCCGCGTCGTCGCGATCGAGGAACAGGCGGCCGGCGTGGAGCCGGGAATGGCTGCATATCACCCTGCGGATATCAGCTTGGAAGCGCGCGTGCGGTCGTCGTCGCCGCAGTTTGCGGAAGGGCGGAAGGCTACCCTGCGGTATGTGGGGGGGTGCAGTGGGCCTGAGGTTGGGTTGATGGAGGAGACGATTGTGTGGTGAGAGTGGATGGTTGACTGCTCCGTTAGGGTGTTTGGTGGGTGCTCTGAGTTGGACTCGATATGAGATGAGAACAGTGCCATAGGAGAGAGATGGAGGGAGGGAGGGAGGGAATAGTCGTCAGATAAACAACTCGCGCTGACAGGTCAACATGTAGTTGGGCATACAGAAAGAACAGCCCAGTCTGTGATACCCTGGACCTCATGCTATCTTACTGTAGAAAGTGATGGGTTCTTTCATGCGATTGTTATCGACGTTCACCATATGTGCGATACCACCCACGTTAGGCAAAATAGGGAAAGATGGCAGATGAGAACCTAGGCCCTGATACTCCAGAATGTGAATAGTTACCTAGACACAAAGAACCGAAGAGCAAAAACTTCGTTCTTGAACCCCCTACAAATACTGATGTTCAAAGGTTTCCTCTTCGGAAGATATCTGTAAGACTACCTCAAGTCCTTGATACCATCAATGTACGCATCTGCCAACCTGGTGAAATGAAGATCAGGGAACACTTCGTAAACTGGGAGATCTTGGTGTCATGTACAGTACCCTGCCTGGCAAGCCAGAATCCAACTCTCCGAGCACCCATTGGTGAAATTACCTAGCCAGCTGTAGTTGCGCCATATACTTTGATCTTTACACAGAGTGCGCATACACACAATACTTCTCTCAAGTTAGGATCAGCTTTCCTTTAGGACAAAGCTGGATAGTGGGAGGTAGCTAGAAACTAAGATAGCCTTGAAGCTTCTTGTGCAGTTGTACTTGTGACTGATTGTCACCAGCTACTTTCTTGTTGGGTGGCCATGGGAGAAGAAGCACCTTACCCCGGTCGCGTAAGAACCGAAATCGCGGCGAGTTTTTCAAATGTCGGCCCATCGCTCTCGCACCTCCAGCGTGATACTGGTCACGGTGTGGGCAAACTTCGCCGTGAGCCAGGGATCCCCAATCCCAGTCCACCCAGTCCTCAAAGGGGGACCGCCTTGCGCCTGGGGGTTCTTCCAGCGCAGGAGAGGTGAGTTGTATTCCCCCAGAAAACGATTCGGCGTCAACGCCAGGGGGTCATCTCGCCGCCAATTGAAAGGCGCATGGGCCAGGTCCACGAATACCACGCGAGGTTGCTGCTGGCCGTCGTTATCGTCATTGTCACGAGCCGATGGCGACCGGACAATGACATTCCGGGGCTCGAGAAGATTCTTCTCGTAGATTCGGCTTTCGAGGTCTACGATTCTCCTTCATGATCGCTTGCCGATCGGGGCCTGCGAATAGTCCCCCGGTTGCGTGTCGGCCATGGTGGCGCCCGAAACCTGCTCCATCAGAATCATCCGCACGGCCCCGCGAGCGGTCTTCATCCACCGGTAGGTTTAAAGTGTAGGAATCAAAGTAAGTCGAGATTCCTAGCCCTTGGAGCTCGTGCAGTGCCGGGTATGCATTGGCCTCAGCCGCTTCGACGTGGAGTGGTCGCTGCGCGACGCCCAAGGCGCATTGATCGCTCGGCTGGCCGTGCTCGCAATCAAGAACATCAAGGTGGTCCACAAGGGGGATTCCAGGCCCGTCGCTGCCGTGAACGAGCAGGCCCTCGAGGCAAAACTGGTCCAGGCACTGGACGAGAGCAACCTGACGCTGCTGGAGCGCAATGCCGTGTGGCCCTCCAAGCAGGCCCGCAAGTACTCAGAGCATTGCCGCCATGTGGCGATCTTCGGTTGGTATGCCATGTTCGCCCTTAGTTTTCCGCTCCCTCAGACCAACCGACCGGTGCGAGGACTGTACTTCGACGAATCTGGGCGCACGGGGGGTATGACGTTCCGGCGGCTACTGTTCGCCTTGGTTGTTCGAACCTTGAAGAGAACCGAAGCTCTTCAGCTCGGAAGGGGACGGGAGGGTCCGTGATCTTTTATGTATGGCTGGCGGTAGTTGGATCGGGGAGAAGGGGAGGAAATCTCTAGCCTGGTATCTTGAGATTTGAACGTCGGCTTTGTGAGTAGGGCACCTGCGCGACTGATGATGTGGTGTTTTGGCATCTCGTTTGCTCGGACCAGCCTGGATCAATTTCTTACCCACGTGTCTGTTATTGTTGGTTCGCCATATCTGTTACCAAACAGGCCAGGATCGAATCGTTGTACGAAGTTGTGCAAGACTCGCGATGACTCTTGAAATGGGGGCTTTCCCCCCCCCCCCCCCCCCCTCTATCCTCGCCCTTCTATGTGAGCACATGTAGCCCTTCGCGGGTTGCTAGTGCAATGACCATACGTAAGCGAGCCCTTACCCAATTCCTACAAGAAGACCAAGCATTTTGTTGTGACCAGGTCCCAAGGAACATCAACCGTTCTAAATTATACATATATACAAAGCACGAGAATTTTACTCAAGTCAAAAGCTCATAAACCAAGAAGCCATACACATTAAATCAAAGCCAATACCGCATCTAGCATAACATACAGCCCATACATTCCACTCGTCTCCATGCCTTTCTTCAACGACCGGGTCCAAAACAGAACATCCCTAACCCGCCGGGTTCGTGCACGTGAACGGCGTCAACGCCGAGCTCTTGAAATCCGCCTCCATCGCCACGATCGACGCCCAGAGCCCCAGCCCGGCCGTGCCCAACGCGGCCAACGAGTACAGCACATCAAAGGTATTCCGGGCGAACTGCTGACGGTACCCGCGAACCCAGCGCTTCCAGCCGGAATCCACGCGCCGGGTCTCGCCCGTGTGGGGGTCGAAGGTCTCCTCGGGCAGGATAGCGTCCTTCTGCACGTTGAACCCGACGAGGAGCATCGGCGGGAAGGTATAGGAGAACTGGAGGATGCAGAGAGCACCGACGAAGGAGGTGAGGTTGCTGATCTGCGGGATGGCGGCGGCGACGATCCAGGCGAGGCACCAGTAGATCGGGACTGTTTGATTCCGTCAATCTCCAATCACAAATTCTTGGACAAGGGAAGAACCGGGGGGGTGGGGGGTTGGGGGTTGGGGGCACATACCAAGAGCAATCCAGATCAGTTTGCCGGTGCGGTGATCCAGCGGCGGGAAATGGAAGACGTCGCGCAGGACCGAGGCGTAGAAGACTTTGATGCCGATGTTGCCGTACAGCAGAGCTGCGATAACGCCCGAGATGAGCGAGAGGGCGTTACAGCCGGTTTGGTAGCTGTAAGCGGAGTCGGGGATTCCTGGGGGGGAGGATCCTGGTTAGCGTGACATGGAAAAGAAGATATATATCTCTCTTAATCCTGTAGAAACGGGGGGTCTGTGCTTGTTGCACTCACCCTGGTAAGCCGGGTTGAAGGTAAACTGTCCCTGCGCGTTGTACACGACCATGCCCTCCACGAGGTAGCACACATAGATGAAGACCTCGGCGCAGATGAAGCCCTTCCAGAAATCGAATCTATGTAAACTGTCAGCACTCTGCAACGGTGCCAAAAAAAAAAAAGAAGAAGATGGGGGAAGGCCTACGGGCGCCGCATCTCAGCCATCAGCTCGTTGAAGAGAGTGGCGCCACCGTAGGCGAAGACACAGTTCATCACCGCCGTCATCCGAGTGTACAGGGTGCCGTCCGCCGGCCAGTTGGCGCTGGTCCGAATGGGTTCATTGGCACTGCCGGTTGGGGGATATACGTAGACCACGCCCATACTAGCCATCATGTCAGCGCTGTTCTTGCTATTTTGAGGACGGGGCCGTGCTCGTACGTGATGAGAATCACAGTAAAGTTCATCCAGATGGCCAGGTTCGATAGCCACGACAGGCGCTGCAAGGTCCGAATCTGTCCTAGAATGAAGCCGAGGAGCATGAAGATGACCTCACACACGATGACTGCGGGGATGAGAGGTCAGCACTGCCGACATCCTTTGCTCGGGTTGAGGATTCTCACAGCATAGTTTTCCCGTGCCATGTACTCCGGCAGCCATTTGACCCAACCCCTGGCCGTTGCTTACAATGAGCAAGGTCACGTTCAGGAAGAACTGGAAGCTCTGAAGAATGTTGACGCCAATGCGAGCGACGGGGCCGAAAATCCGGAACGCAACATCGCCGTAGTCTGGGAAAGTCGGTCAGCCAGTCGCTTTATACCTCTCTCTGGTCCCAACGGAATAACTTACTGCGCATGGGATAGCGGGTTGAGTCGAGACCGTTGAAGATCTTCCACAGCTGCATTCCGGAACTACAGAGCGTTTAGTCAAGAGGCGAGAGTATTGCATATGGAGCGAAAACTCACTAGTATGCCATGATACCGAAGACCGTATACAGCGCCTGGCAGCCCTATGTTAGCGGATGTCGGGATTCAGGTTCAGTGGCCGACTCACAAAACCAGGCCCATAGCCCATTTCCTGCACAGTCTGTTAGTATATCTGCGCCTGCCATCTCCTCCGTCCTTTCCCGGAGATTGCTTACACTAATCGCCCAAGGCACGTTCGTCGGACCCAGGATATCGGTGGTAATCAGATAGAAGATCGAGCCTACCCGCCCAGAGACAGTCAAGTCAGCCTCACCTGCCTTCCACAGGAACCCAACCACAACCCCCCCAAAAACAGCATCCACTCACCCCAAGTCGCCGTTCTCGCGGCCCGCTGCGCCAGCTCCCACTCCGTCTCGGTAATGCCATACTGATCGCCGTTCCCCTCACGTTCACCACCGCTACCAACTCCGTCCCCGGAATCCGCCTTCTCCGACATCGCAGCCTTCTCATCCCCAACAGCGACCCCACCCTCGACGGGACCCTTCTGCTTCTCGGTCGTCGAATCCACAATCCGCGGGGCCGGCGAGGCCGTCTCCTTGGACGCGCGCCCCAGCATCACATTCCACAACTGCTGAAAGCCCTGGTTGTCGGTGCGGATGTGCTTCTCGAACTCGCGGGAGCGCTTGGCCCAGAACAGGTAATTTTCGAAGGAGATGCTGGAGTCGAGGTAGATGTTGCCGGAGCCGTGCATGACGGGGGCGGGGATGGCGTGGAGCGACCGTTCCTTGCTGCCGGGGTGGCCATGGCGGCTGTGGTCGTCGATGATGATGCCGTGTTCGGCCTCGGTGCCGATGAGGTCGGCTTCGTTGCCCAGGCGCGGGTCCGCGACACCCCCCAGGTTGGCGGCGGAGACGATACCTGCCATGCTTATTTGCGGAGGATGCAGAAATTATTGATCCTTTGGGGCAGGGAAAAAGTGGGAGAGGGAGAGGGGAAAAAAGATTGACATTGATGTGGGACAGGAGAGGAGGGGGGGTTATATAAACGGCTGTTCACTTATTGACTAGTTCTATTGGGGATTGTGAATGGGTCGAATTGATTAAGTGTCTCGGGGAGGGGAAACACCACCCCGTTCATCCGTCGGGGGAGGCCATCATGCATCCATTGGATACGAACCAAACGACTCACCCCACTGGATCATGGTGTCAGTGATTGGGATTGGATTGTTGGGCAGTGCCAGGTGGGGGTGGTGGGATCATGGATCCATGATGGATGGTGTGGTATCATGCATGCAGTGCAGTGATTGATTGTTCTCCGCCAATCTAGAAGGGTTTCTTATCTTCCTCCTCCATCCTGCTCGCTGCATCCACAGGTAAGAGACCCTAAACCTTGAAACCACACTCCAACGCAGTGATGACATTTCTTGTGCTGCACGATGACCTCAGCCTCCGACCAGGATGTCTCGGAGTGAAGAATCTTACACTGGCCGTGCCTGTCAGCGTGTACGGGAGGTACGGTACCGGTACAATACCGAATCGAAACCCTCGAAGCTCGGCAAAGCTTGTCGGGTCCGGCTAAAAAAGCTTGGTGTGCCTCCACTGCGTGAATGAGGCCCACTCTTCTTCGCTTCGGCTGGCTTAGTCCTTATCCTCCCTGTTCTCGTGAAGAAAGAGAGACAGAGCGAGACACACACACGCACACACACACACAACGGTCAATTTAGAATTAATTAACCACCACTCCCGCAAAGGAGTGCAATTCGACAGCAAGTCTCGCTTATCGCGCCCGGCGCACTGTCCTGCAACCACTACCGTCATCAGCACCGAGACAAATCGCAGGATCATGATACTGAGGGGTTTATCAACCTGCTAAGAACCAGTCGTGTGGTGTTTCCAAACACCGCTCACACGACTCACACGACTTCCAGGTATCTAATCATTTTAACCTTTTGTGTGAACTGCAGCTAGCTAGCTTATCAGCAAGAATCCGGAAAAATTATTACCTGCTTGCATACTTAGTGGATGCAGCGCTCAGGACCAGAGGCAAAGGAAAGACAAGCGCCCCACTTGGGAGGTTCCGGACGTCCCCGGAGGGGTTCCCACTGGCCTCGCGGTAAGCCACTTACATGCAGAGAATTGCATGCGGCCGGGATGGCAAATCTGGCCATGCCATGTGCTGGCTGTTGGCAAGTACTCGGTCCGGTGCGTGGTGTGTTGAGAAGTGTCGTTGTTCGCCACTCGTTAGTGATTTACCGCTTCCTGTCTGGGAATGACCTGAGGTTTGTTAGCAAATGATACAACACATAAGACCGGCAGTTCTGCAATTACTAATCGAAACCCTACTGACACTTATCCAGTGGAAGTACGCGGACTATAACGCACCCTGCTGACTAGGAGTGTTGAGTACTCCGGGAAGACCGTCGGACAGCCGAGAAACATAGCGGGGTTCTTTCTGCATGGTTAATTTCCACTCCGATATGTCCGAGTGAAAATTACGGGTACCGGGGTTCCCACTGCACTCTGAGACTGGCTGGGATGGTATGGGGAAGATAAGAATAAAAGTAAATGATAATAAAAATTAAAAACTAGAACTTCGAGAAAAAAAAAAAAAAAAAAAAAAAGGAACGACACATTCCCCTCCTATCACCGAATCAGAAAAAAAAGAAAAGAAAGAAGACGAGGGGGTTTGTTTGAACCCTAACTGTTCTGTCCGCCCGCCCCGTCGGGCACTCCCCATTCATTCATTCAGCCATTCTGGAACAGGAACCCATCCCCCAAGCATTCCAATCAATTGAATCGGACCTATTTAAGTTCTATCCAGATAGACGACACACTCAGTCCCGCTTGCTCGTGACCGAATAATCCGTCGACATGTGGATCCCGGATTCATGCTCGCAGGCGGCATCGTGCTTGACCATCTCGTGCATCGCCTCGACGTCGTCCTGCGTCTCCGGCACCGCGGTGCTGCGCAGGGTGGACAGGTAGTCCCAGTTGCGGATGACCTTCTTGCGCGCCCCGACCGCCTCGTCGCTGCCGTCGCTGCCGTGGCCGCGGGGCTTGCCCGCGCTGGAGACCTTGCTGCCGCCGAAGATGTGCGGGGCCAGTTGCAGCAGCAGCGGCCGGAGCACGGGGAGGCACGCGCAGATGATGCCCACGTTGATTTCCACCATGCTGTTGGATGGAACCAGATCCAGTCAGTTGGGGTTGCATCTTGTTACGAGGGGGGACGGGGGACGGGGGGGAAAAGGGGCTTGAGAAGAACATACGCCCATTTCGCCAGGGTCACCTTGTACCAGGTCAAGTCGCCGTCGTGGATGAAGGGCATCATGGTGACGATTCGCACGATCGCGATCACGCAGGCGCTGGAGACTGAGTTAACCACGCAATCACACGGACAACTGATTATGAAAAGCAGCACGGGCTAGGGGCACTTACAACGAACCCATCATCAACACCATCATCAGCAGCACCTTCTGCTTGAGGGTGGTCTGCAGCGACCAGCAGAGCCGGATGGGCAGCGCCAGCGTGATGATGTCCGAGAACAGGTTGAAGGCCGCATTGGCATACACGAAGGCCAGCTGGTCGACACACCGCGCGGTCGGCATCAGCGTCACGTCCCACATGGCCTGGACGGGGATGCAGCCGAGCGTGAAGACGAGCAGACTGATCATGTTGTAAACGGCGACGAAGATCATGATCCCGTAGGTCATCTGCCGGAAGCGCTTCTCCGGGCTGAGGCGCAGGAAGAACAGCAGAATCGAGGTCTTGACCAGCCAGATGCCGACGACGAAGACGTCCTCGCCGGCCAGATCATTCTACATGGGGTTGGTCAGGGAGTTTTGAGGGCAGATACACCACTAGGTGGTGGAGACCAGATGCATACCTGCTTGAACGGCTTGATCTTGTCGAGGTGCAGGTCCCAGATATGAAGGCCATACCCGTTGTCGATATCTGTTCAGGTTGGACTCTTAGCTGGCTGGGCGGCGCACTCGAGAAACCTCTCGTAAACTTACTGACGATCCCGAGAATCGCAAAAATCCACGCGCAGATCTGAGCCCAGATGCAAAACCCTGGTGAGCGCCTCCGTCAGCTTGGTTGACCCAGCTGGCATCAATGCATGCAGCTAGCTTACAGTCGTCGATTGCGATCGTCTTCTGCAGGAACATCCGAGTATACAGGCGCAACAACAGGACCACCGTTCCTGTCAAGCAAAGGGCGATGTTGATGGAATAGATCTGGTAGTTTTGATTCTCCGGGTTCTCAAAATTGGCTGTGACGCCGGGGGGCGGATCCGACGCCGGCACCTTGCTCAAATCCAATGTGGTGGTTGACATGATGGAGTTGAATGGAGAAACAGCTGGGTGTTCCGGTCGGCAGTGGTTGGAGCAGCAGCAGCAGCAGTAGCAGCAGCAGCAGCTCTATTTAGCATGCACTTGAAAAGAAACGCTGCGTCGAGCCAGGAATGAACGATCCACCAGGCCAACCCTGTGTCCATGCTTTTCTTTATATCCTGTGACTCCAATCAAGCCTTTGGCTCGCTCGTTCGTACTTTCGGTCCCCCTCCCGGGCCCATTGACGAGATCATATGCAAGATGCATTGACTACCGGTATAGTCGCCTCTCCTGCATTACATAGTTTGGGCGGGGAGGGCGATCGTACCTCCTTGGCTGACGCCCAGCTCGATGTGGTCGGACCATTACCGCCACCATCCACAGCATACCCTCACCCACTGTTCCTCGAAATGGGTCCAACAAAGTGCAAAGTGACACCTCGATCGCAAACAAACCCAAAATTCCCCAACAAGGCCCCGATCAACCCTATTGTCTCTGACGGAACTTGATGCCCGCAGGAGAGGGTCCAAGCGTTTGGAACATTGACCTTGTTCTCCAGACGTAGGGGGTGGGCGGGGGCGGGCTGGCCAAGTACATACAGTACGTGCTGGTGTAAGTTCCCTGACGATCGCACCGGTTCTGCGATTGACAGGCTAGGATCGCTGCTTGCGGAGACGACCTGTCATCCAGTCGCATCCCGAAGCAAAAAAGGCCGGACGCAAGATCAATAATTGCGGAGGCATCCAGATAGCGCAGTTTGCCCCTATCTCAGATCTTCCCCGTTGCGGGATGTGCTTGCTTTCCCTGGAACTGCCGGTGCAATTCCTCCTATTCTTTTGACGGCAGCGACCAAAATCTCAAGAGAAAAACAGAAGAACAGATGCCCACCGGTAGGGGAACGTGTATTTGTCAGAAATGAAGTCGAGTCATTTGGATAGATGGATTGTTTGGTGGGATTAGGCTTTGGCCAAGACGGTGGTTGCAGCGCGGAAAAAGAAGTCAAGAGATCAGGGCTTCCTCCCCCCGCTTATTCCTCCAGCCCTGGTTTCGCCATCGTCAGCCTTTGCCAGCCTTTTCGCGCCCTCTCCGAAACATTTTAATAACTTTCGTCAGAAAAGTGGCTTGGTGGCTCTGGAGAACGCCGCGAAAACTTCCGCCTGATCTTTCTGTCGTCGTCCCCTGAAGGCGTTGAGATTCCGTGAGCATCCGTGCAGAAAGGAGAGAGCAAAGGGCCAAATGTGACAGGTGTCGGACCCACTCGATGCCAGCATCATCACAACAATGCACCAGGAAAGATCTCCTGTCGATCTAATTACTGGCCCAAATGCCCCACGAATGGCATCTGGATATTCCTGCAGGTCGTGTTGCCTTTTTGAGTCTAGCCAATAAGACCCTGATTTGCCTTTCGAGATGTATCAATTTTCACCCTCTACATCGGCCGCCCTCCAATCCCCTTTCTCAGTATGCACCCCGTGCAAAAGAACCAATCTATAAGGCTTTGCGGCTCCCCTTCCCCCTTGGTCTCCGGATACAATATCCTGTCTCTCCGCCGAACTTGTCCGTGTGCGTGTGTAGCCGGTGTAACCTGTCATGGCGCCTCTCGATCCCAGCATCGATCGCATTCAGCAGTGTCTAGACGAGGTGGTGCAGTCTGTCGGCCAGTTCCGATACCCTGCAATTTCGCTTCGCCACCAGAATGCACGGTACGAATTGCTGGTCAAGGCGATGCACCTAGTGCAGGCCATTCGCGGGCCTGCCGATCTGGTCTTCGCCAATTTTGAGAATGTAAGCTTGGGCGGACAGATCATCTATCTTTTCTGTATCGCCGAGAAACTGTCAAGATGCATTTGGGGTCCTTAAATGGCCAGTCTGGGCGCTATCCGCACGCTTCTCGAAGCCGGAGTATTCGATGTCATCCCGGTCGGCGCCCAGAGCATGTCAGCCACGGACATAGCAGCCCGTACTGGGGTGAGTTAAAAAGTCAGAGGTGTGCGATCGTGAGCTCTTTTCTCCTGGATGGAGGTGACCCGTGGCCGGTGCGTTCTGACATCGATGTGACGTGCGGCAGTGCGCATGATGCGGGCTGTCACGCTCTTCGGACCGTTTCGCGAGACCGGCGAGGAGGAGTATGCCCACACCCCCAACTCGGAGATCTATCTCGCTCCTCAGATGCGGGCCGTCCTGAGTCTCATGTGAGTTGTCGTCCGCGTCTCAATTAGGTTGCCTTGTCAGTCAACCAGCAACTGTCCGCTCACCATCCGATGTCGGGATATATCACGGTCGATGAATACTGCCCGGCGATGCTGCGCACCCACGAATTCCTCCGCCAACACCAGTGGCAGGACCGCATGGGCCTGCGCAGCAACCCATACACTCTCGTACATCACTGCGAGGGCCAGACGATGTTCGAGCACATCTCCCAGAGTCCCGAGCGACTGACCCGACTCAACAACGCGATGGTCGCCGAGGACTCCCTCCTGGCCGAGATCGGGCTGTACCCGTTCGTGGAGCGACTGAGTCCGCTGGCGCAGGCGGATCAGCCGACCATCGTCGACGTCGGGGGTGGACGAGGCCACATCGTGCGCCAGATCAAGCAGAACACCCCCAGCCTAGCGGGACGGTTCATCCTCCAAGACCGCGCCAGTGTCATTAGCGACAATGGGCCGGAGATGACCCGCCATGGCATCGAGCCGATGGCCCATGACTTCTTCACCCCGCAGCCTGTAAAAGGTACGTCACGAGGGCTATATTGACTCTGCATCAAAGTCATCCAGCAAGCTGACTCTACCCCTCCACCCCAGGCGCATTGGTGTACTACATCCGCCGCGTGTTGCACGACTGGCCCGACGCAGAGGTCCGGGAGATCCTCACGCACCTGGCCGCCGCGATGGTCCCGAAGAAATCCCGCCTGCTCATCACGGAGACGATCCTGCCCGAGGTCGGCGCCACCATGGCCCACGCCTACATGGATCACACGATGATGACGTTTGGCGGGACCGAGCGGACGGCCAAGGACTTCGCGCGCCTGTTCGACGCGGCGGGGCTGCGGTTGGTCCAGGTCTGGGAGAGCCCCGGGGTGCCGATGAGGGTCGTGGAGGCCCGCTTGAAGTGATTCCGAACATCGGGGGTTGGCTTCTTGGTGAATCAGTCACCGTTTTCCTGGCCAGTCCTTTGCCAAGCTCTGCCACATGGCGCTAACTTCTAGACTCTGCCGTCTGCTGTAAAAGTCTTAACCGGAACTACGAGTATGGTGAATGTCGGATGACGATGTGTCATCGGGAGGAGTGGTTGTGAGTCTGGATGGAAAACGCTTGGATTCATGATGGTCGTGGAGATTTCCTGATGGGACTACTTATGGATGCCGATTCGGGCCAAGAGCTAGACCCGACCTGCCCTCTTTGTACATATCCTAGCTCTTTAATGGACAGTTAGCAAGGCATGCGTTCATTTTTTCCTTTCCCGCGTTTTCCCCGTCGGCAACCCCAACTTGCGGGGTGAGGGAGCCGTGCTCGGGATTGTGAATAGACCCATTCACCTACATTTACCACCGCACAACTTCAGAGAACTCATTCTACGGGCTCTTTCTACATTCGTTGACATGTGTAACCTATGAAGGTATTTTTCATGTTCGCTGATCAAACACGTCTCCCCCGAGCCCAAATATATCCAACATAGAAGAGTTTTCTTGAAAGTCAACATTACCCCAGAGGAATTGCCCCACTCCACTCAGCCATCCCTGACTAATGCTGAAGGAAGCTGAAGAAACCGGGCAGAAAGGACCGAAGCCCTGCTTAGACCGCAGAAGCCATGGCAACCATCCCCAAACAGGAGACACACATGGCACGATGTCAGTGATTATAACCTCACACACTGTGCGAGCGAGCCACATCCTCGGGTTCTTGCACCGCAACCCCACAAAATCTCCCCACGCAACACCAATTGCTGCAGAAAAAGTGCAGGGGAGGGCAAGAATTACCGACAGCCAGCTGGACCCACAATGCCTGCCCCGGCCCCCGAGGGATACGAGCCTGTCACGAAGCGCCAAACCCGCCACCAAGCGACAAAACTGCCCCCCAAACCGCGTGACTCGGATGGGTCCCAGCGTCGACCATAGTCTAACCTCCAGAGTCGAATTCCTCTGGTTTCTTGCTTGCTTTGCAGAGTGTCATGGATTCGCCGGAGTTTTGCCGAGGGGTGGTGTTGAACGTGGTGGTGGGCAGTGGGCAGCACGGCTCGGCTGGTGCGACGGCGGCATTGGCCGAATTCTTTTCGTTTCCTCGTGGAGTCCCCGCATTTTTCCCCCTCCCCTTCTTGCCCGCCTCCATCCCCGGACTCGGTTTCTCCCCGAACGCCAACCCTAACTTCCAGATGTCACACCCCACGGTCCACTTGAGAGCTCTACCTCTGCCATTTTCTCCCTCCTAGCATCGGAGGGGACGAGTTAGACTTCAGTCACCTGGTCTTTTTCGTGCTATTCCAGTTTTCCACGCCGGATGCCAAGCTTGGCCCACGCAGACGGTGACGGCCTCGTCACGGTCACCAGTTATGTTCGCCCACGATAACGGCAGTTGGGACCTCGAGGTGGCCGATAGTTGGGCGGACTGGGTCAGAGAGGAGAGCTGCGGAGATGGGGGTGGATTGAGCAGTTCTCCAGGCTGCATTTGTGTCTATATAAACAGCCTTCCGCATCGCCTTCTTGATCCAGCTCCATCACAACACATCCAGCCTTCATCCGAGTCGTTGCAGGCTCGACCAGAATGAAGCTCACCGTTCCCTTGGCGGCAGCAGCACTGCCTCTGGCGGGCGCAGCCGTCATTCAACCCCGTACACTCAACATAACCGACCTCGAGCACTACTGGTCCTATGGCCGCTCGGAACCCGTCTATCCCACACGTGAGTCGAACACTGCATCAACCACCACCCACCACCACCCACCACCCCTCGCAGTCCCACGCTAACCCTCCACAGCGGAGGCCCAAGGCCTAGGAGACTGGGAAGATGCCTTCACCAAGGCCAAAGCCCTGGTGGCCCAGATGACCGACGAGGAGAAGAACAACATCACCTACGGCTACTCCTCCACCACCAACGGCTGCTCCGGCAACACGGCCGGCGTCCCCCGGCTGGGATACCCCGGCATCTGCCTGCAGGATGCCGCCAGCGGCGTGCGCGGCACCGACATGGTCAACGGCTACGCGTCCGGGCTGCACGTGGGCGCCTCGTGGAACCGGGAGCTGGCCTACCAGCGGGCGCAGTACATGGGAGCCGAGTTCAAGCGCAAGGGGGTCAACGTGGCGCTGGGCCCCGTGGCCGGGCCCCTGGGCCGCATCGCGCGCGGCGGCCGCAACTGGGAAGGGTTCAGCAACGACCCGTACCTGGCCGGGGCGCTGACGGGGGACACGGTGCGCGGGCTGCAGGAGTCGGTGATCGCGTGCGTCAAGCACCTGATCGGCAACGAGCAGGAGACCAACCGCAACAGCCCGCAGATGCTGACGGGCTCGCACAACCAGTCGGTCTCGTCCAACATCGACGACCGGACCATGCACGAGCTGTACCTCTGGCCGTTCCAGGACGCAGTCAAGGCGGGCGCCGGCTCCGTCATGTGCAGCTACAACCGCATCAACAACAGCTACGGCTGCCAGAACAGCAAGACCATGAACGGGCTGCTCAAGGGCGAGCTGGGCTTCCAGGGCTTCGTCGTCTCCGACTGGAGCGCCCAGCACACGGGGCTGGCCAGCGCCGCCGCCGGCCTGGACATGGCCATGCCCTCCTCCGAGTACTGGGACAGCAACCAGCTGGCGACGGCGGTGGCCAACGGCTCCCTCGCCGCGACCCGACTCGACGACATGGCCACGCGCATCGTCGCCGCCTGGTACAAGTACGCCGAGCTGGAGAACCCCGGCCACGGCCTGCCGGTCAGCCTGCTGGAGCCACACCCCCTCGTCGACGCGCGCGACCCCGCCGCCAAGGAGACGATCTTCCAGGGCGCCGTCGAGGGCCACGTGCTGGTCAAGAACACGAAGCAGGCGCTCCCCTTGACCGCGCCGCGCTTCCTCTCGCTCTTCGGCTACGACGCCATCGCCGCGCCGCAGAACACGATGGACGACCTGTCGTGGAGCCTGTGGACGATGGGCTGGACGAACACGCAGACGTACCCCAACGGCAGCGCGGTGGACCCGACGATGCTGAAGTACATCTTCCTGTCGAGCGCGGACCCCAGCGCGACGGGGCCGGGGGTCGCCCTGAACGGGACGATGTACACCGGGGGCGGGTCCGGGGCGAGCACGCCGTCGTACATCGACGCCCCCTTCGACGCGCTGCAGCGCCAGGCGCGGGCCGACAACACCTTCCTGGCGTGGGACTTCACCTCGGCGACGCCGCTGGTCAACCCGGCCAGCGATGCCTGCCTGGTGTTCATCAACGCCGCGGCGGCCGAAGGCTGGGACCGCCCGGCGCTGAGCGACGAGTACTCGGACAAGCTCGTCACGCACGTGGCCGCGCAATGCAACAACACGATCGTGGTCATCCACAACGCGGGCATCCGGCCCGTCGACGCCTGGATCGAGCACCCCAACATCACGGCGGTGATGTACGCCCACCTGCCCGGCCAAGATAGCGGCGCCGCGCTGGTCGAGGTCCTGTACGGCAAGCAGTCGCCGTCCGGCCGCCTGCCCTACACCGTTGCGCGCAACGCCACCGACTACGGCGCCCTGCTGGCCCCGACGCTGCCGTCCGCCGCCAAGGACAAGACCGAGATCTACTACCCGCAGGACACCTTCAGCGAGGGCGTGTACATCGACTACAAGCACTTCGAGGCGCAGAACATCACCCCGCGCTTCCCGTTCGGCTTCGGCCTCACCTACGCCGACTTCACGTACAGCAACCTCGTGGTCAATACCACCACCACGGCCGCCACAAGCCCCACCCCGCCGGATCTGGATGGCGTCGTCGCCGAGGGCGGCCTCCCCTCCCTCTGGGACGTGTTGGTCACCGTCTCGTGTACGCTGGAGAATACCGGCGCTGTGGCGGCCAAGGAGGTCGCGCAGCTGTATGTGGGCATCCCCGGTGGGCCGGCCAAGGTGCTGCGCGGGTTCGTCAAGGAGCTGGTGGAGCCCGGCCAGAAGAAGGAGGTCAGCTTCGCGTTGACGAGGCGGGATTTGAGTACCTGGGATGTCGGGGTGCAGAGTTGGGTGTTGCAGCAGGGCGAGTATGGGTTGTTTGTCGGGAAGAGTGTGGCTGATGTGTTGTTGACGGGATCGGTGGTGTTTTAGGTTGAAGATGGGTCTTGAGGGAGGATGGCTTATGAGTGTATGTATTTGTATGGATATAATGAATGAGATAGGTTATTGCTTTAAGTTTCCTTTTTCTTCTGGGGTTTTGATTGGGCAGAGGGGGGATATAATCCAAGGGGCAAGGGGGGTTGGGTGTAGATGCAGCGGGTGAGGAGGAGATATGTTGTAGTGCGGGTATTGTGGTTGCGGTGGTGGTGGAGAGGATCTACAACATATACATTTCCTGACCACTCACTGACAATGTACGTGTTTACAGGTATAACTGCAACAACACACAGCTGAACTAAGAATGTACATTACATTTTCTCACTGCCTAGTATCACACTTCTATACAGTACTACAAACATCTACCGCAACCATCCCTTAGGACCGCCCCACGTACCGTTCACCAAGTTGTTGTAATACACCCAGGGGAAAAAGTTCTTCTTAAGCTGCCAGAAGGCCCTGCGAGGCACGGCCTGGTCAATGCCGAACCAGCCCCCGAACGTCTCCTTGGGCACGCCCGCGTACTTGAACTCGGCCAGCAGCACCTTGCCGTACTCGGTCGTCAGCGGACACGAGGTGTACCCGTCGTACTCCGCGTCGGGCGCCTTGCCCTCGGCCGCGCGCAGCAGGTTGCGCACCAGGACGGGCGCCTCAGCGGTGATGGCCGCCGTGGTCTTGGAAGTGGGCAGACTGGAGGCGTCGCCGATCGACCAGACGTTCTTGAACTTCTTGTGCTGGGTGGTGGCGTTGTCCACATCCACGAAGCCCGCCGCGTCGGCCAGGGGCGAGTTCTTCACGAACGCGTGGGGTCCCATCTTGGGGACGACGTGCAGCAGGTCGAACTGGCGCTGCACCTGGGCGCCCGACCCGTCGCCCTTGGCGAAGATGGCCGTGTTGCCCTCGACGGCCACCAGATCGTGCTGGAACAGCCCCTCGACGCCGCGCTCCTGGCGCAGCGCCTCCAGCGCGGCACTGTACTTGGGCACGCCGAACATACCGGGCAGCCCCGTGGCGAAGCTGATCTGGATGGCCGACTGGGCCGGGTTGGCGGGGTCGTAGAGTCCGGCCTGCTTCCAGTGGTCGAGGGCCAGCCACATGATCTTCTGCGGGGCGCCGGCGCACTTGAGCACGCCCGCGGGCTGGGTGAACAGCGCCTTGCCGCCCTTCAGCTTGTTCAGGGTGCGGTACACCTTGTCGACGTGCTCATACCCGTAGATCGACGAGACGAGGCTGTTGGGGTCGGCCAGCGCCTCCGGAAGGCCCTTGATGCTGTTGAAGTTGACGTGGATGCCCGGCACGACGATCAGCTGCTCGTACCCGAGCCGGTCGCCGTTGGCCAGCGTCACCGTGTTCTGGTCAGGCGTGAAGCTGTCGACCGCCTGCCCGTACAGCTTGAGCTTCGCGTCCACCAGCCCCGGCAGCGGCCGCCGCAGCTCCTCCTTGGTCTTCACACCGCCGCCCACCAGGGTCCAGCCCGCTTGGTAGTGGTGCCATTCGGCGGGGTCGATGATGGCAATATCGTCTTGGGTGTATTGGCCGGTGTGCAGGAGCTGGTGGCTCACGTTCAGGCCGGCGGTGCCGCCGCCGATGACGACGATCTTGTGGTTGCGCGTGGAGGAGGGAGTGACGGGGTTGGCGGCGGAGGGGGAGGGGGACGAGGAGGACGAGGGGGAAGCGGCGGTGGCGAAGGTGCGGAGGGAGGCGATGGTGGGCTGAGAGTTGGCTGCGCGGGCGGCGCGGGTGACGCTGCTGCGGAACATTGTGGTGAGGATGTCACCGACGGTGATTGTGAGCAAGGGAGGGAGAGAGAATGGAGCGGAGGATGGAGGAAGAGGATGAAGATCAAAAAGAAGATATTCGGTTGAAATTGTATGGTACCTGAAAGTCAACTGTAAGCATTAAATCCCCAAGAGCCAATTGCCGGTCTCGGCGATCACGTCATCTCGGGATTCCCCTGTTTGGGCTGTTTGGCTGGTTTGTCTGGCACTATCCCCGATCCGGACAGCCTCCAGCCTATCCGGATTGTTCGATTTGGTCGGCGTTTTCTTCGACAAACTCGCTCAATCGGCGTCTCACTCTACATATACCTGTGTTCAAGGACAGCAATGGCATGATAAGCTGAGGAATGAGATCACATTGTTTTTATTTACAATAATGCATGAAGTATAGACCCCGAGATTCAGCCTCGATGCAATATGGCCTGATCCTCACCAATCCATCACCGACCCCGCCGCAACCTCCTTCCGCAGCGCCTCCTTCACAATCGCTCCACACATCTTCGCATACGGATTCGTCTGCACCGCCAGCTGCTGCGCGACCTTGTTCCCGAACCGACCCCCCAGGAAGAAATCCCCGCTCGCCATCTCCTCCAGCTGCTGTGCCCCCAGCCCGTCCAACCGCTCCGGACCGCCTTCTCCGTGGGAGGATCGGAATCTCGCGGCTTTCAACAGGAGATACCCCCGATGTGTGTATGCGTCTGCCAGGATGCGTGCTTGGCCTGGGGAGACGGGATCGGCGGGGGAGCGCGGGCTGGCGAGCTGGATGGCCTGGGTGAGGTCGGCGAGGAGGGCGGAGGCGCGGGCTCGGTTGACGGGTGCGAAGAGCTTGGTGTCTGTGTCTGTGTCTGTCTCTGGATCTTGGATGCTCGAGGAGGGCGGCGAGGAGGAGGATGGGATAAGGGTGAGGTCGATCAGGAGACGGCGGGCTTGGGCCCGGTTCATGTAGGCGGAGGGATAGGTGGGTGCGTCGGTGATGAGGAGGTCCAGGTCGGTGATGGCTTTCTGGACGGTGGAGAGCGAGGGCTCTGGTTGTTGGAGCGAGCGGATGATCTCCAGCTCGGCTGACTTGAGGGATTCATGCTTCTCTGGCGAGACGTTGAGGTGGGCTGGTAATGTGGGAAGGGTCGCGTCGATGGCGAGAGCGGAGGAGGGAGAGGACTCTGCATCAAAGAGGGCTTGCAGGACGGCTGAGTCGTTGGATGTGAGGGATGGTTTGCAGGGGTCGATTGTGGTCATTGTGAGTGTGTGTGTCTGCGTAGTCTTGAGTTGTGGAGAGCAACTTAGGTATGAGGTTGTGTGCCGGTAGGTGAAGGTGGAGGTGACTTCTGGTGAAGGATGCTTTTTCTATGATAGCACTCTTTCTCTCTTTCAAGGAGAACGAGCAGATAGCCGGAGTATATGAGAGCTATCTGGGCCATCTGGGCAGAGTCAAATCCGCGTGAGAAAAGCGCGTCTAACCGTCCGAGACATTCATTCCGGATGTTTGCTGAAACACCCGCCGCCAGCCGGAGTTGTCCGCCCGCAGCCGAAGCCCTTCCCTGCCTATCCGGGAAATAGACTGGATTCTCACTCTGTACCATCAAACCCTCGGGCCTCGTTATCATCAGAGTATCCGCGTGCAGCAAGAGTGAAGATGGCGATATCCGTCATTAGATAGTGTTATAAGCCCACCTTTGTCCATCCGTAGAACTCTAACAGCAAGCCTCGGAATTCCTTTCTTACCACAACCAAGCAATATCACTTCCCCAACCACCTCCATCTATTTGCTATCAACCTACCTACCTATCTATCTACCTGAGCAACCACTTCTATACATCCCTCACAGAGATAAGCATATCCAACGCCATGGCCCCAATCGCCACCTCCCCTCCTACCTCCCCCTCCCTACCCACAAGCACCTCTAGCCTCGCCAGCTACAAAGGCTACGACCATGTGCACTGGTACGTCGGCAACGCCAAACAAGCCGCCTCCTTCTACATCACCCGCATGGGCTTTGAGCGGATTGCCTACCGCGGCCTCGAGACCAACAGCCGCGCCATCTGCTCGCATGTCGTGCGCAACGGCGACATCACCTTCATCCTGACCTCCCCCCTGCGCTCCCTCGACCAACTCGCCCGCTTCGACTCCGAAGAACAAGACCTCCTCCGCGAGATCCACGCCCACCTCGAGCAGCACGGTGACGCCGTCAAGGATGTAGCCTTCGAGGTGGACTCGGTCGATGCCGTCTACAACGCCGCGGTGGCCAACGGCGCCAAAGCCGTCTCGGGCCCGCGGACCCTCGAGGACGCTGACGGTCGGGTGCGCGTGGCCACCATCCAGACGTACGGACAGACGACACACACCCTGATCGAGCGGGGCGAGTACCACGGCGTCTTCCTGCCGGGGTACCGCGTGGAGAAGGGCGATGCCGACCCGATCACCGCTATGCTGCCGGGGGTGCATCTGCGACGGATCGATCACTGCGTGGGGAACCAGGATTGGGACGAGATGGACAAGATCTGCCAGTAGTATGTCTCCTTTTCAGGCCATCATGATCATGAAACAGGAAATCTGTCCAATGATACACCGAGACTGACACCGACCTAGCTACGAAAACGCCCTCGGCTTCCACCGCTTCTGGTCCGTCGACGACAAAGACATCTGCACGTACGTGCATCCCCCTCCCCAGCCTATGACCCAACCTGCTAACCTCCCTCAAACACAGCGAGTTCTCCGCCCTCAAAAGCATCGTCATGGCCTCGCCCAACGAAGTCGTCAAGATGCCCATCAACGAGCCGGCCAAGGGCAAGAAGCAGTCGCAGATCGAGGAGTACGTGGACTTCTACAACGGGGCGGGGGTGCAGCACATCGCGCTGCTGACGGACGACATCCTCGCGGCCATCACCAACCTCAAGGCGCGCGGGGTCGAGTTCATCAAGGTGCCCGACACCTACTACGAGGACATCAAGATCCGGCTGAAGAAGGCGGGCCTGGTGCTGCACGAGGACTTTGACGAGATCCGCAAGCTGGACATCTTGATTGATTTCGATGAGGGGGGGTATTTGTTGCAGTTGTTTACGAAGGTAGGCTTTCCTATCCACCCTGGGATGATTACGAGGGGGTGGGTGACTGACGTGCAACAGCATCTCATGGACCGTCCGACGGTGTTCATCGAGATCATCCAGCGGCACAATTTCTCCGGGTTCGGGGCCGGAAACTTCAAGTCGCTGTTCGAGGCGATTGAGCGGGAGCAGGCTCTGCGGGGCAATTTGGTTTGATTTTGGGGAGAGGGTCGAGTTGAAAGCGTTCTCACGGTTAGCGGATGCATGGCTCTTGTATTATTGCTTGCTTGCTTGTACATTTGAATCGCAGTGGTATGCATCGTACCTTGCATGACGATTAATGGAATTCTGGCTTAACTGGCTACTCTACGCCTGACGTGTCGAAGATCTCTATTCTGGGAGTACTTTGCCTACTAGACGGATACCACAGTGGCTGCTTGCTGTGGATGTGTTCTGCACACCTAGTCTGAGCGTTAGTTTCTGGTTTGCCATTCAACCGACCCCATGACCTGCACCTAGAATCTAATTTCGGCACTGAGTTTCCGTCAGCAGGTTTGAGCGTCAGTGCTTCTGCGATAACCTCGGGAAGTCAAATGGGTGAGATGGTTACACTCGGATATTTCGGCCTCAGGAACGAAGTCGCCGTTCTGACGTCAAGAACCCTATCTTCGGATGATCGATTCAGCCGCATATCCGCTGTCGTTGATATTTATATGGGCTTGGGTTTGATGAGAGGGGACAGAGTAGAATGTATCTGGATCTAGGACTTTATGCTCAATCACAATTCCATTAGCACGGTTCTGGTGCTTTTTCTTTGGCTATAAGTAGGTAGAGATGGTGGAACAGTGATAGCTGATTATTGGAAGGCGCATACAGTTCTGTACATCTCAAAAGTAGACAGCAACCGTTGCTCATCAGACTAAGAAAGTGCAAATTGACACAGGAGCTGAGGACTTACTCCCTAGACACAGGTAGGGACATGTAATATGTGTGGTACTATGAATGTGGAAAGAGAAATCAATAGTCTTCTTGGAGCTGTACTCACCCCGCTATCAACCGTTGGGTTGCTGACCAGTATGCTCATCAATCCACAAGTTTGATTATCAGCCAGACTCCGACTAACATTTGACGGTCTTTATGGCATGGCAGCCCATGAGTGTCATAGGTCGTTCCCGTAAACAGGCCGGACAAAGACCGGTGTCGAATCTTCACACAAAGGGCAGTCGCGTACCACGCACAAAGAACCACACTTACCACAACACTTAGGTCTAGCAGACACCTGCCACCTATCTCAGTGTTCAGCGGTGGAAAGTAGCATCTACACAACTCCATGTTTCAGGTGACTGCCAGCTACCACGATATCTCTTCCGAGTTGACACTGCCCACTCAACCACTCATCTAGCCTCTTCTCATCATTCATCTTCCAGAAGATATATCACTCTGCGAGCAAGATGCTAGACATCAAAGACGACGACCTCGCTGATAAACGCGCCGAAATGAAAACACCCATTCCACCTCCAAACGATGAAGCCCCAGCAGCCAGCATTTCCACCCCCAAACCACCCTCCATCCTACAGCCGCCGCAACCCCCACCCAGCAAACTCCATCTCCTGGACATCCAACAACAACAGAACCTCGCCCGCGAGGCCGTATCCCAAGCAGCGATGGAGCGCGAGAGCAAGTCCCTCATTCCCCCCACCCCCACCCAGCAACCCATCCAACCCCGAGATCTAACACCATCACAACCACCACAGACCTCCACTGCATGGTCACAATCCAAACGCACCACATCCACCGCCCCATCCAGCTGTCCTCCCAATCCACCACCACCACCAGCCCGCACAGCCACACAACGGCCCTCCCCCTAACCGCCCGGGTCTACGCCCCCAAACCCCAAGGCTACACCCCGCTCCACCTGCCCGTCTACCTCTACTTCCACGGCGGGGGCTTCTTCACCGGCACGCTGGACAGCGAAGACGCGACCTGTGCGCGGCTCGTGGCATCCCTCTATGCCAAGGGCTGCCCCATCATCGTAGTCAGCGCGGACTACCGCAAGACGACGCATGTGAGTTTCCCGGACCCCTTCGAGGACGCGTGGGAGGTGTTCAGCTGGCTGGAGCGGCGCATCGCATGGCTGAACGGGGACCCCACGCGGGTGGTTGTGGGCGGGGAGGACGCCGGGGCGGCGCTGGCGGCGTGGGTGGCCTGGTTTGCGCGCAGCAATGTCGCCGGCCGGCGGGAGGTGGAGACCAGGTCCGAGAGGGTGATCAAGGTGCAGGGGCTGGTGGTCTGTAACCCCTGGATGCCGCTTTTGGATCGGTGGGAGGAGGTCGGGGAGGCGTTTGGGGTGGGGAGTAGGGTTATGGAGCGGGATCCCGGGGAGGGGGGCGGGAAGGGGAAGGGGAAGGAACGGGCAAGAGAAACTGAAGTAACGGAGGTGGGGAGGGGGAATGCAGCTGGATATGATTTCTATCACGCGTTGCTGAATGTCTACCGTGTTGAGCCGGGTCACCATGGGATGGGCATGTGGACGGCGCTTGAGGCGATGCCGGACACGTATCTGTTGACCTTTGCGGAGAGTCTGTTGCGGCGGAGGCAGTTGTTGTTCGCGACGCTGTTGATGCGCGAGGGGTGAGTTTCCTTCCTTCATTCTACGAGTCAGCCTTGTTGAGATGGCGATGGGTGAATTGGTCCATGCTGACAGTCCCTGTCCCATTCTTAGGGTTAATGTGGAAATGAAAGTCCTGCCTGGCTCGCCGCACGAGACTCAGGATCTGGAAATCCTCCCGAGCTCCCACCCCTGGGGCTCCGAGTTGGTCGAGGCGCTCGAGTGGTGCTTGCGGTCCTCCCACGGACAGATGCGGCCTCCCAGGTCGGTGTATACCGCCGGTGTGGTAATCGTCTCTCTTCTCCTTGCGGCTCTCTATCTGTATCTGACTGATATAGTGAACACGCATCTCTCCGATATTCGGCCTTAGATAGGTAGGTAGGCGGGTGCGAATCTGATGGATCCCCTTCTGAGGGCAATTCGAAGTCGGCGATGCAGTCTGGAATGCAAGTACTGTCCACTGGTGCAACAAGGGTCTATCTGTAGGCAGACGTCTGGCATTCCGCACCCGGCGGTGGTACACTATTGCTCAAAGACACCTACCAAGATAGTACGAACAAGTTGATACTCAGTTGATGCTGGAGTATGACTGTCAAACCCAAATATATCGGTATGGAAAAAAATTTTTAAAGATAGCAGTTCTGGCTTAGGATATTGTATGTCACCACTTCTCAAAGAACCAGTGTCTTTAGCAGATGCTCTTTATGAGAGTACTGCATAGCCTTAGGGCCGGCTATATCGGTGATTCCAGTGTCGAACAAATGAGATCAAGTGTGGTATGAAAGGTCGCAGCATGAATCAAGGCAGTCACTGTATGTCATGCTTCATCCACTGTGATCTTTTAGATGCCTTTTATATTCCAGAGCCCGAATCCCATCCCTAACTGAAGTTCACTCCCACACGCGACCCGCAAGAACAACCGACCCGCATCTCCCTGTGAACCGTCTCTATTCACATGGATGCATCTCTGCCCCCTCACACATCGGACTACTCACGAGTGTATCCGCCACAGCATTTCCCTCAACCCCAACAAGTACTTCCGAGGCTACTACTTCACGAGGTAGTAGGTAATATTCCTGCCCCACCATCTACAGCCCCAAGCGACCGGGTCTCACGCTTCACGCTTTATGCATTGCCGAATCCTATCGCTACCAAGGGGGGTGTTACCCCTACCAGTCCGTACTGCTCACCGGCCACCCATTGACCATACTATACGCCTCCAGCGGGGTCGTCCCATTCAACGGCTCGTAATGCATGCGCTCCCCACAGTTCTCCCGACCCTCATGCCCACTTCCCCGCAACTCCATACACCGTCCCTGCAGCAACGCCGCCACATGCGCGCCCGCCTCCCGCCCCTCGAACCACGCCCCATGCAAGAACCCAAAGTACGGGGCGCTGGTCGCCTCGCCCGCGAACCACAGGCGGCCCGCATTCGCCCGCAGGTTCTGGTGCATCTCGAGGGTCGTCCCCGCCGGCCAGTTGGAGTAGCTGCCGTAGGCCCAGGGCTCCTGCGACCAGCGCGGGTAGGAGACGTCCGTCGGGTGCGGGATGGTGGTGGTGGGGAACATCTCGCGGAGCACCTCCAAAATCTCGGCGGTGGTTTGGGCGGTGGATTGGCGCTCGACGCGGTAGGCTTGTTCGTCGACGACGGTGACGACCAAGATATGAGAGTCCGGGAGGAAGGTGGGCGAGGAGAGGGATTGGAAGATCGGGTAGTAGCCCCGCGTGGTCGGGGAGGCATACAGGAAGAACTGGGTGTCCGTGGGCCAGAAGGTATGGGGGAATTGCAGGAAGATCTTGGTGTAGGTGCCCATGTTGAATTTCTCGATCGCGGTCTGCTTCCACCGCGGCAGCGGCGGGCGGAAGCTCACGGCGTGATTTTGCAGGACCCCCAGCGAGAAGGTGCAGATCGCGTAGGCGGCTTCGATGCAGGCGCCGTCGGCGGTGTGGATGGTGACGCCTTTGGGGGAGTGGTCGATGGTGGTGACGTGGGTGTTGAGTCGGAGACGCGGGCTGGGTTTGTTGCGGCGGTGGCGGAATATCGCGGCGGCTTCCTGCTCAATGATGGTGCTGTAGCCGCGCCGGTCCAGGACGAAGTGGTTCGCCTTGCCGAACTGGTTGAAGGTCAGGTTCTCGCCGGCCATCCCGAATACGAAGGAGCTCGTCTCCGGGGGGGAGGCATCCTCCCAATCTAGATGTCGCACACAGCACACATGTTAGTCCACAGCCGGGCTCCCTTGGGTTTGGGGGTCACTGGAAGGGAAGCAAAGGGGGGGAGTATGCCCTGTCTGCCTCGGTGGGGGTTCTTCCTATGACGGATTGGCGAAGTTTCCAGCGGATCATACCCCAGTTCCACCATTCAACTGCCTGGGCGGCCATGTCGTTCTTGCGAGGGCGCCACCCTGCCAGGGCAAGCCCCGTGCGGGCGGTTTGGTCTTGCAGGTTCTCCATCAGGATCCGGCCGGCGTCGCGCGCGGCAATCTCGTAGACTCGAGCATATTCGTCGAGGAGATATTGATAGTCGGCTTCGCCGGTCTCGTTGTACGTTCGGAGCGAGCTGTAATTGGAGTAGGTGTTGCGCAGATGGTGTTTTTTAGCCTGTCGGTTAGCGTGATTCGGTGTATACAGAGTCACGACACATACTAAAGCCCAGACAGGATTTACTATCGCAATGGTCAGTCTGTTGTTGAAGTCTAGTAGAAGGGAGGTACTGGCGACGTACCAGTATCAGCCGAACCCAATCCTTGTAGCTAATATGGTGGGGCGCAGTCAGTTTTAAAGCTCTACCTTAAACTGTGTCGAATGCGGGGAAAATACCCAGTTGGCCCCGAACTCCACCACGTACGGGTTCCCGTCCTTATCCTTCCCAAAGTCCGTATGCCACACCCGACCTCCCAGAGTCTCGCGCGATTCCACCAGAACAAAGTCGGTGACGGATGCATTGGTCAAGGCTTGCTGCTCGGGTTAGTTGGTTGAGCACGGCGGGGGGGGGGGGGGGGGGTTACTCAACACCCACATACCGCTGCAGCCACCCCGGCCATCCCACCTCCCCTGAGCCAGTTAGTGTTGACGAACAATCTTCCAAACTCTAATGCCAATCGGCTTACAGGATGGCCACGGTCGTTTGCGTGCAGGTGTCGCCCGTCAGAGGGGTTTGCGCGACATAGGCACTTCCGGGCTGAGCCCCTAAGGTCGCGAGCAAGAACGTGAGGGAGTTCAATAGATTCGAATGTGAATGCATTTCCACGCCTACAGTCTAACGACACTGCTTTTCTGCGGGTGTCGAGAGCGGCGAAACAGGGGCCTTAGAAGACCTTCCACGCGGGGACTTTCGGAGGTGTGCCAGGCTATATAGACTTAGACTCCGAACACAAGGCCGACAACAGACATCACACCCGGCTTATCAGCATGCATGCATGCTGGCACCATCCGAGTAACGGTCCTTTTCTGCAGCCAGAAAAAAAAAGGAAAAAGAAAAAAGAAAAAAGCCAGGCAGACAAAGAGGCAAGATGGACAATGCTGCAGGGCGGACGGCGATCAAATAAACCCGGGCGATCCTGCTTGGCATCCGGGAATTGCATCACCAGGGCTGCACAGGTGACTGTTCCGGGCCCTTGGCAGTCAATTGGCTCCAGCAAAACATTGGGTCGATCGCATGTTACATGCTAGAACCGCCAAACTTAGGGGCATGTGCCGTTCCCTGGTGTTTGAAACGAACTGGATGATTTGGATGATTTGGAACGGAGAGGCAAGGGGCCTCGTTGATTGGCCCGATAAGCTGTGCGTGAAGTACGTACTGAGTATCATGCGTTTGCACCGACCACAGTCAGCCAGATGGATCGATGCATTGCCTTATCGTGACTTTTGCCTGCTTTCTGACATCACGGTTTTCGAAGCATACGGAGTGAATAAATTGTCCGGCTCTTTATGCGAATGAGCAGAGAGCATGATGGACCTTCAGCGAGACTGGCCGTGGCCTCGTTTGTTGACTATGGTTGACGACATGTCGGAAGATTCCACCGACTTCTCGAAGGCAAGGCAACGAATTAGACAAGCCACATTAGGGATTTATTGACCGGGCCAAGCATCACATTGGAGATGAGTTGGATATCATCGCCGCGGTAAGATAGCCCGATCGGCGATAAGCTGCGGTGGGGCCATTTGGCCATGGCTATTTTCGGCAAGTTTGGCTTGTTTGTTTGAATTGGTTGGTCCCTTCCCGGTCCCCACCAAGCCAGCTGCAACATTGCGATGGGTCAATCTGACCAGAAAGCGAGAGGATTAGCAAAACTACGCAAGACCTGTCATTGTGAACATCTATATTCGTGGCCAAGATGAAAGGGTGAAATGCATGGATGCTATGAACCTGGATTTAAAGAAAAACAACAAGGGGGTAATAAAACTTTTCTTTATCGACATGAACCCCTCAGAAAAGTAGAATATAAACACCAGCCGTGATCATCAGGGATATTACTCGCAGAAAGCTCAATCATCATCCATATTCAGCTCATCAAAGTCGTCAAGCAGCTCCTCCATGTTGATCTGCGGCGTCTCATCCTCGCTCTCGTTGTCCTCGTCCTCATCCATAGCATCGGCCGGTTGGGGCTGCTTCCGGACCTTGTACAGATCCAGCGTCTGGCGCAGCTCCTCGTCCTCCTCGACATCGCGCAAGAACATCTCAAAGTCCTCCTCCAGGCGGTTGGCTTCCTGCTCCTTCTTGCGGCTCTGCTGGCCAGCGCTGGCGAGGGCCTCCTCCTCGTACTCGCGGGCCATGCGCTTGAGGCGCCAGTTGCGGCTCTTGGGCTTCTTCTTGCGGGCGTAGAACTTCTTGACGAGTACGACGTCCGGGATCGTCGATCCGTACTGGTGGCTCTGCTCGATCGCGTCGAAGTTGTCGTCGTTGAAGATGGTGCCGCTCAGGTGGTAGCCGAGAACGGAGTCACCGGGGTGCAGGATACCGCCAAGGTGTGTGCGGCAGAAGTAGGTGGTGTTGTTGGAGCCAAGGTCCGAGGCGCGGGCCACAGTGGCCTCGGCAAGGTGGAAACGGCCATTCGACTGGCCGGTAAGCTCGATATCCAGAATGATGAACTCCTTCAACTGGGTGACGTCGGCGAGGTTCTTGAACGGCGACCGCCAGTACACGCCGGTTTGAACGTCGGCCGTTTGCAGAGTAGTCGGATCCAAGAAATTCACATTGTTTCCGACGCGGTGACAGAGGGTGAGGGGGGCGATGTTTCCAAGTTGGCGGGCAAGCTTGAGCGGCAATGCGACGAGATCGTCTTTGCAGATGGGGATCAACTCAATCGAGAAGGTATGCTTGTAGGACTTGGTGCTGGTGTGAACATCCATGGAAATGAGCTCCTGGGACTTCTGCATCTTGCACGGTACCACAGAGGCAAGGAAGTCGACCATCTTCTCGGCGTGGTTCCGCTGCGCAAAGTAGAAATCGATACCATCTTTGGCCTCCTTGATATTGACCGTATCCTTGTGAGCGTCGTTCTTCAGGATCAACTGCTCCAGGTGAAGGAAGGTACGCTTGTGAGGGACCTTCTGTCGGACCTGGACTGCGGCTCGCCACGTGTTGGGCGTGAAACTCTTCTGGCAATCTGCAGTGATGTTAGCGAGCCTGATTGACGCAAGCCTGAGTCGAACTGGAGCGAAAGTGGTTGCAAGACATACCAGGACACTGCTGGCCGGCCACCACGTACTCCACCTCAAATGACTGTTGGATAATCGTGCCCTGGAAGGCCTCCTGCTGAATTGTGATGTTGACCTTGATGCGCTTCGAGTGGGGTTCGGTCCAGATGAAGTTGGCGTCGATGATGCGGACTTTCGACAAGCCACGAAGGCGGCGCAGACAGAGGGCGAGGAGTTCCTTGGACTCGAGGGTCGCAACCACCCACTGGTTGGGGGGCTGGAGCCACCGCTCGCAGTCTTTGCAGCAGAGGAGGGTCGATTCGCGCTGGATGCTAGATTTCGGAGTAAATCAGCATGAGTTCCGTCTGCGAACCCGATACCAAAGTAAAATCCGAACTTACCCTTGGGTGACGTCGACGTTCAGTTTCAGACAGTCCTGGCACATAGCACCAGCAGAAGTGGTTCCATCGATGGGGGCACCGCAGTTGCAGCACAGAATCCTAGGAAAATATGAGCGAAATTCCGGCCAAACCAGGCTGGCGGTAAGACTCACGTCGCAGCGACCGGGGGCTGGTCCTGCAGCCCCAACATGGGAACTGGCGCATCCAAATCCATCGACATCTTGACCTCCGGACGCAAACCGCAAATGCACCAAAGCGAAGAGTTGGAGTGTTAGAGATTGGGAGTTGACGCAGGATCGGACTCGGTATTTTTTTTTGCCCCGCCACTGGCCAGTCAGCAGCTGACTCAGCCGTATGTCCTGTTTGCACTTATCGATAACCGCCCTGCCAGTTCGGGTATAGCGCGGGTGTGTATCATTATGCCAGTATGAAGTTCACTACCACAACAACCACAACACATCTACATCAATAATTGTATAATCCAGGTATGTACGCCGTCCTGCCGCCCATGTTCTTGGGGCGATGCTGAGTGTATCAGTCATCATACACACAACCGTGTCAGACCACAACAAACAGCCTGTGGATGAAGTATATAATCCAATCTCTACCCAGTGCCAAGCATCGACCGTGCTCCCCCAGTGGGGGCGAAGTTCTAGAAATCACATTTCCCCCGCAAGAATTTGGGGGCAGAATTACAAGGAAGACTTCACACACGTGGGTGTATGCATGATAGCACGCCCCGTCAGCATAGCACATTGCATGGCAATGTCCTCGCACAATGGGGGCCAGCGCTCAGCCCACCTCTGTGCCCGTTGAAGGGATATAAATGCGTCCTACAGCGACCCTCGCCGGCCACTCGATTTCCTTCTGCTTGTTCTCTCAGAATGGGCTTCAACATCTATTCATGACCCTCGTTATCCGACCGTGGATGAGTAGGCGTCGTCGCAGTCACACCGGCCTCTGGCTCTAGGACTGTGTATCATGCTATGCACTCTAAATGTTGCCGCTGGCAGTCGGATACATACACAATATTGATTTTACAAGAGTCTTGTCGGAGAGGACTATGCGCTTGTTGTTGCTCTGGTCGGTTTATACCCGAGACCCATGGTTAGTTCCTTGATGCTGATACCGCTGCTAGGCGGGCTAGACAATTGCCAATCTTGTGTCCATTTCCAGCCTAGTCGGCACACATTATGCAATGGGTCTTCATTCTCATGTGTCCAAGATCTCACCCAGCTTCTAAATCCTAGCCTATACGTAGTCCGCATATTTGGTAAGTCCCCCGCTGATCGAATGTACTGAAATGTTACTTCCGCAGTAGACTTACTGCAGGTATTTCACAGTTTACATGGCTGGTCATATCCAGGTCCGCGATGCTGGCCACGAAAGTAGCCATGCTGCTTTACTATTGACGGCTTTCGCTCACGAGCAAGTTGGCCTCCGAACTGTGTTATGAGGCAATATAGCATACGCCGTTCTCGAGGCCACTAAGTCGATGACCGCTTCAATACTGTCGTGCATCCGTGGCAGCCACTTCTGCAACGGTATTCATCCGACTCTAAGTCATTGGATGCTGCAGGGTCAAAGATACGCTACGCTGTCGCCGTCGCCTGCACAGTTGTGCTCGAAATGTCCTCTCATTTGAGCTCCGACCTCTCCTACGCAGGTGCTCCCTCCTTCTTATCGCCAACGTGCGATTTAATCCCGCGATTGTCCGTACTTCAGCCCCATCTCAGCGTGTCTCCGTCTTTCCTGGCGCGCCGCTTCGTCGAGCAATCTTGCTGCCAAGTGCGCTAGAAACATTGACTCGATGGAGCCGGCGACCGGTAAGACGTTGATAGCGCGCAAGCATAAGGCTGAGCTGTCGGGCTTGATGGGTAGTATGGAGCAGCTATGATGTGAAAACATGTTGCGGGATGGCCAGGCACGCCGCAAGATGGATGTGGAAGTGGCATTCGGAATCTGGATCTTTTCTGGTCCCAGTGCATTTGTTTAAATATATCCCCTTTCGCATCAGAAACCAAAATTAAATTCATCTCATGAGCTTCGGACTGCATGACCAGTGTGGAGGGAGGCATCTCGGCCGAGAACCTCGGACCCACCGGGCCCTGAATTGCGGCCAGTCACGCAATCGCAGTCTCCGATCGCACGGTTCTTTGCAACAATTAGCATGTGGGGTCTTGCGAATCCCCCACATTACTATCGCCAGAGCACTGCAGGCAGTTTTGGGTGTATCCCAAACTTGGGGCCAATTACGACATCATTTCCGGGATTGACGAATCGCTCAACTCCGGGCAATCACCTTGGGATCGACATGTGCGGATCACCAATTGTCTTTGCTACGCCATACTCCTGCCATATGAGCAATCCGTGAAGATGCGTATAAATGCTCTCTGCTGTGTCCTCGAGTGACTATACATCCAAGACTGGTGACTTGTAGATTACAAGCAGGAGCACTACCACCGCATTCACACACCGTGAACATCCACCATGGCGCAAGCGCGCGTTCCAGCGACGGATCCCACTATCTACAGCGCCTATCAAGACCAGTGGTCCTCACTTCCTACCACAGCAGAAGACTGGATCAGCAGAGCACGGGAGGTGGCCGAAGTACTCTCTCGGGATGCCGCACAAAGGGACCAGGAGAACAAATCGCCCCGAGCCGAGGTGGCTCTGCTGAAGCATTCCGGACTGCTGAAGCTACTGGGTCCTAGGAAGTACGGAGGAGGTGAGCAGTCGTGGGAAGTAGGGTACAAAGCCATCCGAGAAGTGGCCAAGGCAGATGGGTGAGTTTTCCACATCGCACTTCCTGCATACCTTCTTTCACCGCAGCTCACATTTCCCCAGTTCCATCGGCATGCTGCTCGGCTACCATCTCCTCTGGTCCACCACCGCCAATGTAGTCGGCACCCCCGACCAAATCGAGCGCACGCACGAGCTGATCATCACTAACAACTACTATGTCGGTGGAGCGGTCAATCCGCGCGACAGCGACCTCAAGATCACCTCTGACGGGGAGCACATCGTCTTCAACGGCGCCAAATTCTTCAACACGGGGGGTGTGGTCTCCGATCTCACCGTGCTCGAAGGCGTCCTCGAGGGCACAGACCAACACATCTTCGCCCTCGTGGAGACCCGACAGCCCGGGATCCAATTCGCGCACAACTGGCAAAACATCGGTCTGCGTCTGACCGAGTCCGGAGGCGTGAAGATCGAGAACGTCCGCGCCCCGTGGACCGACGCGCTGGGCTGGGACGCCTCCACCAAGCAACCACGACAAGAGGTGCTCGGCGTCCCCTTCGCCAGCTTGCTGCTACCCACGTAAGGCCCCCTTACCTTACCAGTATTGTCCATGAGCAAGGCTAACCTCCCATAGAATCCAACTAGTCTTCAGCAACTTCTATCTGGGCATCGCCCTGGGCGCCCTGGACTTCGCCGCCAATTACACCACCGCCCACACGCGCGCCTGGCCCTTCGGCGGCGACAACAAGACCTCTGCCACCGACGAGTTCTACATTCTAGAGCGGTACGGGAACTTCTTCGCGCATCTGCGTGCCACGGAAGCGCTGGCCGATCGCGCGGGCGAGCAGCTCGCCGGGCTGTATGCGCGCCACGGCGCGGACCGATTGGCGCTCACGGCGGAGGAACGTGGGGAAGTGGCCGAGTGGATTGCCAGCGTAAAGGTCGTCACCACGGACGTGGGGCTGCGGGTCACCAATGGGATCTTCGAGGTAACGGGGGCTCGGGCCACCTCACTGAAGGTCGGGCTCGATCGGTTCTGGCGGGATATTCGGACACACACACTGCATGATCCCGTCGCGTATAAGAACCGGGAGCTGGGGCGGTATGTTTTGTTGGGGGAGCTGCCGGCGCCGACGTGGTATACTTAGTTGGGTGTGCGGTGGTGTTTTAATGAAGATGCTGGACTACTTCTTATGCGTGTTACTTTGCAATCAACTTTGGAGCCTTTTCTACAGTCGAGCTTGGGTATCGCATCTGATTGCGTGTAATCTTAACTTGCAGCTACTGCAACTTATCATGAGGATTGTGCCAGCCGGTGTTAGGGCTCACCCAGACATACTGTACATAGACTAGGGAGCAATTTGACGACTCATAGACTATGCGAAATATTTTGAGTCGTGTGGCCTAATGTAATGTGATTACATTAGAATCAAATGAGGTTAACTTGAAACTCACATAAGAGTACATGCTGCCTGATTTACAACAGAACATACATCATAAGTGTGATGACTAGTAGTTACCAAGCATCCTTTTATGGAAGCAGTATTGGCAATTGAGGTACTTCTCACGCTACCATTCTTTTTCTCTATTTACGTTTATAATCTCCGAGCACACTAACTTCCTATTCTTAGAGTTTAATCTCAGTCTCGGCCTGCGCCCTCCTTGTTCGGACATACAGACAAACGCCGTCAAAGACCGATGGATGCTTACCAATCGTGAATCTAACCCAGCCCTAGCAGCAAGTATATCAGGCCAGAGGGTACGACTTCTTCTTCGACAACAACTATTAACCAACGACTGTTCACAGCTCTCTCAGCCCAAGTATGGCATCGGTCTTGATAACAGGTGCCTCCCGCGGCTTCGAACTTGCGCTCGTGCGCGAACTCTCCTCCCGCCCAGCAACAGAGATCAGCAAAGTCTTTGCTACCGCACGAGGCGACTCATCGCCCTTGAGCGAGCTTGCCACTGCCTCAGCAGGACGAGTCTCAGTGGTCCAACTTGACGTTACAGACGATTTATCCACCCGGAACGCTGCGGCCGAGGTCGAGACGCAGCTTAGCGGCAAGGGACTGGATATCTTGATCAATAATGCTGGCATCTGCCAGTACGTCGGCGATGGGGTGAAATTGATGTAAGTCTTCTGTCTATCTTAGTCCTCTAAGCTCAGTATGTACTCACCTACTCGCTCAAGGGATAATCTCGCAGAGAGCTTCACCATTAAAGCCCTCGGTGTCCACTACGTGATGCGGGCTTTTCTACCCCTTTTGCAACGCGGTTCCCTCAAGAAGGTGGCGAATATGTAAGAAGACCATCACGACCGACATCAATCCCATCTTCCCTCTAGCATGCAGCAGCGCAACCTCGTTCGCCTCCATTACCCTAGCTCGCGCGTCCCACGACGTCCCCGCCCCAGCGTACAAGATCTCCAAGGCCGCCCTGCACGCGCTCACCGTGCAGTATGCTCTGGACCACGAGAAAGACGGCTTCGCCTTTGTGGCCATTGCTCCTGGTGTATGTGCTCTCTTGCCTATAAAGACCCGTATTCATCTCACTAATACAAGATACTACTGTGTCTAGTGGATGAAAACTGATCTTGGCGGCGGCGACATCGCCGACCTGACGCCCGAGCAAGGGGCCAAGGCGTCGTTGGAGATTCTGTTCCGACGGAATGCCGAGATAAACGGGCAGCTTTCTAAGGTGTTGGTCCCCGGGTGGGAGAATGCCACGGTTTGGAATGTTTACGATGGGACGATGGTTCCATGGTAGTGAGAAGGTGTCTTATAACTAAAGATGAAAGCTTCCTAATGTTGACCAGAGAAGATCAGGGGACCGGTGGGGTAGCTAGTTGAAAGGCTGGTGTTGTGCTCTCTTGGGAAAGCAGGGAACTGGATCAGGGGTGCCCAGTGATATGTGAAGTGCCATGCAGGTGGCTTATTCCGACCATCTGTCGCGGACACGGTCACCAGGGCCCGGGGCGTTAACTTGCCGAGCGTACCGTGTAAAAATCACAAGGCTTCAGCAAAAATGAAATTGCTTGACTTATGCAGGTGCAGTCGGAGTGTGGTGTCCCGTCGATTGGTAGTTCGATCTGGTTCAAGCTGCGACACTCAGCTCTGCGATGAGGCTTTGACGGCCGGACCTTGGAGACTTTCAATCTATGCCACTATGCAGTAATGGGACATACTTTTGCTCCCGAGAAGAAGCGGGATGGGAGAGCCAAAGTATAAGTATAAAAGCAACATTAGTAACACCCTTTCGGGCAGTACTACATGTGGATCCCACATGTCGGTGTAAGACTTTGTCATCGCATTCGGACCCTTCTTAATACAGGGTGCAGACAGTACAATATCCTAGTACCGAGGACGGCCAGATACAACTCAATCGGGGAAACCGGTAAGTCAAGTCGTGGAATAAAGGTAAAAATGAGGGAGCAAGAACACCTCGCTCAAGTAGGTAAGAGATGATGCCACAGGGCGATGACGCACACGTTACCACTAATACTTCAGGCCTCGTGCTGGCCTTGACGCGACCCCAGACTGTTCGGCAGTAGCTTATGTCGTGGACTACGGGTTGGAAGTAGGATGCCCATGCGTCGGTGTCGGGCTGCGATGATGAGGCGAGTTGGAACCGAGTCCAGGTTGCCAACTCTGAGTTTTGTTGGGATCATGAGAGATGGAGCGGTTTGGTTTGTGATGGCAGAGGTTGCTAAAGGTCATGGCGGAGGATGGGGTGGTTTTAGGGCTCGATGGGGGCGGGCTTGCTTTTATATGCTGGGGCCACGGCACGTGACCATGCATGGTCTCGAAGGCAGTGACGTTGTTCAATAACGAACTGCATCCAACGAGCATTGAATAGTACTATTAACAACTAAGAGGGCTCAGGAGCAGATCTCTGAGACATGTCATACCGTCTATGCTCCATTGTGTGCTCATACCTATCAGCGCGGATACTGCCGAACAGCAACCTTCGCAGCGGCCAACTCAAGCAGCTCTGCATGTGGATCTAGCTCTGGCTCAGGCTCATGTGCTGTGTACATTGCGTCTCCAGGATCGAGTCAGACCTAAGACTATGCCTCAACTACTCCTCCACCTGATCAGCCAGCACCACCTTCCCAAACATCCGCCGATTCCAGACATGCGCATACGCCTCCCTCAACTCGCCGAACCCAAAGACCCGCTCATCCACGACAGGCCGGAGATCGAACGCCTCGATGGCGTGGTTCATCTCCTCGAATTGGATGCGGTTGCCGACCTCGATCCCGCGCACCACACACGCCCGTAGCAGCGGCTCCAGGAACGAGGGCCCTCCATTCCCATCCTGGCCCCCGAGAAACCCTATGACATCAATCTCACCGCCGCGGGCGACGCACCGGAATGACTGCGCGATGGTCTGCGGGCCGCCGACCTCGATAACTCGCTGACAACCCAGTCCCTCACGCGTCAACCGCCGCGCACTCTCGCCCCACTCCGGATCCTCGCGGTAGTTGAGGACATGCTGCACGCCCATCTCCCTCAGCCGACACGCCTTGTCATCCGAGGAAGTGGTGGCGATAACAGTCGCGCCGGCAGCGAGGGCGAAGCGGACGGCAAACAGCGCGACGCCGCCCGTGCCCTGCGTGAGGACTGCATCCCCTGCCTTGAGCGGGGTGAGGCCGTTCAGGGCGTTCCAGGCGGTCAGCGCCGAGCAAGGGAGGGTGGCGGCCTCGGCGTAGGTGAGGTTGGCGGGCATGCGGATTAGGGCTTGAGCGGGGAAGACGGCGTGGCGCCGGAAGGTTCCCAGGTCTTGCTGCATCTGATCGAGGGTTGGGGCCGCTCCGTGCAGGAACTTGGGATAGTAGACCACCACGACGCGGTCGTGGCGCTGCAGGTCCTGCACGTGCGAGCCTACTGCGATCACCTCCCCAGCCCCGTCTGTCCCGGGGACCTTGGTCTCTCCATCTTCTGGGTATGACCAGGGAAAGGTGCCGTTTGCGATCGAGATGTCCGGGTAGTTGATCGCCCAGGCGTGCAGGCGCACTAGGACGTCTGTGGGCCCTATGGCTGGTAACGGCAGGGAGTCATTCCATACCAGCGCCTCGCTGCCATCGCCGCCGCGGCTGGTGCCGTGCAGCTCCCAGCCGCTGGTGACGGTTGGTAGTTCTGTAGATGATGATGACATGCTTTGGACCTGATGTTGCACGGAGAATTGGAACCTCTTCTAACTGCGGTGTGGAAAGAGGCGGTGGAGAGGCTTGAAATATAACTTGGATTCGGGAGTTGGAGTCTCCAACACAGCCCTGATATCCTATGACCTCATGAACACTTGAACACATCAACGCCATTGATTTCCACGAGCGCTTACAGGTTGGGGATCCTAGACACGCCCCAGTTTCGCTTTGCAATACCCACCCAATATTCAGATCATGGATATCATAATTCAATTCTTGGCTCAACCTCCTAGGTAACATTGCACCTCCAACCCGTGGGCATCACAAAACCCGGACCCCAAAATGACATGCCAAAGGCAAAAGAAAAACAGGAACAAAGAAAGAAGAAAAAGATTGAATATAATAGCAAGCCAACGCTACAAAGCAAAATTAATCACCGGACGAAAGCGAATGGTGCGGTTGTTCATCGCCTCAAAGGCCTTGTCAATGTCACGAAGCGCAAACTCCTGCGTCTGACACTCCACGCCCAGCTGGCTGGCAAAGTCCAGCGCCTCGCGGGTCTCCGGCGCAAACCCGGAGGACCAGGTGCGAACGTTCTTGCCAAAGACTATCAGCTCCGTGAAGTCCAACGTGACGCCATTCACCGCTAGATAGAGTAGAAGAGGTCTGAATCAGCATCGCATCATTGCAACCCTAACAGCAGACGGATACACTCACGCGCAATTAGTAGGATTGAACCTCCGGGGGCAAGGGCAGCAGTCATTTTCTTGACCCTACAAAAAAATAAAGTCCAATCAGTCTTTGGCACGGTCCAAAACCCGTTCGACACATAGTCATGCCCTGACAGGGAAGAACAGCGACCTGGGCAGAGCAACGGAGAAAGAGAACTCACATCTCCGGATCATTGCAAAACATCATAACCAACGAAGCCCCCTCCCCATCCTGCTTCAGCGCCTGCACAGGATCTTCCGAGCCCGTGTGAACGAATTGGTGCGCCCCTAGCGCCAATGCAGCGTCGCGTTTGTCCTTCGTCCCGGAAACGGCGACAGTGCGATAGCCCATCTTGCGTGCGAACTGGATGGCCAGATGGCCCAGGCCGCCGATGCCACAGATGGCCACCGTGTCGCCCTGCGGGATGTGAAATTTACGGATACCATTGAAGGCCGTGATGCCGGCGCAGAGGAGCGGCGCTGTTTTGACTGGGTCCATGTCCGTGGGCACGCGGATGGCGGCGTCGGCGCGGAGCGTGCAGTACTCGGAGACTTGAGAGCATAGATCAGAATCTATACGAAAGACAAGGCAGGGAGGGGGGAGGGGGGAGGTAGCATTTACATCCACCATCGCGCGTGACACCGTTGACTTCTAGATTCGAGCAGATCTGGGGGGTGCCCCGGGCACAAGCCTTGCAATGACCGTCGTTGCCCCCATGCCAGGCGCCGCCGGCTCGATCCCCGATCTTCCAGTTTTCCACGTTGAGTCCGAGGGCGACAACCTCGCCGATGACCTCGTGGCCGGCGATAATAGGGTACTTGGTGCTAAGGACGAGAGTTAGGGTCGGTCTTGTGTGGCAGGTTATTGAGGGGGAAGAGGTACAGTACATGAAGTCAAACTCGCCGTTTTGAGTTGCCACGTCCTAGCGATCCACAGAGTCAGGACCCTCTTTGCTCATAACCTGAAGGGTCCGGGCAGGGTATAGATTAACTTACACTGTGGCAGACACCACACGCCAGAGACTTGATCAGAATCTCGCCCTCAGCCGGTTGCTTGACGGGCACGTCCCGCAGGGACCACGGGGCGTGCGGGCCGTCCAGGACGACAGCCTTGCAGGTTTCAGGGAAGACAGAAGCCATGGAGTTCACGAGCTATTGTTATTGCGAAGGAACAGATGATGTTTGTGTAAGGGGGAGTGAAAGCTCGCTTTCTGGAGAGGTAAGCAGAGGTAAGATGGAGAGATCTGAGTCGCTTGACTTGAAGCTGGTATACTATTATTTATCTTGAATTGTGGATAGAGGTGATATATGTAGGTCCATAGATGTATGCCTTGCAGATATAGGGGAGTATAGACAACTAAGCTGACTCTGCATCACGATGCCATCACAGCTCATTAAGATGCATTCCCGCATGCGGGCCGCACGATGCCGCACATCAGCCCTGACTGCATGACATCAATCCCACCACCTTCCAAGGGGAGAATAATATCCTGACTATTACGTAGCTAGGTAGCTAGGTATCTTTCTTCCCAGGCTCTTCCGGCTGGTTGCCGGTTTCGATTCCATGCTTAGGGCACAGGCAGGCTACTGTTGCCAAGATGCAGAAGCCATGTTTTGATGGCTCCTTCGCATAACCGACTACTGATGATATCGTGTTCTCAATTGGATATTGCTCATGGCATAGTATCTCTTCTCAATCTCGCGTCAGGCGCCTTGTCTATAATCGGGGTCGAAGTACGGAGTAGTATCGCAACACATGATGTTACAAAGACCAACTAATCTTGACATCATAGCCTCCAAACGTCCTACGGTGCGCTCTACGAACTCTAGCTAAAGGCTGTGCCCTTAGCAAAGCACCCATATATGCGGATCATGTAATCAAGGCCCTTATTCAAGTGTACAAATGTGACTTCATCTCCTCCCTTCAAAATGTTGCTCGTGCCAAGTACCTGGTTAGTACTAGTCACACCCTAAGCCTGCTAACAGGATGACAGAGTTTCTTCATCATATGATTGGGATTGATGGGAAGAGCAAGCCCTGACTTCATCCTAGACCGGAGGAACTCGAACATGCTTATATGTAACCCGTGTGACCACCTTCATGCCGTCATGCAGCATCCTCCAGACAAGCCAAAGTCGAAAGCTAGAGACATCAGACCAGCCCCCAACAGTACCGATGGCATCCCCCTCCCAAGCCCATCCCTCCCCCACAACCACCAAGCCCGGCTCTCCGCACACGGTGCGCGTCGCCGCCGTGCAAGCCGAAGGCTGCTACTTCGACCTCCCCGCGGCCGTCCAAAAGACATGCGACCTGATCATCGAGGCAGCCAACAAGGGATGTGATTTGATTGCGTTCCCGGAGGTTTGGATCCCTCAGTACCCCGGTTGGATCTGGTGAGAAACACCCGTCATCCCCATCCCCCACCAAACCCAACCCTAACCCCCCAAAACACAGGCAACGCCCCATCGACTTCGAAATGGTGACCGAGTACATGAAACACAGCCTGCGCCGCGACTCCCCGGAGATGCGCAGCATCCAAGACTGCGCCGCGGCGCACCACATCGCCGTGTGCCTGGGGTACTCGGAGAACGACAACGACTCGCTGTACCTGTCGCAGACGCTGATCGGCCGCGACGGGGCCATCCGCATGCACCGCCGGAAGGTCAAGCCCACGCACGTCGAGCGCACCATCTACGGCGAGGGCAGCGGCGGGTCGCTGATGAATGTCGTCGAGGAGGCTGGCGTGGGTCGCATCGGGGCGTTGTCGTGCTGGGAGCACTCGCAGCCCTTGCTGCGGTACCACACCTACTCGCAGGGCGAGCAGATCCATGTCGCGGCGTGGCCGCCCATGAATCACTATGATTCGTTTCCGGCGGGGAGTGCGTTGTGGTCGCAGTGTCGTGAAGGTTAGTCCACCCCCGTCTTTGTGTTGTAGTTGAGCGAGGACAGGTTGATGTCTGTTGGGTGCAAGTGAAAAAGGAGGAAGAAATGGCTAACCGTGACGGAAACGATAGGCGCCCACAACCTCTCCACCACCCACGCCATCGAAGGCAACTGCTTCGTGGTCCTGGCCTCCTCGTTCTATACCCAAGCCGGCATCGCGCGAATGAAGCTCGGTGACGGCAAGTTGTACCACATCGGCGGCGGCGGCTGCGCCTGCATCATCGGTCCCGATGGGCGCAAGCTGACGGAGGATCTGGGCGAGGAGGAAGAAGGGCTCGTCATCGCAGACATAGATCTCGACGAAATCAAGAAGGTCAAGGCCATGTTGGATGTCCACGGACATTACAGTCGGCCGGACCTGCTGTGGTTGGGGGTCGACAACCGGGAAAAGAAGCAGGTTCGGGCCGAAGTTGAGCTGCAGGGGACGTATATTTGAGGGGCCGGTGGGTGTGTTGTTAGCTCGTTGATCTCATGCCAGGGATGAAGAAAGCTAGGGTAATTCACTATGCGAGGTATCATGGACTTATCCATGAGTCAATGGTGTTGTTGGTAGTTGCAGCGTAATAGTGCATACGTGTGAGTGAGAAGATGAATATGCTAATAGGCAATGTTCAAGTTAATCCCATTATTCAAGAAGCTCGAGGGTTTGTTCGATGTAAAGGAGAAACTTGCTAGCCGTGCAGAAACAGTTTCTTCTTCACCTGTCAATTATGACTTTTCCGAAAGTAGCCTCGACAGGACGAAAAGAAGACGTGATTTGAACAGAGAAGTGGATAGCAAATGACCCGACAGCATCCAATATAACACAGAGTAGGAGCGTTCCTACGAACTCTCCTTGGTGTGTGCAGACTCGAAAGCATTGTCACAAGAGCATTCGGTTTCTTCTAGACCAGACCAGAGGCGTTCCGGGGCTCTGCCCCTTAACTCACCTAACTATAAGAAGGATGATGCGCAAGAGAGCCACTTTGACGTACCTGAACCGTCACATGCAGCCGGCCACGGTCGACCCCCCTTCCTGGCGCGCGGTAAAAATTTTCAATTGCCTGTTGCAGTCAATGCCGAGAATGAGGGTGGAATGACATGCATGGCTGGGACTGGGGATGGCTGTTTTCTGTTGGTCTTTGTGCCATCCAAAGATCGAGTCACATCACATCCTGACTCAAGTCCGCAACAGGCGAAGAGACCATATCACCAAGCTCAGGGACGATGGCTTCGAAGTCTGTTCGAGTCCCCAAAGACTCTGTCAACAAGTGAGTGCTAAGGATACAGTTGCTGCATTGAATGCTAATCCAGACCCAGATTTCAGGGGAGGACCATTGAGATAGTGGTTGGAGATGAGCAAAAGATCTACAACGTCCACGAGGGATTAGTCCGTGCCTCTTCCCCTTTCTTCGAAAAGGCTTTAGCAGGGGAATGGAAGGAGTCCGCGCAACGCACTATCCAACTACGTGATGATGAACCGGAGATAGTGGCGCTGTACATCCACTGGCTCTACTGCGGCAAACTGGCGGTGTGTTGTGGTGAGCCAGGCCGCATCCCCAACTCGGAATACCTGGATCTGGTCAAGGCATATGTCCTAGGCGACAAGATCCTGGACACTCTGTTCCAAGACGCCATCGTCGATGCGATCGTTGAGAGCCGCCGTTCCACAGGTCAAGATGAGACCAGCTCGTACCCTTTTGGGGAAGCGCTGGAGTATGCATACAACCGCCTCGCCGAAACAGCACCAATCCTTGAGTTATTTGTGGATATGTATGTGAGTGATGCTCATAGTTCATGGCTGCATAAAATAGCCGATTCGACCACTGTCCCGCAGCCTTTTCTTCTTAGGCTTGCTTCCAAGCTGCTGGACCGATGTGATGCTTCTTGGGATCCCCTCAAAGCCTGCAATTATCACACCCATGGCAAGAACCCTACTAAGTTACCCTCGACAGACAGTTAGTCTGAGCTTTTATGTGTGCTAGTAGCCAATTGAAGTCTACTCTCCTTCCTCGCCTACTGTGCTTCTGGTCACATACATCGTTCACTTGCCGCTCACAAAGTGGATTTGCCGGGCCTAGACATCACCCTAACGGTATTCTTTGGTATATCGACAGACTACTGGGTGAGGTTCTGCGGATACCCCCTTTTGAAGAGGATAACTCTTGCTACGCTATGAGCCTCTTATCGCTTCAGCCCAGTGACCATGTCGCAGTAGTAACTGGGGGGAAAGCATAGAAAAGGAATTTGGTAATGTCTGCAGCCGTCTGAATGGGGCCCTCAACTTGCCGACATGACACGTTAGCAATCGCTTTTATTAGGCTTCTACATTCTTGAACAGTGGAAGTAGGTTACCACGGTTTGTGACACGAAAGAGCTCATTCCCAAGCGAAACCTGATCCTGATAACGCTAATAAGACCTTCGAGTGGGCTACGAGTATGATGTGGCATTCGCACGGGCAACTCTACTGCGCTTTGTCCGTATTGTATGGGAGTAGACGGTCGTCTTCTGTCTCTATTCATCGACCTTGCCCTCATGCAAGTATATCATCAAGCAACAATGACCCGAAAAATCTATATACACAGGTTATGATCATATACAGATCCTAGAGATGAGACTAGCCCATCTAGCCATCCAAAACAAACCCCTCCCACGTCCTCATATACTCAATAAACCGCTCACTCAGCCCGGAGCTCTTGAGATACTCCGTCGTCACCGGCAGCCCAGGCGCGCGATAGTTCTCATCCACCTCCGCCTTCTTGGGCAAATCCGGATCAAGAATAGCAGCCTTGCCGAGCATAACAAAGTCGCACCCCGCGTCGAGGACCTCCGCCGCCTGGCGCGCTGTCATCACGTGGCCCGACGCGCCGACGCGCACGCCCGCCGGCCGCGGGAGGTCGGTGAAGACGCTCAGCAGCGTCTGGCCCTCGAAGGGCGCCTCGGCGGCCATCTTGCGGTAGTCCCAGACGGCGAGGTCGAGGTAGTCGATTTGGGCCTCGCGGAGGGCGCGCGCGGCGACCTCACGCATCTCGGTCAGCGGGACCCCGTACCGCTCCATGGAGATGCGGAGGCCGATCTGGAAGTCCGGCCGGCAGGTGCGGCGGATGCCGTCGATGATCTCGAAGAGGAACCGGCACCGGTTCTCGAAGCTGCCGCCGTAGTGGTCGGTGCGCTGGTTGAAGGCGGGCGACAGGAACTGCATCGGCAGCCAGCCGAACGCCGCGTGCACCTCGACCCCGTCGAAGCCAGAGCGCTGGGCCCGCACCGCCGCTGCAATGAAGGCATCCCGGGTTTCTTCTACTTGAGTAAGAGTGAGGCCTCGCACGCCCGATGAGATGGTGGAGGGTCCGACGGGCGTGCGGCCGCGGATTAGTGCGGGGGAGACGCGGGCGCCCCCGTGGTGGATTTGCACGGAAGACACCCCGCCATGCTGGCGGATGGTATCGGCCACGCGGCGCAGGCCCGGCAGATGCGCATCGCTCCAGATACCCATCTGGCCCGGGAACGCCTTCCCGTCGGGATGTACATTAGCGGCGCAGGTCATGACCATGGAGAAGTTGCCGGCCGCGCAGCGAGAGAGCCAGTGCACATCAGCGTCGGAGACAGTGCCGTCGGTGTCATCGCTCTGCCAGTTTGTTAGGGGCGCGAGCAGAATCCGATTCTTGAGGTCGGGACCACGAGGAAGGGTCAAAGGTCGGAAGAGATCGGCGACGCCCATGGCGAAAAAGACCTTAAAGTCCCGGCAGATAATGAAAGAGGTGGAACTGATAAGAGAGGTCAAGACCTGCAAAGATGATTGGTATCTTTCTCGCCGAGGAAGGCAGTCATGCGAGGATTTAGCTCATCTTGAAGAGAGGCCTTGGGCAATAGCGGCAAGATCTTTCGGCAATTGCCAAGATTGATAATAATTGGAGATTCCTGTGCAAAGTCTAGTAGCCAGTGCTAGTAAGCATGGAGAAGAAGATTGTCGAACATAAGGACCGAAATTCTATACCCACCTTGGTGACCGTTAGTTGGAGACCCCAAATGCCATTCATCGCCGGCGCGTCAAAAGCCGGGACTTGCCACCCGGTCTCCATCGAACTCCAATTCCCCTTAAATTTCAGCCACATCTAGATGATAGGCTACCGATGGGCATGTACTTGTAAGACTTTGTCTAAGACGGAGAGTCCCATGGCCCGTCGGTCTCGTTGCTGCTGGACAAGAGACAAAGCTACCTCGTACGCCTCCCTTGCCATCTGTGTCTGGTAGTGTGACGCTACCATGCGAAGAATCTTCAAAGCATCTTCTAATATATTGAGAGCTTGCGGGCGGTCTATCACCATCAGGGTGCAGGCAATTTGAAAAGGAATGTTCAAAACATGCCACCACGGCGAGGACTGGGCGACCAGGCTCTCGACTACACCGATGCTGGTGCCCATCAATTCCAGGATGGTGTCCAGGGCCCACGCGGATAGTGATCTTCCCAGTGCAGATGCGCGACGGAAGATACAGAGTGTAATGTTGCATTGCAGGAGCTGAAGCATGGGATGAGGCGGGTACATCGCGCACACATCGCGCAGTGCGCCCTCCAGCTCACTCAGGTCGTGGTAGTGCTCGGGCGAGGTGAGCAGCATCGAAACAAGGTATAACTCGCGCTGTTCGATCGTCCAACCGGTGTGCGGCAGTTGGACGGAGGCGCCCCGCAAGTCTACCTGAGACTTTCCGAAGTCCAGCGAAACCCAGGTGTTGAACAGACGGGCGACGTGGTAGACCTTGCGGCGGCGTTCCGAAGAACAGCCTTCTGCAGTAGTCTGCTGGGCCAGGTATGAGTTCGTATCCGTGTCGAAGTGCATCTTGCTGGTCTCGATCATGTGCATCAGCGTGCAACTGGCCATCCAAGTCGCATGCGGTGTACTGTTGAAGCGCAGATAGATGACACGGAGCAGCCATCCAACCACATGGTCGACATGAGGTTGTGGAAGCTGGCTGGAGTATTCGAGAGTCACCCGTGCGCTATAAACTAGTTGCCGCTCGAGCTCTGAGCCTTTGGTCTGACGATCATTATCGAACAGACAACCCAGCGCGGCAATGCCCAGGAGGAGCGAATCGACAGCACTGCATGACACCGGGACATTCCAACGTTCTACGATAGCCTCCTCCACTTCAGCACGATCGAGAAAGTCGTAGACAGGGGTTATCTGAACGAAGTAGGTAGAGGCAAGACTGGTCATCTTTCCAAGGGTCAAAAGGTCCGTCAGCCCCACCACATTCGGTAGAAATTCCAGCTCGGGGTCAAACCCCAGATTATAAGCGTGGGGATGTAATGGCAAGGCCGGGTGGGAAGTTTCACTCTCCCCCCTTGCTGCTAACCGCTGAACAAAGACTGCGGGTGAGTTCGCCTCCAGCAGTTGGAGCTGCGTTTGTCTGTCGACCGAAGAAGGCGCATGACCATCTTTGTCGCTGGGATCTTCTGCTAGGCGGTTCCGAGAAGGGGGTTTCGCACGACGTCTCTGTTGATAAAAGCATTCGTGGTTCGTACGGGTGCAGTACGAGCATGGAAGCTCGCCGTTGCATTTCCGCTTGCGGTCTCGACAGGACGTGCAGGCTTTGCTGGACCGTGAGTTCTCCATGCTGGATCCTGGTGGAACATGATGCAGAGCTTTCGCTGACGAGCCTCTAGGGGCTGATCACATGAAGTAAGGTAACTAGTGTTTGGAGACCCCGAGTTCTTGATGGACATAACATCATACAGCGCCTGCGGGCCGCATCATTGCCGCATCATCCGCATCTCCGCAATCTTGCATCAGTGACGAGAAACCGTGCATGTCTCAATGTGGTCAAAGAATGTGTTCCTCCTCGCGTCGATAAAGTCTCGCATTATCGCTTTTGGGGCCACTCTGCTCAGTCTGTCATACCAGAATTCAAGATGGTCATCCACAGCGCGATGGAACACTCTTCGGCCATATTTTCCGCAGCGGAGAAGCAAGAGCCGCACCGTCAGCACTTGACATTCGCAACAGATTTATCTTTTTTGTTGGGATCTCATCCTGTCCCACCCCCTAAATTGAAGCATCTTGAGTCCCCTTATGAATGGACACGACATTACAAAGGGGTCCTAACTGGAGTGTCATGCATTGCAACTCTATTTGCCTCCTTCGCGGCGAGCTGCTATAGTCCCGGAGCAGCGCAAATGGAAGCCGAATGGCATGTCAGTCAAGTCGCTAGTCTGGTCGGGATCACGACCTTCACCGGCGGTTTCGCAATTGGCCCCATGTTCCTCGCCCCTTTTTCGGAGATCTATGGGCGGAAGCCAGTCTTCATCGCCACGGCCATCCTTTTCGCGATTTGTCAAGTATGCTGCGCAGTCACGCGACTGTATTCCGGGTACGTACGGCATGTATCCGAGCTTATCCCCCTCGCCTACCTTCTGTTCTTGACTCTTGGCTTCTGGCGTACCATGCAAAGACTGACTCTCTAGAGGGATTCGTGAAGCATGTTGGTAGCGCGCTTCTTCTGCGGCATCGGAGGCTCCACCTTTTCCACCATGGTGGGTGGGGTTATGGCGGACATTTACCACTCCCAGAATCGCAACGCTCCGATGGCTCTCTTTTCCTGGGCCGCACTCTTCGGCACGGGTCTTGGGCCCTTGGTCTGTGGATTTATCAGCCAATACACCGGCTGGCGTTGGATCTTCTACATCCAGATTATTATCGCTGGCTTGATAACCGCGGCGGTCCTGGCCTTCTTCCGCGAAACACGCGGACCCGTTATTCTCTGCGAGAAAGCCCGACGATTGAACGAATGGCACAGAGCCATGGAGGCAGATGCGGCTGCCACTGCCGCAGGGGAACAAACGGCTCAGGACACAGACAGACAAGAGCTCAGGCGCATGGACATGGTTCGATGGCAGGTGGCTGCGGATGCGGAACGTGCTGGAATTCTGCAGCTGCTTCGGACCTCGCTGCTGCGGCCTTTCACCATGCTTTTCACTGAGCCTGTTGTCTTCTTCTTCTCCCTTTGGGCAGCCTTCAGTTGGTCGGTTCTCTACATAAATCTCTCTGCCATCCCGCTCGTCTTCGAGACCGCTTACTCGTTCTCGCTCTCGTCTGCCAACGCCATTTTCGCAGCCTCGTGTATCGGGAGCACGGTGGCGCTAGCCTTATGCCTGGTACAGGAGTCTCTGGCAACCAGCTTCTGGTACACGCGCAAGCGAGATCATCAGTCCATGTGGAATTCGGTGCCCGAACACCGGCTGTATTTCAGCTGTGTGGAGAGCTTGCTTCTACCACTGGGCCTTTTCCTGTTTGGCTGGTCAGCGCAGTACCAGGTGCACTGGATAGTGCCTGCTGTGGCGGTGGGAATTTCTACTGTCGGAATCTTCTCAATCTATCTCTCCGTGTTTAACTATCTGGCCGACACCTATCATCGTTACGCCAGTTCCGCTTTGGCTGCCCAGAGCTTTTGTCGGAATATGCTGGGCGGGGTTTTTCCTCTCATCTCTCGGCAAATGTTCACTCATCTAGGATTTGGCGCTGCAGCCAGTCTGCTTGGCGGCGTGGGCATGGCTTTGACACTCGTACCGTGGATCCTGGTCTGGTGTGGGCCCTTCATCAGAAGACGGAGCAAGTTGGCCCGGGAGATCATGGATTGATTTTGAAAGCAGAGAGTAACAGAAAGTCGCGGTAAGAGCGCAATCCGGAGGGCACCTGACACATCACCCACTGCTTTTTCTTTTCACGCAATGCCCAGGTTCATGTTGTCACCCGACTTGTCGAGGGGGATTTCAAAGATCCAGGCATCAATTCCGCGTACCGATCCAGACTCTGGCCAATGAACCTCACCATCGGCCAAGGGCTATTGCAAACCTTGAACATCTGTGCCCAAACTTTGACGACTGCAGAGCTGAGGAAGCTGGCAGTTCGATGCAAGGCCTCTAGCCGATAATCATCAATTTCATGACTGATGTGGATTGTCTCGTCCTGTGACATAAACGCTTCCCGTACGACACGGATAATCCACCGGACAACGCGTGTTTCCAACTCTATGTGGGCCACATTAGTCTTGCGATAAGAGTGAGGGGCGATAACAACCTACCAGACAGTGTCTGCTCCTCATAGGAAGCTGCCACTACTTGCAGCCACTTACTCAGGAAGATAGCACATTCCAGATCACAGACAGCATGATCAACGCTCCAGCCGAAAGATTTGAATTGAGAAAGATAAGAAGTGCCCGCCTGTACAGGAATGTTCAGGGAATGGACAGAATGTAGCAAGGCATGTATGAGATGAGGACCGCGCGTAGGCAGGGGCGCCTCGTACAAGCCAGCGGCGACTATTGCGGGATCGCCGCTCTGTAGATTGCGCCACTTTCCAAGGTTGTAATACAGACGAATATATGCCACACCCAGCAGGGCAGTGGCGGAGAACGCAAGCGAGCTATATGAATCATACAGGTCCAGCTTGGATTCGGGAGAATGGCACCAGGTGTGTCGCCAACGGTCAAGCGACGGCTCCAGTTCTTGGGCGGTTTGCATAGAGAGACTTTGTGTCTGTGGGTCCAGAGAGATTTGGTGCATCATGTAAATACGCTGGATAAGTGCGTGGATCAATATATAGTTTCCCATGGGCGATGCAACGAATTTTGCAGATGGGCCTTGTCCAAGATGGGCCTCATGGGCCTCCTTCAGGTTAATTGTAGATGCATGAGTACCGACATGAATCCATGCAGCTTCCGTTCGCGCAACCCATTCCTGGCACGACGATGGAAGCTGCAGGTTGACATCCCTCGTGAGCAGTAGAGGTGGATTATCGTATGTGAAGGCATGAAAGTTGAGTATATACCAACCGAAGAATTGAGTGCGCCGTTCTGTTTCTAGCTTGATCCACTGAGTCCAGCTGGTTCTGTCATGATGCGGCCCTTCGGACAGACCAAGTCGGCGGAGCGAGTCAGCGATCATGCTCTGGTATTGGTGCGAGTCCTGCGACAGATCCGGGCTGCTGTGCCAAAAGCAATAGACGGCCAACAAGAGCAGAGCACGGGTTCGGTCTAGACGATGTTCTCCATCGCCGGATGAAGGAGTTGCGCTACTTTGATCAGGCGCGATAGAATTGATGTCACAGACACTGTTAACTGTGCGAAGACGTTCCAGTACGATAGATCGGCTAGCTTGGTACAGAGACCTGGCAGTCTTGGTTTCGTAGCGATACTGGGCGCCTATGGCCAGCATCGCCAGGATGAACTCGGGAGTATGGACAAAGGAGGTCAATTTGAGGGTTGGGATATGGATGAACGGGTGATGATCACTGAAGCCTTCGACATATCCAAGTAAGTAGCGAGCAACGGCCATTCTCGAGGGCAGCCTGAAATGGGGCATAGCTTGTCGAAACGGCGCCAGCGCGTTGGTAATCTGCAGATACTGGCTCTCGTTCAAAAGCCAAGGACAGCTAAGAGGCTTCAACTCGTGGAAATCACCTGGCAAGGGATTAGTAGAAAGTCTTGAAAAAGTCGAGTCAAAACAAACCATCGCCTGACGGGTCATCCGGTACCCGCGAAGAAATATCTGTGCTGTCTGGACTGATCTGCTGGATTGTATCGTGCTCCGGCAAGTTGTGGTCATGCGACACAATGCTTGGGTCGACCAGCAATCCTTCCCAGTCATGACTCCAGTCCCCATGGGTCAAGAACCTGGTGAAGCCAGAAATCGGATCATCGCAGTCCGCAAAGAGACCGTTCGTGGAAGACAAGAGGAAGTTGTCGAAGGAATAAGGCACGGCGGTGTTCCCCAGGAATGCAGTGTCTGATTGCTGAGAGATGGTGGTCGATGTCAACGGCTCGTGTGCAATGGCATGGGATATAGAGTCAGTATGGTCGCTCATGTGGTCCATGGTTGAAAGACCAATAGATGCAGCGTTTGTACTAGTGATGGTTCGATCCACCGCGGGTGACATGCTTCCTGGCCCACAATCAATGAAATGTCCGCTTCTATGCGAGTGGGGGACAGCACACACACCTCGAGCAGCCCCTTGCCTCCCGTCAAGGCCATGGCTCAAGCGTTCATGTCGGGTTAGTAAGTCTTTTCGGGAGAATGAACGACCACACGGGCAGATATATGGTTTATCTTTAGTATCTGTAGGGGATTGGTCTGTCAGCAACAGATCTGCGGTGTACTGTTTCCGAGTGGATACCCACGAGTACGAATGTGTCGTTGCAGATGCTCGTGCCTGTTGAAGGTGCGCGAACATATCTTGCAGGTCAGCTCCTCGCGACGAGCGGCGGATGCAGGACTCAATGGACGAAATGACATTCCTTGACTCATCGTGCCAGATTCCAGTCAAGGCATTGTAAGCAAGAGTCCGAGGGGCCAGAGATAGACTCTGATGAATGTGGAGGGAAGGTTAGCACGGAGTAATTGAATAGGTAATCCATGATGGTAGTCAATCAGTGGCAGTCGAGAAGGAGAGAGTGCACGTGACAGACCTTACCTCAGTTTTAATCGGCGTCGATAAGCTGCGATAAGATACGATAAGACACGTGCGATAATGTCGCCTGAGCTTTTCAGGTTGAAATTATGCAATGAAAATGACTGCTGTACTTGTAGAGAGCATCAGCCAGGCTTATCGCAGGATCAGCCATCGTCCCTCTTCCTGCTTGAAAATCGAGGAAAATTCGAGGAAGATTCGTGGTTGGAAATTTGTTGGAGATATGTTGGAGTCTCCAACTCTGGCTCCAGTCGGCAATTCTAGTTGCAGCCTGAGGCTTTCGAATATGATGGCCTCGAGTCAAACAAAAGAAACGGTGCAAACAATCGAAACAGCCGGCGATCCTCTATTACCCGCGGCGTGTATGAAGCGAAGCTTTCACTAGTCGCCATCTCTCACAGCACGAAATGGAAGTATAAGGGAACACTCCTTGTACTCCATCGTGTTGATCGGAGCAGGCAAACCTTGAAGGTCAAACAGCTTGCACGAGACAATTCAATGCCTGAGGCAGATGCTAAGTACAGTACTCAACTGTACATGATCGAAACAGCGTCGTCCAATTGCAGCGAGACACTGCTACTCCTCAAACGTCACCCAAAAGTATAGGCGCACAAATTGTGTTAGATGACCCACCATGCTACTAAACCCCATTCACGTTCGCGGCCGTCGCAAAATACGGGATGAAGATGATGACGCTCCCAAGCCCATTCCCAGCGGGCCCCGAGGCGGCCGGCCACTGCTATCAGCCCAGGCGAAGCTCAGTTCATCGCAGACTAGGAGCCACAAGCGCGCTCGTCTACTGACTACCACCCCACTCGACAAGCCGCGCAAGAAGAAAAAGCCATCACTGCTGGAATCTATTCCCAATGAACTCATCGAGAAGATCTTTCTGCATTCTTTGAACGTGAACCTGGCTCGTTCGTCCCCAATCCTTGCTGCGGCTGTGTCGACTGAGCGCATCTACCGTGCTTTGATCTTGTTGGCCTTCTGGGATAACAGCACGGAGTTATCTGCATCACCCTACAGCCGTGAATCGAGGGATGCAATTTCCCGAAGTCTACGACCATTGGACTACACGCCTATCAGCCTGGCGCAGCGGAAAGACCTGCAGACGGCTATCCTTCACTGTAGATGGTGTACCGTGCCGCGAATACTCGACCAGTTACCGGAATTGATGAATCTGGTCATTCAACAACACTGGTTTGGTGCAGGAATCAGCATGGCCGAAGAGCAAGAGAAGCTGTTAGATCGTGTGCTCAATCTAGAAGATGATGCAAATGTGTTCGAGGGCTTCGAAACCATCAACACTACCCCTGACACATCGACACCTGTACCCACAAACAACTACACCCTTGCCATCAACCCTTCAATATCTATCACCATCACCAACCATTCCATCGAACAGGAAACCACGCACCCTTTCCTCAGCCCCTTGATCATTCCTAACAAATATCTTCAAGGGAGCACAGCTAGTGACTCCGCGCCGGCCACTCCCTCCTCATCATTATCGGACGACGGCTTCACTCCAGCCTTGGTCACCTACCTTGAAATCCACCGACGCTCCCTAGGATTTAACAGTGTTACTCTTCCCCTGAGACCCCCTAAACACCCTCTCATCCTTTCTCGTCCCTGCTTGCAACAAGGAATCCATACCGCCATCGTATCCAACAATCTTTCCGCTCTCCTCACCCTCCTCAAACTGGACGAGTTCTACTTCCGCGTCACCGAACAGCAACACCTTACCGCGCAGGACCAGGACCAGGATCGGGAGCCGGTCATCCCCTACGCGTTATCTGCTGGGCACTTCCGCACCGCGGTGCGCTTGGCCCCGCGCAACCCGGAATTCTTCCAAGCACTCGTGCGGGCGAACGCCGAGTCGGTCCCCGCCGACGACCCCGAGATCACGGATTGGGCAATGCGCCTTCAGGATCCGTTCGGCCGGTGGCTGTTGGAGCTGATGCTGCGGCTGCCCGAGCAGACGGCGGCGGCGAAGCGCAATCCGGTCCAGAACTCGGTGTTCTGGATGGGGCGGGCGAATGCGGACAGACGTGAACTGGCGAGCATGTATCTGCGGGACGTGTTGGGCGGGGTGGAGGGGCTGGAGAGTTGGATGGGCGAGATGCATGTCCCACTGTCATTGCCATCCTCGTGATTGTTCCCTGATTCATTCTGCCGGCCGCGGAGGCGGTGGATGGGACGCTCTGGCGGCAAAAATCGCCGAGGCCGGCGGAATTATCCTCTGCGACATCTGGAAAGTATGTAAAGCGTTTCCTGATCTACTCCATCAAACAAGCAAACCCTCCCCTACACCATCACTGCAGCGCCCTTCGACCCCACACACCAATCCAGCGCCTATCACGACCCAATTGACAAGACTTACCCAAACACACCGTTGGCCGGCGCGATGCCGCGACTCTCGACCCGCACGATCCTCCAAGCGTACGCGCAAGACGCACTGCTCCCGCTGCTGCTCCGCGAATGCCGGACTGTTGACTCGGCCCGCAGCGAACTCCGCTGGCTCCGCCAACACGCGATCGACCTCACCCAACAACGCAAAGAACAACGCTATCGACGCCTCCAACAAGCCCGCAAAACCGGCCAAGCATCCGAAGGACCACATTCACCCCGGAATACACAACCCCACCGTAAACCCACGCACCGCCACGCGCCCGAAAACGCCCTCCCAAAGGGCTGGCGCCGCACGCTGCGCACCCTCTGCCGCGCCCGCTCGCGCGGCACTCCGCTGCAATATCTCCTCGGCGACCAACCGTTCGGCGACCTGACCATTCTCTGCCAGAAGGGGGTCCTCATCCCGCGCAACGACACCGAAACCTTCACCTACGCCGCGGCCGAGCAGATCCGCCAACACTTTCCCCCTCCCAAACCCGAACCCAACCCCGCCTCCCCACCACCATCATTATCATCACCCTCACCCCCATCCCCATCCCCAACAACCACCACTCCCCCAAACCCCTCCCCCGCACCCTCTCGCCCCCCTCAACCCCTCCGAATCCTCGACCTCTGCACCGGAACAGGCTGCATCACCCTCCTCCTCCACGCCCTACTCTCACCAAGCTACCCCTCCCTCAAAATCGTGGGCATCGACATCCACCCGCCCGCCATCCGCCTCGCGCAGAAGAACCTGCGCCACAACATCACGCTCGGCGACCTGCCAGCTCGCGCATCCCAGGACGTGGAATTCCGGCGCGCGGACGTCCTCGCCTGCCCCTCTGCGCCCACCTCCCACTCCAAGCTTAGGGGGCGGGTCCCCGCGCTGGAGGAGCTCCTTCCCTACATCCCGGACTTTTGGCCCCGCGCCCAAGATGCATCAAAGCCGAACGGGCAAATGGGGAGGGAAGGGGAAGGGGAAGGTGGAGCAAAGGTTGAAGTCGACGTGATCATCTCCAATCCCCCTTATATCTCCCGGACAGCATTCCTGGATGGGACGACGGCGCGGAGCGTGCGGTTCCATGAGCCGGTTTTGGCGTTGGTGCCGCCTTCTCCTGCTTCGCAGAATGGCATGGTGGAGGGTCTAGGGCAGGGGCAGCGGCAGGGAGAGGGGCAAGGGGAGGATGTGTTCTACGCGCGGATTGTCGGGTTGGCGGGCAGGGTTGGGGCGAGGATGGTGGTGTTCGAGTGTGGGGATTATGAGCAGGGGGGGCGGGTGGTCGAGCTGTGTCGACGGGGTGTTACGGCCCGAAAGCTGGGAGGGAGATGGGAGGTGGGGATTTGGGAGGATGAGACTGTTGTTGAGAGTGGAGGGGAGGGGGGGAAGGAGGGGGCGTGTATGGTTGTTATGAAGCAGGTGGATGTTCAGGGGTGAGGTTGCTGTGATTTGCCTGGTGTTTTAGAATATTGGATGTGTCTAGCGAATTGTGGATTTTGTGAACGATGAGGTATTTTCATGGCTCATTCAGCGCTATCACTATCAGATATTCGTCTGGTTCTTTTGATTAACCCGCCAATGCAGAAAGAAACATCCAGCGCTATGTCCATCTGCTGGTTGATGTATACAGAACGAAATCACTCGTGCAAAGAATACACACCCTAAGTCAACCCGGCTACTTCCGACCCTTCCCCTTCGTCGTCTTCGTCTTCTTCCCCGCCGACTCATCCACCATCACCGGCGACTGCAGGATCCGCTCCATCAACAACGCCGCCGCAACACTGACATTCAGACTGTCCACGCGCGCGGGATCACTCTCCACCCCCAGCCGCGGATCGAACCGCGCGCCGGGGATCCCCACCTTCACGTCCGCAGCCGACAGCAGATGGGTACTCAACCCGGTCCCCTCACTGCCCATCATCAGCACGCAGGGCGCCTGCGCGGTCACCGGGCCCTCCGCGGTGCCACCACCAATGTCCGAAACCACCTGGGAGGCGGGGCCCGGCATGTCCGCGGCGAAGAACCGCCAGCCGTTCTCCTTGGACTTGGCGATGAACTCCTGCTCGTTGCGCACGGCCAGCAGCGGCATGTTCTCCGCGGCGCCGGCGGAGGCCTTGATGGTGACTGGGGTCAGCGGGGCCGAGTTGCGGCCCGCCAGGACCACGGCGTCGATCCCCAGGTAGTACGCGGAGCGGATGATGGCGCCCATGTTGCCGGGGTCCTGCACGCCGTCCAGCAACAGCACGACGGGGTAGCGGTGGGTGCTGTCCGTGGCATCGGGGTGATCGGAGAGCCAGCGGGCATGGTTGATGGGCACGAGGGTGTCCGTGCCGTTGACGGCGGCCTCCTCGCGCGACTGCACGCCCAGCTCGACCTGGAAGTTCTCCTCCGCGACCGAAGCGACGCGGTGGAAGTGCGCGACAGGCAGCTGCGGGAGGGGCGAGGCCTCCAGCACGACCCCGTTGTGGGGGCGGCCCGCGCTCATCTTGTCGAGGAGCCGGTCCCACTCCGCGAAGGCCATCTTGACCGGCACGTTGTTGAGCAGCGCCAGCTTGCGGATCGCCGACTTGGCCTCGGACAGGCTCTCGCCCTCGGACTGGTAGATGTAGAGCTTGTAGAGCTGGCGCCGCGTGCAGCGCAGCGCCGCCTCGACCGCCGCCGTGCCGAAGACGAACTGCGACGCTGGCGTCGTGTAGGGGATTTCGGCCGGGGGCAGCACGTGGGCCTTGACGCGTTCGGGGACCTGGTCGGTGCTCTCGTGAGTGTACTGCCCGACCTTGCGCCGCGCGTTGCCGGGTTTCTGCTTCGAGGGCGAGGGCCGGAGGTCCTGCGGGCTGCTGTCGCTTCGGTCGAAATTCGACACTCGACCTCGCCGGCCCTGCTTATAGTCGTGGCCGCTCTTGTCGCCGTTCGCGCCCCGATCATTATCCCTGGAGAGCTTCTTGAAGTTGCCCGTGCGGATGAACTCGACCTCGTCGAATTGCGCGCCTAGGAAGGACTTCTTGACGTTCAGGGTCGTCCGCGTGTCGGCAGACTTCTCACCGCGCTGGAACGAGGGAAACCGGGACCCATCCCGGGGGCCCTCCTCGCGTCTATTGCGCCTTCGTTCATATCCCTCGTTCTGGTTGGATCCCCGTTCTTCCGTCTCCCAAGCCCGATCCTCCCTGGATGTTGACGCTTCCGTCTCCCAAGCCCGACCCTTCCTGGACGATGATACCGCCCGCTCGCCGTCGCCTCTTCCGCGCCTGGCACCACCCCGAGACCCCCTATCGTGTTTATCATGTTTCTTATTCCTGCGATCTTCACCCCGCTCCCTCTCCATCCGCGCGGACAGTGACCGCCCCGACCGTTCCTCTCGTCCGCCATCTAGCTTATCCTCCCGGAACCGAGACCGACGGATCCCGGCGTGGATGGCCGAAGTCAGCGAGGCATGGCGGACGCTCGTGCTGCCGGAGGCAGTGTGCAGGCGCAAGGACAGCGGTGTGCTGTGCGGGAGTCGCAGGCTTCTCGAGAGGGTTCGAGGGAGGGACATCACAAGGACGAAGCGTCTGCTTGCGACGGCGGTTTCTAGTGGCGAGGCTGTGGTGACAGTCCTGAGTTCCGTGTCGAGTATTCGTGAGAGAATGACGGGAAATGAGGGATAAAGACACAGCAGTAAGCACGGGCGTTATTCGTTAGAAGAGACCTGAAGCATGCGAGGAGAATTGAGCAGGGACAGCAAGCCGAGTGGAAGCGACACCCCGACAGATTTCATATGGGCCGATCAGTCTGCGGCTCGGGAGGATAAGCTCCACCCGGGAGATTATTGTTCCGGATAACGCCTCGATCCATTTGCCTCTTATCGATAAGCGCCCAGTTTTGATGGTTTCGATAAGCCCAATGGTAACTTGTAAGCCCAGTTGGCTCTTTATAAGGTCATTGACAAGATAGCTACAAATAGCTCAATCATGCGTTAAGTGACAGTCACAGGTCCCTGCCCGGACAGGATTTCATTCATTAATTCAGCGCTGAAAACCACAGTACGCCCCAAATCACGACTGAAGGGGCTCGCCCATTCCGCCAAAGGTAACACTTTTGACCACCAGGAACTCCTCGATACCATACTTGCTACCCTCCCGGCCAAAGCCACTCTGCTTGACACCGCCGAAGCTAGGACACTGTTAGCTGACAATTCATGGAAGACCATTGCAAACTGGGCGAACACTCACGGAGAAGCAACATCGCTGATCAGACCGGTGTTGACACCGACCATACCCACCTCCAACGCCTCGGCCACCCGGAAGATGCGCTTGACGTTGCCGCTGAAGAAGTACCCGGCCAGGCCGACCTCGGCCTGGTTGGCCAGGTCGACGACCTCCTTCTCCGTCTCGAAGGGGAACAGGCCCGCGACGGGACCGAACGTCTCTTCGGAGGCGAGGAGCATCTCCTTGCTCATCTCGGAGAGCACGGTGGGGTCGTAGAAGTTGGGCCCCAGGTGCGAAGCCTTCTGTCCGCCGGCCAGGACCTTAGCACCCTTGGACACGGCGTCCCGCACGTGCTCGTCCACCTTCTGGACGGCGCGGTCGTGGATGACGGGGCCGTGGGTGATCCCTTCCTCGAAGCCCGCGCCCAGCTTGAAGCCCTTGACCTTCTCGGCGAACCGCTTGGCGAACTCCTCGTACACCCCGCGCTGCACGTAGATGCGGTTGGCGCAGACGCACGTCTGGCCCGAGCTGCGGAACTTGGAGGCGATGGCACCGGCCACGGCGGCGTCGAGGTCCTCGACATCATCAAACACGATGAACGGCGCATTGCCCCCGAGCTCCCAGGAGACCTTCTTGATCGTCGAGGACGCCTGCTTCATGAGCAGCTTGCCCACGTTCGTAGAACCGGTGAAAGACACCTTGCGGACCTCCGGGTGGGTGGTGATCACCTCACCCACCTCGGGGGTGTTCTTCGAGGCGGTGACGATGTTGACGACGCCCTTGGGGATCCCCGCCCGGTGCGCCAGCTCGGCGAGGGCGTTGGCCGTGAACGGCGTCTCGCCGGGGGTCTTCGCGACCACCGTGCACCCAGCGGCCAAGGCCGGCCCGATCTTTCGGGTGATCATCGCGGCGGGGAAGTTCCAGGGGGTGATGAACCCGCACACACCCACGGGCTGCTTGAGCGTGATGACCCGGTTGCCTGCGATCGAGGACGGGATCGTGTCGCCGTAGATGCGGGGCGCCTCCTCGCTGAACCACTCGAAGAACCCGGCAGCGTAATTGACCTCGCCCTTGGCGTCGGCAAAGGGCTTGCCGTTCTCCCAGGTGATCAACGTCGCCAGGTCGTCCGCGTTATCCACCATCAGCTGGTACCAGCGGCGCAGCATGCGCGCGCGCTCGCGGGCCAGAGTCTTCCGGAAGGCCGGGAAGGCTTCCTTGGCCGCCAGGATGGCCTTCTCGGTATCTGCGGAGGAGAACTCGGGGCACGTTCCGATGAGCAAGCCTGAAGCAGGGTCTGCACGAGCGAGTGAGAAGCATTATTAGCCTAGCCCTTATCTCCTCCACCAGATATAATAAACGGCGACCAGCTTACCATGTACCTCGAACGTCTCCCCAGACTCAGCACCAACCCACTCCCCATTGACGTAAGCCTTCTCAATGAAGAGCGACTTGTCTTTCAACTAGAAAGTCAAAAAGGAATCAGCATTTCAAATCCAGCGTCCCCAACCTCCCCCTCCCTTGCACAAAACCTCCCAGAGATGACCCACCGGAGGTACCGTATGCCCCATATTGCTATACAACCGCTTCGCATAAACCGGCGGCGGAAGACGGAAGGGATAACGCGGCCGCGACGATTTCAACAACTGTTTCGAGACCGGACGGATAAACCTCTCCATTATATGCATGCGCTTCTTACTTTCCCAGCCCAAACCCACGGAAAAACAGCTCTCCCGCAAAATGGAAAAGCTCGTGCAGGACGTGTCGTCGTCTTCGCTGCCTCTTCTCAACCAAAAGTGCGGGGATAGACAAGCCTCGGAGGAACTGCGGAGCGGTGTTTGTGAACAAGAACTTAGAGAAAAGAAAGTCACGATCGATCGGTTAGGAATTTATGATAAAGAAAAAGGAAGAGAGGAGGGTTTGACAGGAATACAACACGAGGCCCTTGGCCGGGGGGAGATAGGCCAGCTATTTAAATGCCAGTGGAATGGGGGTGAAAGTTAAGGTAACTTACCTAGCTAGTACTTACCTTCCTCTCCCTTCCTCTTCCAATACTTTACCATTCGGTTTGAGGGGAAGCTTCCCCCACTGCAGTCACGGTCACGTGGGGTCGACGTCATTGCGGGATCGCTGGGATCTCGTCCTTAAGTTCGTCGGCATTGGATTCGGCTGCAATTCATCAAGACATACCTTACTAGGTACCCTCTTGGCTACTAGATTCAATGACATTCCACAATACTTGTCAAAGACCTCTCATACTGAAGGCATATGATTTCTCTCTCTCCTGAGTGCACATATCCTCCCTGTATAGTACCACACACAATACCAGAAATTACACAATGGTACCGAACGGAACGTTATCAGTCGGCAGCCCGCCCAGCAGCGAGCTTAACCTCGGCGATGTAAGCCAATCGGCTGGATTTGTTGAACAGCTCCGGTATCGTTGCCCAATCATGTGTCGTCGCAGCCACAGCTATAAATACGGGCGTCTGCCACCGCCAGCACTGCGGGCAGGTATGTTAATCGGCATCATCCATCCATGGAAGTGCTCTCTTCCTGCCGTGAACTATGACTTTCTTCGTCCCATGGATTTTGAACAGGATTCCAAGGACAGGATGTGAATCGACAACTATAATACTGTCATCTGCCAGATTGTTGTGGCTACATGGCCAGTCTTACAAGGTGTACGTCTACAATTGCCGTCCACGGTCTCACAATGCGCTTTGCTACTGTAGTAACCAACCGAGAAATAAAAGGACATCAATATTCATTCATCTAGTAGGGATATGGTTCTTCGCAGGCATGCAGACAACAAAAAAAAAAAAAGAAAAGAAAAGAAAACTAGCAACAAACAACGAAACTACTCGTCCTTAGCCCACGGCAGACTAAACGTGCCCGCCCAGTCCTCGACCTCCTGGCGCAGTTGCACGATCTCCGAGATCTCCTCGCCCTCGCCCACGTAGTCCAGGAAGGCCTTGACCGTGTTCGGGTTCTTAACGCCCTTGGCCGTCGCGCTCTCCTTGGCGGCCTTGTCCAGCTTCTGGGTGATGACCACCGCTCGGTCCACGATATCCGCCACCCGACGGAAGTCCTCCGGCTGGAAGCCCCGCGTCGTCATGGCGGGCGTGCCCAGGCGCAGGCCACCGGGCTTCAGCGCCGACCGGTCGCCGGGCACCGTGTTCTTGTTGCTGGCGACACCGCACAGCTCAAGGACTCGCTCCACACGCGCGCCGTCCACCCCCCGGTTCTTCAGGTCCACCAGCACCAAGTGGTTGTCGGTGCCACCGGAGACGATGTTGTAGCCCAGTCCGCCGCTGCTGAGGGGCGATCCCAGTCGCTCCGAGAGAGCCTGTGCGTTGGCCAGTACGGTCTGCTGGTAGGTCTTGAACTCGGGCGACTGGGCCTGTTTCAGCGCCACGGCCAGGGCGGTGATGGTGTGGTTGTGAGGCCCGCCCTGGTGGCCGGGGAAGACGGAGGCGTTGATCGGACCCTCGAGGTCGTACATCTCCTTGTTGCCCTTCTTGTCCGTCCGGCGGACACCCTTGCGGTAGAAGATCATCGCCCCGCGCGGACCGCGCAGGGACTTGTGTGTAGTGGTCGTCACGATGTCGGAGTGGGTGAACGGCGAGGGGAGGACGCCCGCGGCGACCAGACCGGAGATGTGCGCCATATCACTGAGCAGATACGCACCGGCGGCATCGGCGATCTCGCGCATGCGCGCGTAGTCGATCAAACGGCTGTAGGCCGAGGTACCGGCGATGATCATCTTGGGGCGGTAGAGAAGAGACTGTTTCGCAAGGCTGTCATAGTCGATGAGACCCGTCGACTCGTCCAACCGGTATGGCAGAGTCTCAAAGTACTTCGAGATGAAAGAGATCTTCTTGGTAGGTGTCTGGTAGCCGTGGGACAGATGTCCGCCGTGGGGCAGGTCGAGGCCCATCAGGCGATCGTGGGTGTTCAGGACGGCAGAGATGGCGTACAGGTTGGCAGGGGAGCCGGACAGAGCTGCAATCAATTAGACTAGGGCCTACAATATCAATATTGATAAGTTCAATGAAGGTACTCACGCTGCACGTTCACGCCCCATTCTTCCGGGTTGAGACCGAAGGTCTCCAGCGCTCGCTGCTGACAGAGGCGCTCAGACTGATCGATGAACTCATTGCCTCCGTAGTACCGAGCTCCAGGATACCCCTCGGAGTATTTATCTGGTGAACGTCAATATTCATTCCCGTACCTCAGTCAAGTGTGTTCGAAAAGGTGGATGACTGACTCTGCATAACACTGCCCAAGGCATCGAGGACGGCCTGGGAGGTGAAGTTCTCGGAGGGGATGAGGTTGATGAAATGTTGTTGGCGTTTTTTCTCCTGCAAAGATCATACTCCATCAATTCCCCGTCCTGAATACATTCCTAGCAGCTGGACCAACCTTCTGGAGGATCTGGTAGATGGCGGGGTCGGACTCTTCGAGGTGGGCGGAAAGCAACTATACTCCGATGGTCAGTACGGGTGGTATGACATCAGACATCGCCGGACCATGCGAGCGATGCTCATCGGGGGACCAGAACGCACAGTTTGTTGGACTTCAGGGCTGGAAGAGGAAACAGAACGAGATTGAACAGGCATAGAAGGAAAAGAAGCGACCGCCGAGCGCATAGGACGAGGGAGCACGAAGGCCGGCTTCGCAGTGCGCGGGAGCAGGCGCGAAGCCTGTCGTCCGCAACGACCCAACATGATGTGTGGCGTGATGTAGTGGATGGTGAAGTTCTGAGATTGAAATGGAAAGAAGAATCAAATGAATTGATCACTGAAGACCTCGAGACACGCGACAATCGGAAAAGTCGAAAAAGAAGCGAGGTTCTTTCCCCGGAAATATAAGAGACGGGGGAGACGGGGAGAGGAGCGAGCAGCGAGCAGCGAGGGACGACAACGGCGACCTCGGACTGGAAAGGCAGTTGCGCTTCCTATCAGCTTGTCGGACAACTGCTGCTCCTCCGTTGCCCGCGGGAAGCTGTTTCCACTAGGCCGGAAACAGACTAGCATCTCCGGGCGGTACGTGCCCTCGGAAGAACAGAGCGGCCGCTTGCCGAGGAGAATTGTTTTTCTTCCTCGCCCGATTGCGGTTCGGCTTCTTCCTTTTTTCTTTTCTTCTTCATCACACAACTAAATCCAAGATGAAGAAAGGCGTTTAGCTTGCCAGTTCTCGTGGATTGTCGACTTCGGTCGACTATCCCGGGCGATGCTGACCTGTCCCCGCCTCCAACCATCCTTCTGGGACAAGGAACCATCCGATTGGAATTGGGACGTGTGTGTCTGTTGATGCCGACTGAGATGTCCGTGGGAGGATGACCCTTCCCAAGTAACTCTTTGATGTTAGGGGTTACGAGTCTCGCACCTTCAATATGTTATAGACTGTCCAATAAACCCAATGCAATGATAATTATGACTGGATCGATATCCCCAAATCATCTTCTTCGTAGATCTCCAAACCTGTGCACCAGGTCTTTCTCAGTCTGAACCTCTTCGTACTTGTTCTTTCCAACCTGCGTTACAGTACTGGTAAACTGCCCAGTTGGCCACATTAATGGCTTGGACCAGAGCCCAGTACAGAAGACTTTAGCAAGCTAAACTGTCGCTTGATAGCCTATCTCACGGAATCGTTACTCGCCAAAACTCAGCTATCCAGACAAATCACATTTCAAGCAAAGTTCTATCGAGTTGCTGCTCATTGAAGCAGAAACCCGCAGCTAGGGGCACAATGCCTTTCTCAGGTCTCTCAGCAAGCACGCATAACAGACAGCCAACATGAAAAGGGCAACCATCTCCAAATATTGATACAAAGAGCCATTGAGCGTTGGCAAGCAGGTTACCGTTTATCAAGCAAGAAGCAAGGGAGATACGCCCGTCCAGAAAACCTTGCTATATACAACAGCAACGCCAGCCATAAGAAGAATTCTATATACGTCTATACTCCAACCTAACCACCATGAACCAACCAGGCCACAGCGGCAGCCCAGCCACACACGAACGCAACGGTCAGAATTGAAGCACCCGCCCGATCCCCAGCCGTGATCTCCGGCAGCTCGTTGGGTGGATTCTTCGGGGCGGTGCCCGCGTTGGGATCACTCTTGCTGGTGCCCCCAGTCTCCGAAGTCAGCGGTCCTTGGTGACTCTGTTCTTGGCCCTTGTGGGCAATCATAGTGGAAGAAAAGACGCTCAGCGCACTCATATCAGACTCCAGCGAAGTCTCCCCATCCCAAGTCGCCTGGTGCCAGCGGCGGCCGCATTCAGTGCCCGATTTGCCGCCAGAGCATTGCTTGGCCGCTGCCAGGGCCGATTGCTGGATTTTGGGGATGATCTCGCCCGCGGTGTGAGGCGCAATGGTGGTGGTGAAGGTCAACCAGGATGACAGAAACCCCTTGAAGCAGTCTTGATTGCGATCGCACATCATGTTCGGTTCGCAGGAGATCTCGGACATGATGTTGCCGCCGAACTCTTGAGGGAAGAACTTCTGCAAGGTAGTTCCGAGCAAGCCGTCTAACGCCTTCTTCCACTTGTCTCCCCCGTTGGTCTAAGTCTAGTTAGCTTCCTGCAGTCACTTGAGGGAGATCCTATGGTAAGGACGGTGTCATACGTGGTTATACATATAGGCAGCTCCACTGATGTACGTTCCGTAGTTGTACGTCCACTGGAGATCGCCATGGTCTTTACACTCCGTCTGCGTGGTGGTCGTATCAGCAATGGACCACTGGTCCTCCCTCAGGAGCGGGGTGGTCGCCATCCAGTCGTAGATCTTCTCCGCCCAGTTGCTGTACGTCTCATTGTTGGTGTAGCGCCCCAGTCGCGCCGCTAATTGGAAGAGACCCCCGTTGGAGATCGCATTCTTGGTGGTGTATCCAGCCTGGTAGGGCCACAGCTGCCAGCGCAAACCACCTTGACAACTGGTCGTGTCCCAGCGGGGTACTTGAGTGTTGAAGACCCCCTGCGCAAGCGACAGCCAAGACGGTTGGCCGTCCTCCTCTGGGTAATTCAACTCGGCGGCCGTCATTGCGGCCAGCCCCCAGAACACCTGGTCATCGTTTCCGAGGTAGTTACTGTAATTGGCGGGGAAATAATCGTTCTGGCCCTTCTGCCAGAGCATACCCTCGGTGGTGACGGCGTTGTAGGATGTGTCGCCGGTCCAATACCAATATTGAATCAGCGTCATAAACATGGCGCCTCCTTCCCACCATGTATCTACCAATTTGCCCGGGATCTGCCCAGATTCGTTGCCGTGGTAGTAGCTCATCATGTTGTAGGCTGCCGTCGCGGCCGCATTCTTGATCGATTCTATGTAGAAGAAGGTCAGTGCTTGGCGCATGAATCATACTCGTGAACAGGAAGTATGCGCTTACGCTCATCATTGAGATCTAACTGTAAGGCTCTGACTGTGTGCTGCCCGACGGTGAGGACGGCCAGCAGAGCCGTCCACCAGCGCGGGGACAAGATCATTCTCTATAGACTATGAGAGGTGTCTTAACCGAAGGAATGAGGCGGCCGCAGCCTCGACATGCGCCGGCGCGTGGATGAAGGGTGCAGGGACGAGGGCGGAAAGGGATTGGCAGAATGCGGGAGGGGCTCGAGATCGAGGTCGAGATCGAGGTCAAGGTCGAGGTCGAGGTCGAGGTCGAAAATGAGGAATGAAGGGAGATTCCACGGGTTTTAGATGGCAGGTATGCGGACTAGGGCGCGGGGGAGGGCGCACTAGGTCTGACGTGAGGTCACTGCTTGTGGGGTCACGAATGAGTCTATCATGAAGGGACTGTAAGAGTTGAGTCAAGAAGGAGGGAGAGAAGAAGGAGAGACTACGGAGGGAAGGTAAAGTAGGTAGTAATCCATTGTGGGAGTAAAAAGTTGTATGGCCATGACGGCATTAGGCTATTTAACGAGAGTAAGAGGGAAGAGGGAAGAGGGAAGAGGGAAGATTCTGCCGTGGTGTCACATTGATGACCTAGTCAGTTGGGTCAGTTGGCAGACAGTTGAGTCGGAATAGGTAAAAATAGGATACTACTAGTAGTAATCAATCAGTGTATCCTACCCTACTTTCAACATTAGGCTACATCAGATGGTACCTTCCTGTCCCTTTTCCAGGGAAACTAAACTAAATCCGGCCAAGTGGTCAGTGACCCTGCGGGGAAAGGGTCCAACTCGACTCACGGGACTCAAACTGAACGGTGGATCTCCCGCACTGCACGGCTCCAGAGCTGAGCTTCCATTCAGGCACACCTGCTCCTTTATGATTTATTTTAAATTTACTCGCAGCATTATCTGTGCTTCGTTATATTTGGACAGCAGATCAATCAATGAGCATGTGGGATATCAAAATCTTAGAGGATCCTTTGCGCATCAATTGTTGCACATAACACCGGACCGACCATGCGGCTGCACGCAATATATTCTCCGACCGGAACTCCAGTTTCATCACCAGTAAGTCGGCAAAACCACTCACTGATACATCAATCCAGGGACGAATTTCAGCAGCAGTCCCTTCCCACTAGACCGAGATCATACGAAGGAAGAGCAATACCTTGAACATCTTCAATGCTCACATGGTTAAATGGGTGGCTTTTCCACGCGTCGATAACTTTTTCTCTGGCCTATTCTCAACACGAGCTGCCAGGTGTGATAAGCCCCATGCTTATCTTGTTATCCATGCAAGATCCAGACTAGGAGGATCGGCGATCAGGCCAACGCTGCAGAAAATTGACAACCAGCCTGGGTGCAGGGTCCTTTAGCAGCTAGTTATATGCCTTTAGCTTATAGCATATCGAAAAGGGTCTATAGAACGGTAATTACTGCACTCCAACTCGAAGCGCGCTATGTAAACATACATCGTCCCGGTCTCCGGGATTCTAAATCACACCTGATGGGAACCATAAAATATCGAGTTTTATTTATTACCCCTTTCCACCCCTCGCTGGAAATTATTTTCACACAAATTCGCCTCAAACCCGGTCACGTCTACGAGGTGCCGCCCGGATGATGTTGTCGACACGTAGAAGAAGCTGCAGGAAATGAGCATGTTAGCATGAACCATCTGAAAGTAGTGGAAAGAGCAATTCGTAGGAAGGGCGTTCTTACCTCGGCTGCTTCCGACGCGGACGAGACCACAGCCTTCTTCAGCTTGTAGGCCTCCACGACGCCCAACTCGCGCATGTCGGCGATGCCACCGCCGGGGGTGAGCAGGTCCAATCCGGAGCTGGTCATACCGTTGTTGATCGCCTGGCGCAGGCGGGTCACAAGGTCGCTGGAGTCCAGACCAGCGTTGTCGGCGAGGGTGGTGGGAAGCTGCTTCAAGGCCAAGGCGAACGAGTCGACGGCCAGCTGCTTCTTGCCCGTCGTGTTCTGAGCGGCCTGCTCAACAGCCTTGGCCATGACCATCTCGGCACATCCACCGCCAAGAGTCACACGGGGATCCTTGACGGTCTGGGAAAGGACAGCCAAAGCGTCGTGAAGGGAGCGCTCAGCCTCGTCGAGGAGCTGCTCCGTGGCACCACGGAGCACAATGGTGCATGCCTGACCGGCAGCCACGCCCGAGAACTTGATAAGAGTATCCTCGCCGATGATGACCTCCTCAATAACATCGCAGTGACCCAGCTTCACCTGATCGGGGTGGTCGAAAGTCGAAGCGATCTCACCGCCGGTAACCAGGGCCAAGCGCTCAACGCCGTCGAAGTCGGCATGCTCAATCGACATGATACCGGCTTCTGTGAACAGCTGCTCGGGCCAGTTGTAGATAAGCTGGCGGTTGACAAAGCAGTTGATGCCGTGAGCCTTGATCCGCTCAACCTTAGCCTTCATCTTCTCGCGCTCGGCCTTCTCCAGCTCAGCCAGCTTGCCCGTCGATTCGACCTTCACCCGGGCGCCGAAGATCTTCACCTTGTCCGTGTCCATAGCCGTGTTGGCGACCAGAATCTTGGCGTTCTCCAGGCGCTTGGGCTGGTTCACACCGATCTTCTTGTCGAGAATGAAACCTTCATCGAGGTACGAGTCGCTGAGCTTGCCACCGGCCTTCTTGATGATCTGGATGTGGCTCAGGTCGGTCGAGCCGCGGAGGCGGAGAACAGCATCGCAGGCGAGGGTAGCGAAGTGCTCACGGTCTTGGGCCAAAACCTTGGAGCTGAGGGTTGTGCGAGCGATTGAGTGGAGGTCTTTGCGGAACAGTTCCTTATCCGTGCTACGATCAACGGCGGCCTTCTCCAAAGCCTCCAAGGCAGCCTTGCTGGCTATCCGGTAACCTTCGATGATAGTCTGAGGGTGGATCTTGCGGTTGACCAGCTTCTCGGCTTCCCGCAGCAGCTCGGCCGCCAACACCGTCACAGATGTCGTACCGTCACCGACCTCGTCGTCTTGAACTTTCGAGATGTTGACGAGGACCTTGGCTGCGGCGTTGTCAAGGGCAATCGACTTCAGAATCGTGGCACCGTCGTTCGTAACAAGAATATCACCGGTCGACCTAAAGGCAACGATGGAATTAGCCCACTGCTCGCGGTCGGCAACCCCGCCTTGCTCCCATCAATCATCCCACATACGCTGACTGGAGGATCTTGTCCATTCCCTTGGGACCCAGAGTACTCTTCACAAGATCACCGACGGCGATAGCACCGACGAAGGCGGAAAGACGAGCATTTTCTCCTTTCTCCTCGATCACATCGTCGGCGAAGATCTGCGTGGGGTTGGCGAAGGACTGGAAGCGGGTCAGCACTGACTATCGATAAAACAGAGACAAAGAAGTGGCAGATAAACGTACCATGATGACTGTAGATAGTAGAAAAAGATGGCTACCGTCAAGGGAAAGGCTGGCAGCTCAGGGGTTGCTTGAGCTAGACGGTGAGGACGCAGAGAACGGCCAACTCTAGCCAATGCGGGACAAACCAGAAAAGTTCGTGATACTGCCCGACCTGACCGCCCGCCCCGTCTGTCGCCGGTCTCCTGTCGTCCATCGCCCTCGTCCACTTCACATTTCCCCTCAATTACAGCCTCACTCACTCATACTTCGATTCATCATGCCTGCTGAAGAGGAGCAGAAGCTGGCATCCGCCAAACGCCCCATATCCGCCGTGGATGGCGGCGATCAGGATGGTATGCCCGCATGATACCTGGAGGATTAGCACACGGTTGCGAAACAAGACATCCTCGAGCTCGATCAGTTGCTGACGCTTTTCCCTAGGTGACGACTCGTCATCCGATGATGATTTCGGTCCAGCTCTTCCCTCCGCAGATGCCCCGAAGAAGAAACGCCGCAAGCTCCCTTTCGAGAAAGTCTACGTGAATGCGCTGCCCTCGTCGCCGCGGTACTCCAAGTCGCTCATGCACAAGGATCAATTGTCCTTCCTCACCGTAACTCCGCATACTGATTTCCTGATCACCTCCTCGATTGATGGCGTCGTCAAATTCTGGAAGAAAATGGCGGTTGGCGTGGAGTTTGTGAAGGAGTTTAAGGCGCATTCAACCGAGATCAAGCATGTCAGCGTCAGTGCCGACGGAAGGAGCTTTGCGACGACCGGAGCAGACAAGACTGTCAAGATCTTTGACGTTATAACTTTCGGTATCTTCTCTACAGCCATGTTTCGGTTGGACGTAGTCTGACGTTGGTTGCAGATCTATTGGCTATGCTTACTCTCGACTTCAACCCGCGTTGCGTCTGCTGGGTTCATCGCCGTGGCGCCTCATTGCCGCTCCTGGCAGTGACCGACGAAGGAAGCAGCATGATCCAAGTGTTCGATGGCCGTGGCGAGAACCCCACCCCATTACATACCGTCAAGTCCATCCATCGCAGCCCCGTGGTCGCTATGGCTTTCAACGACGCGTACGACTGCGTCATCTCCGCCGATGAGTCCGGTATGATCGAGTACTGGCGGGCGGGCGACGGCTCGTTCGAGAAACCCGACAACGTCTTCGAGCTGAAATCATCCACCAACCTCTTCGAGTTCAAGAAGTCCAAATCCACCCCTGCTTCGCTGTCCATCTCCCCCTCCGGCGAGCAATTCGCGACGATCTCCTTCCCCGACCGCCAAATCCGCGTCTTCGACTTTGCTTCCGGCAAGCTCTACCGCAAGTACGACGAATCCCTCACCACCATCATGGAGATGCAGCAGGCTGGGACGGCGCTCTACCAGCTCGAAGAGGTAGAGTTCGGCCGGCGACTGGCGGTGGAGCGCGAGCTGGAGAACCCCATCACCAAGCCCAAGGTCAACGTCCTCTTCGACGAGTCGGGCCACTTCATCCTGTACGGCTCCCTGCACGGCGTCAAGTGCATCAACACGTACACCAACCGGGTGGTGCGCGTCTACGCGAAGGACGAGCCCTTCCGGGCCCTCAACCTCGCCATGTACCAAGGGCAGCCGCAGAAGAAGGGGGTGGTGACCGTCTCGATGGCCGCCAGCGCCAACCCGCTCCTCCAAGAATCGGAAGAACGCGACCCGATCCTCGTCAGCACGGGCTACGGCAAACTCCGCTTCTACCTCTTCACCAACGAGACGGACGTCTCCAAGTCGACGCGCGACGTCCAGAACGAACGCCTCCGCGAAACCGGCGCCGGCGGCCGCGAGGCCACCGCCGCCCACAAAGCCGAGTTGGGCACGTCAGCGATCCTGCACACCACGATGGGCGACATCCACCTGCGGCTGTACCCGTCGGCGGCGCCCAAGGCGGTCGAGAACTTCACCACCCACGCCCGCGCCGGGTACTACAACAACACGATCTTCCACCGCGTGATTCGCAAGTTCATGATCCAGGGCGGCGACCCGCTCGGCGACGGCACCGGCGGCGAGTCCATCTGGGGCGGCGAGTTCGAGGACGAGTTCTCCAGCCTCAAGCACGACAAGCCCTACACCCTGTCCATGGCCAACGCGGGGCCCAACACGAACGGCAGCCAGTTCTTCATCACCACCGAGAAGACCCCCTGGCTGGACGGCAAGCATACCGTCTTCGGGCGCGCCGTGCAGGGCCTCGACGTCGTGCATAAGATCGAGAACACCAAGACCTACAAGGAGAAGCCCGAGCAGGATATCAAGATCGTGAGTATCACGGTGTCGTAAGTTGACAGAGAGGAGATACTACCGCTAGCGCTCTTGTTGATGTTGTTATTTCTTTTCCCCTTCCGCAGGGCCTTGGGTCACTATGACTGGGTTCGCTGTACATCTAGACTTATATCCGTCATCAGCCATCGGGCAGCTTTGTATGAATCACGACTTATTTTTAATCATAGCATATTCATCCATCATTTTTTTGGTGTTTCTACTGATTTCTGCATGTGGGCGAGCGCAGGGGGTGATCCCTCTTTGGATAAAACAGGACAGACTACGATAGTATCTCTGGTGCAACCGGTAGCATACAAGTTGTCAATGAAGCGAACGATTTGGGTTTCCCCGATGACTAAAGAGACCATAGAAGGTTGATCTCTCTAACCCCACATTGGATCAGCAATATGCAAGAGGACAGACATTGGAAGATGACAGAAGAAGAATATATTCGATCGAAATATGACGTGGAAGTCAGCCGCATGGAAAATGCCTGAGCCAGGAAACTATGCACAACATTCGGAACAGGATTTGTGTGATGCGAAGTGAAGAAACGAAAGTTAAGTGATGCTTTGTACTGTGCATTTTGAGGGAAACAAAAGAATCACTGGTACTGTACGGCGGCAAATAATCAATACCCTTATAGACAAAATCAAAACGCCGGATATATGCAAAGCTCAGCGGGAGGGACCATGTCTTTTCGTCTTGTCCTTGAAGGGGTAACTGCAGGGGCTATCGATCCATGGCATATGGTTTGCCAGATGAATGGAAGAGGTAGAAGAAAAGGAGGGTGTTGCCTTTCAGTAGATTTAGACCAGCCGCCAGTTGTTCAGAGACAGCGAAAAAAGGTTCCTGCGATGACTAATCGTGGACATTGCCTTCCAAACCAGACCTCCGTGAGTCTGGTTTCACCGAGCCACTTCGCGGATTTCGGTGTCGCTGTCGGATACGGGTTGCGTCTTCTGCAGACGGGATGACGTGCGCGCTGGTCGGGGCCCGGGGGCATTTGCAGCGGCGGCAGCGGCAGCGGCAGCGACGTTGGTGTGTGAACTGCTGGCGATGGAGCCCGGATTCTGGGCGGGGTCATACTGGGCGGGCATGAACTGACCCGGCGCGCGTGTATCAGGTCCCGGCGCGGGACCGATCTCCTGCTGGCGGGCGGCCAGCAGAGCGCTGTCTGTGCCACCCGTGGCTGCGGCGTGATACAGACCCGGGTACTTCCGATCATGGCGGCGCTTCGCCCACACGCCCACCACGCTGATGATGCTGAACCCGACGACCAGGATGATGACCATGATCACCCATTTGTAGTGTGTGGACCACCTGCAAAGCGACACGTCAGCAAAGGTTGCGCCCGCGTTGAGGAGGGATGGTTCGTCCCGGAATACCTACCAAGCGTTGGAAGCGGCAGTCCTCCGATATGCGCGGATCTTGGTGACTGACTGAGCGGAATGGGCCTGCCATTTTTCCTCCTCGTTGTTCGTGCTGCCAGCGTCGGCGAGTGGGGCTGCGACCGCGCAGTAGTCGTTGTACCAGGTCCGTAGTAACGAGCGATCGGAGGCATTGGTGCACGTATCATCGCAGACGGCGTTTGAGGAAGTGCGAAGCTCGGTGAGATTCTGTGAATGGCAGAAGCAGGAGGCGTAGGTGGCGGAGTTTGTCTGCGGAGCGGCAGGCGGCAGGCATTCAGATTGGGCTTGGAGGAGGACGGAGCAGGTCAGGCCGCAGGAGGGAAAGGAGGAAGAGGCAGCGGAAGGTAGGATAGCGACAGTTTGCGCAGGAGCGACGGTGGAGGCGAGGAGGGCGAATAGCGAGAGGTATGCGATCAGAGGGAGGGATCGCAAAGTGGTCGTCGGTCTGGCAGGAGCAGCAGCATGACTGGCGGTCCAGGCCTGAGGCCAAGGTGCCATGACGACTGCTTTTTTGGCGGCTGAAGTTACGGCGGTGGGGACCGTCAGGAATGTTTACTGACGGGTATAAACCATGATATGTCGACAGAATAGATCAAGCGAGAGGACAGCGGCGAAGGAGGAGGAGAGACGACTGAATAGGTGGAACGAGTGACGAGAGGAGCCCCAGGAGAATACCGGAAGACGGGGCGCTGTATCTGTCGACTTAGTCGGAACCCCCGAAGCTAGACGAAGAAGGAATGGGGGGGAGGAGGAGGAGGAGGTAGGGAGGGGCGGAGAGGGGAGGGAAAGGGAGAGAAGAAGGTAGAGAAAGGAATTGTCGGTCCGAGGAAAGGAAGATAGCCAAGAGAAAGAGAGGGAGAAGGAGAGGGGGGGAGGAAGGAGAGAAAGCCTGTTCTGGGCGGGACGATGTTGGCGATGATGATGAGATTAAGTGGCTTGAAGAGTGAGAGTAAGAGAGTGAGTGAGAGGGCGTAAGTGAGAGACTGGAGTGAGTGAGTGAGTGAGTGATTATGTTACTGGTCAGTGAAAGGAAGTTGCGCGGCCTGGAGTGACTATCGCCCAGTTGGGCGTAGTAGGAGTACTGTTTCCTGTGTATTTCCTGTGTATTTGCCCGTCGGGACACTTTCTGGACACTTTCTGGACCCTGAAGCGACCTTGGCAATTCTTCTCTCTCTCTTGCTCGCTGCTCTGCTGACCCAGTCATGCTCTCTCTTTCTCTTTCTCTTTCTCTTTCTCTTTCTCTCTTCTCGTCTTGTTTTGGTTCTCGTGGACATTTACCGGATCTCACTGACACTAACATCGTCTCCCCCCTGTCACTACTCCGTCCTTACCATCAGCTCATCCCTCTCCTCTCCCCTCACCGGCCATCCGCAAGCCCTGTCAGATTGACCTGTGAAAAAAAAATATGCAGGCCACTATGCCCAATAACCTCGTTCCTGGGCTCCACTGGGCTCCTCTTTCAATGATGCAATCCGGTGGATGCCCGTCCCCATCGCTGGTTCCCCAGAATGCTGCAGGAAATAACTACTCGTACCCACTACGTACCGGTGAACTACTCGTATGCCTAAGGATTAACTATGAAATGGCTTCCTGGCCCATGAAGTCATCGTTACCATATCGCCCGCCGGGTTCACCATGCGAGCTCCTCAGTTTAGAATAGTTTAACCGAGTTAACTTAGCATTGTCGATCGCATCTCGTGTTGATCCAACTCGATTTGAACCTTGATTTAGCCTGCCCAGGATCCATGGATCAGCCTAGAATCAATCCCGATCTCATTCCAGGGGCAGGGGGATTCATTCCCCGGGACTGCGTGGTTGCTGTCAACCACGCCAACTCACACTCACATTCGTCGAACTAGATGAACGGTCGCTTGCATCGAAACTCGAGACAAATGGCGCCCCGTTGCCTGACTCGAGGAATCATCCAAACTCGCCCAAGGCTTATCAGCCAAGGGAAAAGCCGGCGTTGAACGTTGAACTGTGCGGCGTTTTGCCCAACCAGGCCTAGTCGCCCCTTTCGCGGATCCAGTGGGATGTCAAAGCAAGGGATCGATCTATATTCTATTTTCAGCACACTTTGCCCGATCGGAAACTTCATGTCTTGGGTCTCCTTCCATGCAAGGTGCACATTAGGTCGGGACCGCCGTCTGTTCGCTTTCAAAGTGAGGTCTAGTCCTATGCTTGGAGCCCCGGCTCATCGACTTAGAATGGCTGTGTCAGACATGCGAAACATTAGCTATGGGCCCAGAACATGTTTCCCACGGAAGTGGTCATGATAATAGGCCAGCACTCGTGCATCAATCTTCCTAGTCGGGACAATCGACAATGCAGAATGATTCTCAATGACTACTTGTGCGTGGGTGGGAGCACTGCCCATTGTCGCCGATCGAAGATCCCATTGGAATGTCAAACTACACTAATAACACTCGATGAGGTCTCTCAGAGTCCATTCGAGCGCATCGAACTTCTTGATCTGTTTTGCCTGAAGACGGATCGAATAGAGACTTTACCGCTGTCTTCTGGAGTTCGCCCATCAAGGACCACCAACCGATGAAGCCTATTTCAGGCGATGCTCGCGCAAACCTCAGGCTAACCGCTGTTCATAGTTCAATGCGACCATCGCACAACAGGCCACCCCCACTAACCTAAAATGCTCTCTTTACCAGTATCGACAACAGACATCTCATCAACCTTCAAAACCTCTTCGCATGCCTTGACGTTTTCGTATCGCTCAGCAGCCACCCATCCCTCAGATCCAACACCCAATACCTCCCTCGACAGCCGCTCTTGCTCATTCAACTCCACCTGCGCAGTGTTTAACTGCAGACACTTATTCACCTCGTCTTGACTATACGCGATCGGGCAGGCTGAGGCGTCCGCATCTTCCGATCGCACAAGCCGATCCCAATTCATCGTCAACTGAATCAAATCGGCCTTGAGGGTGACATTATCCCCATCCCAGGGAACGGCCGCCTGGTGGCACAACCTCCGCCGCAAGACTCCCAAGTCCCCCGTCAGGGCGGCCTGATGGGACGGGTTCAACTTGGCCGTCGCCGTGAGATAGCAATAATGCAGCCAGCGGCTTCGGAAGAGCTCTCGCTCGCAGCGTTGGTCTGCTTCGCTCAGCCTGTCGAGCCCTTCCGGCAATCTTGGCTCCTGCAGTAGGCTGGGGATATCGCCATCCGCGCTTTGAAAGTTGGTCGGCACCCCGCATTGCAGGAACAGCGGGCAGATAGTGCTATACTGCCAATCGATCAGGCCCGTAATTTCCAGGTCCTCATTGACAAATATGTTGCTGGGTTGCAGGTCTGGATGCCGAATCGTGTGTCGTGTCAAGGACGCGTCGCTCGGGACCAAGTACGGCGCAACCCGGAGGTAGTCGCTGAGATTGTTGACATGGTCCCTAGGTGACTGCTTGTATGATCGATTCGCGGGGAGAAGCTTCGATGCTCGCACGGGCTGTCCATATTCCTCGAGATATGCAATCTCCTTCCTGGCCCCGGCAGCCAAGACATCCAGGGGGCTCGTGTCTTTTCCAGTCAGTATCGACATGCTCAACCATCTGCAGTCAGGAGAAGAGAAGGTCGCGAATAGTCTTACATGGTCCACGATGCACCGGCAAGATCCGGCGTTTCCCCAACCAAAGCGCCCGTGTCACTTCCGGCCCAATGCAAATCGGACCCTCCCCCACGGCACCCGCCTCGTCCGCAACTCGCACCGTCTCCATGCACTGCAGGTCCCGCTCAAAGAAGAGACTCCCACTCGCGGGGAAATCGAGCGCGAACAGCCTGGCCTCCAGCTCTACGACCCTGTCCACCACCCCCGCCAGCTCCTGTTCCGACAGATCGAACCAGCGATCCGTGAGGCGCCGTCCCGCGGCGCACTCCATGAAGATATACTCCGTGCCCACGGCGTTGTCCGCTGTGGCCGAGTACCCGTAGATCCGGGGCACGGGGAACCCCCGCCGACGGAGGTATTCGATGGTGGCGACCTCGCTCGCGACCAGGAGGTACTTGGGCTCGGTGACGGGGTAGGGGATGCGGGCGACGAGCTGGAAGCCGTCGCGCATGGTGACGAGGAAGGTGCGGTTGAAGCCGCCCTCGCCGAGTTTCTGTAGGCTCGCGACCGCGGTTGCGGGGGCGTTGATCGCGGCGGCGGCCAGACGTTTCAGTTCTGCGACGTTGAACGGGCGTCGGCGTTGGGACCGGCGGAGATGCTCGTCGTGGCTAGTGAAGCGGTGGTCAGTCCTGCACGGTGCGGTCGGGAATTAAGATCAGCTACAGACATCCATCGTCCCGATGTGTAGTTGAAAAGGTCTGACGTAGAGGAAGAATTGTGATCTTGATCTTGTTGCCAGCGCCGTGTGGTGGACGTGAGGTTTCTAGTGTGCGGGTTGGAAGCATGCGGCACCCTAAGCCGCGGCCATAGTGGGCGTCTGGCCTCGGCCAGGAACAGCTTCATGATGCCTGGGACAGGAACGTTTCATTGTCTGCGTGACTGGCAAGGAAACGAGTGCACGAGCAAACCAGCAGATGAAGTTTTCTCTGGATAAATGAGGAGAGAGGAGAGGAGAGGAGAGGGGAGAGGGGTCGGCGGAACGTGATTTCGACCGCCAGCTCGGAGGAAGAAGGTCGTCCCTTTGGTCCGATGCAGGAATCATCCCATTTCCCCAGTGCCGAGGCGCGCTAATGCAGTCGGGGAGGAAATGAGATTCGTCGATCCTCTGGTCGTTGCACCACCACGGGAAATCCGTGCTTTGTTGCAAGGTTGCGTTGCATGGAAGTGGGGGTGAACAGGGCGGGTCTGCTTCTTTCGACTCCTACAATGACAATCAAAACCCGAGGATTTATCTATGCAGGACACATCGATATCTCTCCTTGAAATCTAGTCATGGATGCTGTTGAGTATTCCGAGCCTTCACGCTTCTAATCATTGCTGCTGTCTGACTTGCATCGCGGGGCGTAGGACCAAATTGATAGCTATTCAAGGAAAACGCTCACGCGACAATACCAATGGCCGATTATACAAGCCCTGATCTCGAAGCTAGTGATGTCGCCCACCCATTCCTTCTGCTCGCTCTTTACTTTCCCTCGACCCAATGCATGCCACTTGCTTCCTCGCATGAGATTGCTTCCGTAACTCGAGATCATAAAATCAAGCATGGGCCCAGATGCAAGACTAGCTCGAAATTAGAGGCAACTGTCGCTCTTACTCATACCGGACGGACCAACCCGACCTCTTACCGAGAAAAGAGGCCCTTCCAGCGCCCAAACACCATCGAAATGAAGCCTCGACATCACGGTATCCCAAGGTGCCTGGGACTCCAACCTCTCACTGCGCAAAACGGCTTATATGTAATGTGAGTCATAATCTCCATATCATGCGAGGCTGGCCCCGGAGGAGTTCACTGTTCACCCTCAAGTTAACATCCATGATCACCAGAGGGTATGCTTCATTATCTGCTCAAGTTGGTTCTATAGGCAGTGGTGCGTCCGTGTTGATCGACCTTTCAAAAGAACCGGGATTTTGACACTTCCAACACGGCAACAGACCAGCACGTACCAGGAATAGGATAGAGTCATAGCACCTCCCTGACAACTCGGCGTACCGTCAGTCCGTGCTGGCCACCAGTCACCACGGATTCTCATAGGCATAGGTCGGCCCGCCCTCGACACGGAAGACCGCGACGCGGCCCACGGTGAAGGTTGTTTGCCACGCGGGCGAATCTCCACCACCACTCTCAGTTCTGGCATGCTTCCTGGTCAGCTCTTCATACCCACCTGAGGGTGTGCCTGCAGCGTGGCCGGTCCCGCGCAGGAAGGTAGCCTGTTTTGTGTCCGCGTCAATCTCGAGTGCCACCCTCGATTGATCGGGATCCCCGATGCAGTGGCGGGGGGCGGGATGTCCGGGAGGACTGTTGTCTTCCGGGGAGAGTGAGAGAGGCATGCTGCTGCGTCCTCCGGTCCAGCGGAACAGGCTGAGCCGTGGCTGAAGCTGGAAGAGAAGCTGTGGACGGGCGACGACGGGCGATTTGTCTTTCTCGGGGGGCGGCTTGTCGTCGTGTTCTTTTGCGGTGGGAGGCGTGGCGAGTGTGAGGTCACGGAAGAATGCACCCGCCACTACCTTGTCCGAGTTGTGGGCGTGATCCCCCAGAAACAGGACGAGATACGCGCGACCGGCCGGATGGTCGTGCGTGGTGGCTTGCTGGAGAATATGCCGCAGGTCGAGGCTGTCGGCCGAGCCTTGGAAGTTCATATCGTAGCAGTTGTGGAAGGTGATCGCCTGGACTCTTCGTGCCAGTTCCGAACGGTGGTGGGTCTGGAACGGCGGGATGAACAGTGAGACTGCCCGGAGGATCGCGTCCATAGTGTCCGGTGCGGAGGATCCGGTCTCCAGATTCGGTCGCTCCGTGGACAGGCTGAGTGAAAACAGAGTGGCCCACAGCTGATGGAACGATTGTTCGAGATTGGGCTGGTCCGCGCAGGCATCAGCGCTGGGATCCGCAGAGTGGCAAGGAAAACATACCAGAATGTCCAAAGCCCGGAGCACCATCTCGGGAGCCAGATACTCGCTCTGGTCATGACTGAACGATCGGACCAGGACCCCCGCCAACTCCGCCTGGTCCGCACTGGGCTCCTCGAGGAAGCCCTGTTGATACTCTCGGTGGTGGTGGGTCAGTGGCTGGACTCTGAGCCTCAGGACCAGGCACAGTAACGCCGTGAAGTCCCCGGCCCTCATCGCACATTGGCCCGTTCGCCCCCCGAGCAGACTTTCCGCCAGCGGCTGCACCTGCTCCGGCGACGGATGCAGTTTGGGGTGGGAGGGGAAGATTGTGAGGATCGCGTCCGTCATGTCGTTGGCCACGAAGGTGTCGAAGCCGTCGGTTGGTGGATCTGAGCGTGACTGGCGGCGATCGACCCGGCTGATGCTTCGGAAGATGCGATTCACCCTGAGCCCGCAGGTGCAAGGCTCGTCCAGCCGGCCCCAGCAAAGGCCGAAGTCATCGCGTACCGTCCCGAGGAGCCGGGTGCCCTGCCGCGACAGCAGGAGTAGCCCACGCTCGAAGGCGGGCTGCTCCACCTTGCGGTCGTCTGCCTCCAAGAAGGTAAATGGATGGTAGGCGTAGAAGCAGAAGCAGGACCAGAGGACGTCGATCGCCGTGTCGGGGATGATTGTGTCGGGATGGGTTCGGGCGAGGTGGTCTTCAAAGCTCTTCCTCGACCAGTCTGAGACAGTTACCAAAGATTGCGTCAGTCTCTGCTGCGCTCTCGCGCGGCTAGGTAGCACTTACAAGGCGGATGCTCGTGGGTCGAGTCTTGGATGCTAGACGCGGCGAAGATGGACTCTGGCGGGATGGAAGTGGCTACTTCTCGCACGAGGTTGATGTGCAGCTCGGATAAGAGCGACTCTAAATGTATATGGTTAGCACCGATCAATCGATCAATCGATTGATCAATTGATTGACTGACCCCGTGTGGTGGTACGAAGGAAGTGTGCGATCTTCTTCTTCTTGTCTCTGAAGAGTATGTGGAACACTGCCTTTTCCAACAGGGTAGTCATCACTGGCGATTCTTCACAGGACGTGGCTTGTAGGGTTGTAGAAGGATGTTGATGGCACTGCAGGTTGCAAGTAGCCAGGCGCAGGAAGTGACTGTCAACAGTGGCTAACAAAACTCGGACAATAAGAGGGCGACAAACCCAAGCGGTATTACAAGAATATGGAGAGGCAATTTGTTCAAATGCTCACTCTAGACAATTCTCCACTCCAGAAATGTTAGACTGATCAACTCCTGTGAGACGATGCTGGCCCAAGTGGCTCAAAACAATCGAGAACAGATATACTGGAGTAAAACCCGTGCGCGGCCCTGTCGTTGTACCTGTCCTTATCTCGCATGAGAATGTCGGAGTGCTTGTTTCATTGTGCCAAGAGATGCCGTGCCGTGATAACCGCGTAAGCACTAACTACTAACTTAACAACAGTTGGACTGAAGTCAGGCCTGAACTCGCAACGACGTGGTTGCTCAGCAAAGGCCGGCAATAGAGACGTGTCCTGACCCTCAGTGAGTCTCTCACCACTTCAAAGTCCAATGCACGGAAGAACACCTTCCTTGGAGGAAGAACCAGACGAAGAGAGCATCTGGACGCCCCTCCAGCTAGCCGCCGCGCAAGGCGATCTGCCCCATGTGAAGCTTCTCCTGAGACAGCTCTCCAGCAACCCCAACGAGCCCGCCCGCGGCTACTACGGCCAAACCGCACTTCAGGCGGCCTCAGCCAACGGCCATCTCGACGTGGTCGAGACGCTCCTAGCCGCAGGGTCGGAAGTGGATGCGCCCGGGGGCAACAACGGCGGCCGCACCGCGCTCGCCCTAGCCGCAGGCGCCGGTCACTTCCCCATCGTCCGCCATCTGGTCGCCGCCGCAGGCGCGGACATCCGCCGTCCCCCGCACAAATACATGGGACGCACCGCCGTGCAGGCCGCAGCGGAGGGCGGCCATCTCGAGATCTTACGATGGCTGCTACACCAGCTCAAACAGCCGCCCGTCGCGGAACTCAACGCCCCGCCGGCCAGCAACCGGGGCCGGACCGCGCTGCAGGCCGCGTCGCTGGGCGGCCATGACGAGATGGTGGACTTCCTGCTCCATGCCGGTGCGCATGTGAATGCACCAGCCTCGAGATATCATGGCTTCACGGCGCTCCAGGGCGCGGCCTTGAACGGTCACCGGTCCGCCGTCCGTCGACTGTTGGCGGCTGGGGCGGATGTGAACGCCCCCGGCGCGCGGTACAATGGCTACACGGCCCTGGCGGCAGCGGCCGAAGGCGGCCACGCGGACATTGTGCGACTCTTGCTGGACGCCGGCGCGGATGCCGCCCTGGTGTCTGGGAATAAGAGTTGGACAGCCTCGCGGTTTGCGGTTTGGCGGGGACAGAAGGAGATCGTGCAGCTTCTAAGTAACTAATCATGCAAATGAAGTTTGCTTACGAGAAGTAGTTTGTGGATGGAATTATTGCAGTACGCTCGGTGTAGTCAAGTTGTCGATAGATGCGCGCTCAGTTGGTGATCTGTATTGGCAGTAGGGTATGAAAAGGCAGCTTGATTCCAACGCAGAACTCAATTCGTGGTGACAGTCATATTTGGTGCTGGTGACGGTGAGTGGCTTTTGCAGGGTGAGATAGACGAGTATCGCAAGGTCGAGCCACCTGGTTGCGCCGACAATCTGTTGCTCCCACAAGAGCAGCGGCATCCGCGTTTCGCCAAAGAACGGGTTCGAATATCGACTTAGGTTTTGCTAAGGTCGAGGAGAGCGTGATCAGTCATGTCGACCCCCCCGCTTCCCGTGGGTCTGGACGTCACCGCGCAGGTGGCGCATCAGCCAAATCAGCCGAGTCATTCAACCATCAACCCAGACTCGGGACTAGGGCTAAGGTTCCACCATCTATCATCTATAATACGCATTAATGGACCCTACCTCCTCCTCTCACCTCCACCCAATCCAACTTCACATCATAAGTCAATCAATCCATCAAAAATCAACCTTTTGAAAAAGAGAAACATCCAAAATGCCTCAAATAATTCCCTACTCCATCCCCCCGACCCCCCTGATCCCCAACTCCCACAAACCCCTCCTCCTCTACAAGAACTGCTTCCTCGACCCGGCCACCGGCACCGTCAACGCCCAACTCGCCTACGACACCTTCCGTCAGAACCACTGGACCCCGCGCTGGATCACCACCTACGGCCACGCCCAGCGCTCCCACTACCACCCACACACCCACGAGGCCATGATCGTTCTGTCGGGACCCGGCCGCATCCGCTGGGGCACCGCCGACCTGGCCGACGATCCAGCCAAGCATACCTACGGCGTGGCGGGCACGGACTTCGAGGAAGGCAGTGTCTTTGTGGACGTCGAGGCGGGAGATCTCTTTGTCATCCCGGCGGGCGTGGCGCATAAATCTTATGATGTTGCTGCCGCGAACGAAGAACCCGTGGCGTTGACGGGGGGTGGGGCGCAGAGGATCGAGGCGGCGGATGAGAGGGCGTTTGTGGGGGAGTTGCAGGCCACCGGGAAAGTGAAGGGGTTCACGATGATGGGGGCGTATCCCGGGGAGGCGACCTGGTCGTGGGCGGAGGGAGGGAAGCATGTGGGACGGTTTGGGGAGGTTTGGGGGGTGGAAAATGCGGTGCTGGATCCGGTGTTTGGGCGGGAGGGGGGGATTCATGTTTACTGGGGGAAGGGGAAAGGGAAGGGAAAGGAGAAGGGGGTAAAAGCGGCGCTTTGAGGGATCAGTTAATGTAAGCACTGTGTGGATCTTATCATGTAGCATACCTGAGACCTCTCAGCTCTCTGGTATGTATTCAGCAACCTGTCATCTGTGCAATTATAGAACGAATCATCCAGAAAGTGACAACACGATGGTGCAAATCAATTCGGTACACACAACATGACATTCATAAATCTATCCATCCATGACAAACCCCTCCCATCCCCCCTTAACACACTCCCTCAAATATTCCTGATACTTGGGCAACCCCCCCATATACCCCAGCGCCTCCCGCTTCTTCCCCGGCACGTTGCCCCGCATATACCACGTCGTTTCATTACTCCCCATGAGAGTACGCGCACACGCCTCGTCCGTGACCTGGGCCCACCGCTCCTCCATCTCCGGCTTGACATCGAACGTCGCATACCCACGCTCCCGCATATACACCATTGTGGCCAAAATCCACTCCGCCTGGATCTCCGAGATCAGGGGCCCGTTCGCAAACGCGGTGGGACTCTGCGGCCCGTACTGGAAAAAGAGATTGGGAAAGCCGGCCGTCACCATGCCGAGATGCGTGCGCGTGCGGACGCGCCACTCCGCCGCCAGGTCTCGGTCCTGGTTGGTGCCAGTGATGTTGAGCCGGGTGAAGCTGCCGGTGACGGCGTCGAAGCCCGTGGCCAGGATCAGAGCGTCGAGGGCGATGGTCGTGCCGTCGGCGAGCTGGATCCCCGTGGCTGTTACCCTTGCGATTGGGTTCTGCTTCAGGGGGACGAGGGTGATATTGTCCTGGTTGAAGACCTCGTAGAAGTGCTGTTCGAGGGAGGGGCGTTTCGTGCCGAAGGCGAAGGGCGGGCGCGTCGGGGCGAGGTGCTCCACCAGCTCTGCGCTGCACGTCAGTCGAGCGCGGGTCTTGTCGCGCCAGAACTCGTAGAACAAGGTGTTGGCGTCCAGGCTGGTCATCATGTCCTGGTAGTTGCCGTGGGCGGGCGCGAAGCCCCCCTTCGCCCAGAGCCGCTCGTACAGCTCCTGCCGCTGGACGGGGCAGTCATCCGCGGCGTTGCGCGGGGTCGGGGGGTCGTCCGACCCCGTCAGGGAGAGACGCATGTGGGCGAACAGCTTGGGGTAGGAGGCCTTATCTGTTGTCACTTTCTTCCCCATCACCGTCTGGCGACATTGCCGCAACTGCTGCTGCCGCATCGGCAACGCGCAATTCGGCGAGCGCTGCAACACGACCAACTCCCCGACCTTGGGCCCTAACTCCTGAATCACCTGCACGCCTGTTGCTCCGGTCCCCATGACCGCGACTCTCTTCCCTTCCAAATCCACCGCCTGGTCCGGCCAGTCGGCCGTATGACACATAAGCCCTCCGAAATCCTCCAACCCCTCCATCGCGGGGATATACTTCTTGGCCGCGAACCCCATCGACAAGATGAGAAACCTGCAATCCACGCAATGACCGCGACTCGTCTGTACCTTCCACATTTTGGTGGCATCATTCCACTGCGCATCGGTCACCCGCGCCCCAAACTCGATATCCCGGCTGAGATCCCACTTCTGATCCACGAAGGCAAAATACCGTAGGATCTCCGCCTGGCCCGGGTACCGCTCGGACCACTCCCACTCGTTGTAGAGGTCGGGGTCGGAGAATTCGTAGAAGGGGGTCTTGGTGTCCACACGTGCGCCCGGGTACCGGTTGTGGTACCATACCCCGCCGAGGCCGGCGCCTTCTTCGAAGACCCGCGTGTGGAAGTTGAGCTTGCGGAGCTGGTGCAGGAGGTTGCAGCCGCCGAACCCGGCGCCGACGACGATGGCGTCGTAGTACTCCGGGGTGGGGGTGTAGAAGCCCATTCTTGGTCTCGTGGTTGTGTTGGTGGGAAAAGGGATGATGCGGAGAGTTAGGGTTGTTTAGTTGGTGAGCGATGGAGAGGTTGGTGGGGTTTAGTTATGTGGTATTGGGTTCATGATATCGATGCTTTACACTTTATATACTATATTCCTGAACGAGAGCTCTAGCTGTAGAGCCCCTTGTGATGTTTATTTGAGCGAGAATTGCTCTTTGTTGCAAGTGGTATACTCTTCACTTCCCTCTCTGCATATCAATTCGGGTGGCTCTCCGGGCCAAGCCTCAACCGAAAGATAAGCGACGGACATGAGCCTACGGCCAATTTGGCCGATATGGACATCCCATTGGATGAGGCGGCGGCCCACATGCGGGAATCTCGGATCGGAGATGGGGGCCGGAATGAGGGGATTGGGAAGTGTCTTGATGCCCGGCATAGTGTATCTATACATGTACGTATGTTTGTATGCCTGTATGCATGTATATAATGTATGTTTCCATATATGCTATTTACGTCCGTATGTGCTGTACTGCCCTTAGGGCAAGAGGAACAAGTAACAGGAAGCTTCTATTGCCGTGATGTCACTGTCCGTTTTTGAACGTGTGATTGGCCGATGGCCTGTATAAGTCAAATCAAGCTTAAGAACCAAAGCCCGTTGTCAAGTAGTACTGCTATGCCCAATCAACTGCCAGCTATCTGCGTAAACTCAGCAAACGGCCACGCCAGACTGTTCACATCCAGCGAGTTCGCCAACTCCAGCAACTGGTCGGGGCTCAGCTCGTAATGCTGTGTGAACCCATCCACTAAGCCGAGCTCCAAGCCCGGCTGCTGCGTAGCATACCCTGCTGGATCATTGATTGGCGGTACAACAGCCCCGCTGCCTGCATCCACCACCACCGAATCCCCCTCATGCGCTGTCGGCAGCGGACACATGCCAGTCCCCGGTAGAGCTAGAGGCAAATGACCACCCTTCACCAGCTGGCCTAATTCGGTGTCGAGCTGCCTCAGCTCCGCCCCGACCAGCTTTGCCGCCAGATTCCCCCGTCGGTGCATCTCGTCCAAGATGGCGTAGGCGCGCTGCGACCAGAGGGCGTGGTCTGACAAGAGCGAGGGGTCGATGGCCGCGGCCATGATGAGGGGCATCGTGGAGATGGAGGTGGCGTCCACGTCGAAGGGGAGGAATGTTTCTTCCGTGGTCGAGAGTCAGCGAGTGGGGTATGGTTGTGGTGAGATGCAAGGTATACGTACCTAAGAGTCCTTGCTCCAGGAGATTGGAGAGAATTCTGAGAATCTGTTGGGCGGATTCCAGGCAGATATGTAGGAGAGAGTGGACGGTCCCGGACTTTAGCCAATCCAGGAGAGATGGGTCAGAGTGGCCGAGTTTGGATTGGAGGAAGATGTAGAGGAGGGGCCTTGTGGTGAGGATTATGCACTGCTCCCATAAGCCTTTTATCCCTGGGACCAAAGGAAGACCGGAAATTGAAAGAACACATAGACATCTCAATGACTGTGATAGAAATACGACGCAGGGAGTATGAGAGTCCTACCTGATGCTCTAGAAGATGCAAATGTGCAGAAATCCGTGAGATGCCGCCCATTTCGCCGTTCGCGTACAAATCGAACGACCGGTTCAGCTGCTCGGTGACTTTGGCGATGTCGCGGAGAACGGACTGGGTGGCGCTCAGGTAGCGGCTATCTAATTTCCCTTCGCTGCCGTAGACAGCTAGCAGCCAGGAGTTAGCCAGGGGAGCTAAGATACGGCGACAGACGTGAGCGGGTCAGCACGCACTCAAGTCCACTTTTACCAGAATCTGGCAGAGCACCACTTGCATCTCCAGTACATTGACACCCTGGATCTGCCCTGAGATCGATGGAAATGGAGCACTGATGCTCTCCTCGGAGATCCCCATCGGTACCCCAAGCAGGGAGGACATCCGACGCTCGAGGGCATAGACGGTCCACCACACCAGGCTGCAGCGCTGGACGTATGCTTCGTCGAGATAGGGCCCGCGCATTCCAGTGTACATGCCGTGCTCAAGGGCCCAGCGGAGGGCAGTCCCGATCTAGACTGTCAGTATCCGGGGCACCTTGAAGGCAAGAGAAGAAGAGACGGGCGCTCCTCACCATACGGTAAGCGGGCCCGCGCCGGTGCACGCACTGAAGATAGAGCGCCGCGCAACATAGGACTTGCGCCATCTCGATCGGATCGCCGTCGAACAAGTTCAAGTCCGGCATGCACTGCATCGCTTGGATGAAGTGCTCTGCCCCCGGGGGACTCTGCGACCTCACGCTCTGAACCACAAAGCCTTTTCCAAAGGCGAGAATTAGCAGGTAGTGTGCGAACCATAACGGTGAGGCCTGGGCTTGCTCTGCGGGATTCCGCTGGAACACCTCCAGCTGCTGCATGAAGCGGTCCTCCTCGAAGAGATAGAATAGCTGTCCGCAGTGGAACTTCACAGAGTTGATGAGGTATTTGACAAAATCTGGCGAAGGCAGGTGGGAGACATCAAATATATCCGTTGCATTTTTAGACCGAGTACCATCCCAGTTGAGGCGGTATACATGGTTGTCGAATAGCAGGGATTCCGGGTCTGGCGACAGTGGGGTTCCGGTGAGTCGCTCGTGCGTCATCCCTAACACTCGCCGGCTGAAGGCCCAGCTGGACGATGTGCCCATGAATACTATGACGGTTAACCATAAGCCGCCGTTGTTGAAACCTCTAATAACCACGAATACGCACCTGGTCGGCCCGTGGGACCAGGGACCCAGTCCATTATGTGAAAAGCGAGGGGGTTTGTAAGAGGTGTTGTTGCCTCCATTCTCACGTGAGCTCTTGCCGCTTGACCAGGAGCAACATCTTGGAACGGTAAGCGTTGTCCTCGCCTAGTATGTGATGATCGCGAGGCTTGCAACTCTGGTAATGTTGTATCCTCAGCTACAAGATGTTGGTCTATGATAGCAGTATCCGCATGCTGGCTAGGGCCATCGGGCGTCGACGTAGGAGAGCGAGGCAGGTTAGCCTTATGCTGGAACGCAGCTAATCGATCGTGGAGATCATTGAGATATCTGCACAGCCGTGGACCTGATTAGATAGCTGATAGTCCCAGCCAAAGGTTTTCCGCTTGCCTTCGAGTCACCAGAATCTTCTCCGAGGGGCTATCAAAATCACACTTCAAGGCGCGTTTATGACATTGATCGCAGGGATGCGAGCCCGTGCATCTGATCTTCTGATCCCGAGATCTCCGGCAGCTGGCTTTTTAGTCAGTCGATGGTTGGCGTACGGCTGTGGGAGATAGGACCAACGCTTTGCTCACCCGCCTCGTTGCCTTTAGCGAGCGTCTGGCAGCAGTGCCACGATGTGGCATGTTGGAGATAGTGGAGTATGCGTTGAAGATGGGGACTTGCCCTGGCTCAAGTGGGGAGTGAATAGAATACGAGCCACAAGTGTCGGGACAAGTGGCCGTAGTCTGCATTTATACCTAGTCTTAACTCTAACTAGTACAGTACTCCGTCCGCAACCCCTCTTTCATATCTACTCGCTTATCCGGACACGCCTGCCTAGTCTGACGGATGAGGGGTCGAATCCACGCCGGATTATAGCTGCACTTATCGTAGACCTAACATGACTCCATTTATCCTCGGGCTCTATACGTCAATTTCCATTTCTTTTATAGTCTGTACGTGATACCCCGTACTTTCCCCGCATTTCCTGTATTCTTGGCTAAGGGCTTGACATTCCCCGGCATCAACCACAAACGGGATGTCAGGCATTCGATTCCGCTGGAGGCATGAGCGTCCGCTTTGTACCTTTGCATCGTGCCTCTGAGATATAGGGTATGCTTTGCTTGCCACATATCGGGAACACAGATAAGTCCTCCCGGACCGGTAATGGCATCTGGAAAGATAAGCACTGCCTCCGGCTATAAAACCGACCCTTTGTGCACGTAATATCCGTTCCCATCGTGTAAGAATTGGATTGTATCATACGCTCAATGATCCTTTAACCAAAGTCTCAAGATGTCAGACATCCGACCCTTAACACCTACCGCAACCGATAAGTCCAAAGCGGAGCCTCCTGCTCCTATCGCAGAAGATGCAGTTTTCGGCGAGATCATTGAAGATGGTCCCAACTACAGAAATGTAAGTCTACCATTCGTTTGATATCGAGGTCTATTCACTAACCAAGCAAGGTCGGATGGCTCGGGACTGTGGCTCTTATGATCAAGACCCAGTTTGGCCTCGGGGTCCTTGGCATCCCACAGGTCTACGACACTCTCGGCCTCATCCCTGGGGTCATATGTGTTTGTGCGATTGCGGCCATTACAACATGGTCGGACTATGTTATCGGCACGTTCAAACTCCGCCATCCAGAGGTCTACGCCATTGACGATGCAGGGGAGTTGATCTTTGGTCGGCTCGGGCGTGAGGTTCTCGGTGTTGGGGTGTGTATCTGTACGATCCCATTTCTATGCTTATCGTATTGTCTCGAGCTGATACAGTACAAGACTGGATCTTCTGTACGGGCTCCGGTCTACTAAGCACGTCCATTGGGCTCAATGCGGTCTCAGCTCATGGCACATGCACGGCGGTCTTTGTTGCTGTGTCTGCGATTAGTGCGTACTGTTTGGCAAGTATTCGGACGCTGGGAAGGATCAAATGGACTGCATGGGCGGGGGTGGGGAGTATTCTTACTGCTGGTGAGTGGCCTTCCTATCCTGACTTAGAGACAATCGGCTAATCCTGAAATTCCTTATAGTCTTGATGGTCACGATCGCAGTTGCACTTCAAGACAGGCCCTCGACGGCTCCTCAAACGGGCGCGTGGAAGTCGGACTACAAGCTCGTCGGCCGTCCATCTTTTGTCAAAGCCATAACTGCTGTCTCTTCCGTGGTATATGCCTTTGCCGGTACTCCCGGTGAGTCTATCTAAAGTGATAGTCGTTGTCGCGAGAATGAAATGCGAGTATTGCAAATGCTAAATCCGACCACCCAGGATTCTTCCCTATAGCAGCAGAGATGCGCAATCCTGCCCTCTACACCAGAGCCCTTCTCATTTGTCAGACCGCCGTGACGGCGACATACATTTCCATCGGGACAGTGATCTACTATTTCTGCGGCTCCTACGTCGCATCGCCTGCTCTCGGATCTGCCGGAACCTTGATCAAGAAAGTCTCCTATGGCATCGCTCTTCCCGGCCTGATCGCCAGTACGATCATTGTCTGCCACGTGAGTCCTCATCGCTACGGTCCTATCCTTAGTTGACATATCTAACACCGTATTCATGCATCTCAGTTTGCCAGCAAGTACCTGTTCGTTCGCATCCTCCGAGGCTCCAGCCATCTGACCGCAAACACATTCACCCACTGGGCTACCTGGCTCAGCTGCACTTTGGCCGTCACGGTCTCTTCGTACCTCATCGCCAGCGGAATTCCTATCTTTAGTGACCTAGTGTCCTTGATCGGCGCTCTCCTCGGGACATTCATGTCCTTCCAGCCAATGGGATGCATGTGGCTGTATGACAATTGGACGCGGGGTCGCGAGCAGCCAACCCTCCGATGGGCGCTGTTGTCTATGTGGAGCATGCTGGTGATTGTTTTGGGGGCGTTTCTCATGGTTGCGGGCACCTATGGATCGATCGAGAATATCATCGCGACGTCTCGGCAGAAAGAGTCGGGGGGGTCGGCCTGGTCGTGTGCTGACAACTCGAGCTCATGAGATTTTCTGTTGAATCAGTCAAGCTGCGGTGCCTGAGGCAAGGAACCATACACTGGTTTATAAGAGCTTTGCGAATGATGAGCTTTGTTGCTTGTTCAAATGTAGACAGGGTAATTGCATTAAAATCAACAGTATGTACAGACATGCCCCCAGCCCTACGCAAGCGCTCTTGGGATCTATCACAGAATCCAGCCCTCCCCCGTCACCACCACCACCGTCTACCACATCATCCTTCCTCTATTCATCTCTCTACGCCCAACCATAAACCCAAGCTCCTCGCTAACCCACCCACCCTCCTCCCAATCATCCCTCCTCCTTACTCCCCGGCGTAAAAAGAAAAACAAGCGTCACAAAAGCCTTACACCCCGCGCAAACGAGCAACGTAACCCTCGAGCCCGCGACCTTCTCCACCGCCGCCCCGACAAAACACCCGGCCGTCAACAGCCCCAAAAACAGGACCCTGCGATTCCTCTTCCGATTCCTCCACCTCAGCAAGGCCGGATCAATGACCACATCCACATACGCCGCCGTGGCCATCGCCGTCGTGATATCCGTGATCTTCAGCGCCCGGCCCATAGCCACCTGCGCCCCGGACGAGAACGCCAGCAGGAACAAGGTCGCCAGCGTGGTGGCCTCCCCCTCCTTCTCTGCCTTCTGCCCCACCTCACGAGATGCGAAGCGGTCTGGCCGACACATCCCCGCCGCGGCAAAGACCATCCCCGTCTGCAGCAGACTCGAAGCCAGCAACCACCAGCGCCGCCGCACGGCGCCCAGCCCGTTCCCCAGCTGGCCCAGCACCAGCCCGCCGGCCACGAACGCCCCCAGACTCATCCCCAGATGGCGGAAGGAGTAGTCCCCCGAGCTGGCGAGCCCCGCGCCCCCGATCGCCAGGAAGAGGAGGTTGCCCGTTTGGTTGGAGGCGAAGCAGCCGTAGTCCCGCCAGGCGGCGGCGTCTTGGATGCCGATCGCGAAGGAGAGGAGGAGGAGTTGTGCTTCGAGGGTGAGGTCTTCGTGGATTGAGTGGGTGAGGTAGCGAGTTAGCTGGCGTCTGCGTGAGGGTTTCTTCGCGGGGAGAGGGTGCGTGCTGGGGAGGGGGAGGGCTATGGGTTCTTGGTCGCATGGAGGCGCCAGAGACGGGGGAGGGTGTGCGGATGGGCCGTGCTGGTCGGTATACATGGTTGTGTGTCGTGCGTAGACATCTTCGTGTGACATGTGAGAGTGGTGGAAGGTAGTGCAATGGGTGGGGGCAGAGCAATATGAGGGTTTAGGGTGCTGTGAGTGGGGAGCTCGGCGATCCCACTGGCCTGTCGAATGCTTTCTCTCCCACTGAACCTTTTTCTTTCAAGTTCTAAATGGGCTTCTACAAGAAGAGCTGACTATTACTTTGAAATAGATCCACTTTTTGTGGGTTCTATACTGGACAACTAGGTTCAGTGCCGTGGGCATCGGCGATTGGAGCTCGCCGTCTCGGATGAAGCCCGGGTCGGCGTTTGCCCCGTGAATGACTTCTTCACGAAAGCAAAATCGGATCTCGACCCAGGAGACCCACAATCTGATGATACCAGAGGCATGTCAATCATGAGCCTACACCTAGTCGTGGTCAAGATATGGTTTTCATTTATGGCGAGATCCTTATGCGAGGCGACCTCCCGGCCAGTTGTTGCCTTGGGCCTGTGATTGGCACCGATAGGAGATTTACTGCCTATCAGTGCAACGTTTGCCAAGACACTGGACGCATTTCACAGCCTGGGCTATTTCCAAGCCATTGACTGCTCGCCATCCATGGCTCCTGATTCGTGGTGAATCATCAACCACCGGATAGTGTACGTAATCCAGCCATGCATGCAGCCACACGGGAGTTCTTGCCCACGTGTTAAGAGCAGATCAACGATATCAAGCAAGATATTCGCAGCAGTGCCCAGAAAACCTCAACCGGGACACTCCACTATGATACTGAGGCCTTGCCTTCGCACCGCTGGGCTTTTTCACCCTCCGGAGGAGAGGAAGACTCCTCTTGATTCCGGAGAAGTGTGCCTCACAGTCCCGCCGCCAGCCCTAACCTGATCCTGCCGCAGACTCCAAGGGGCCAGTGCCTGCTGATCTGGCCATCCTGCTCGCTTCTAGCGCCTTTGATGTCTCGCCGGCACGAAAAGAACACCTCACACAGAATCAGATGTAGTCAGGGTTCTCGAGCCCCTAAGCCGGGGCCACCGCCACCCCCGAGCGCTGAAGCCCCCATTCGCCTTCTCCGATGCGCTTGCCGCAGTACTTGACCAGAAGCCCCACGGCGGCAGGCCCGATGATCGTGTTGAGCAAGATCGCCCAGACGCCCGTGATGAAGCCCTCCTCGCTGACGTAGGATGTCTCGTTATAGCCGATCTCGATGATCAGGAGCCCGATCTCGCCCCGCGCGACCATCGCAGACCCCAAGAGGAAGGCTGAAAGCCATAGTGTGGTCGCAGGGTCTTTTGCCTGCCCATTCTCCGGACGCGCCGGGCTCCCGTGTTCCAACCCACCACTCTCTACCGCCGCTGACCTCGGCTCCTGCTTGCGAGCAGGCCCCCGGCCCCAGATCGGCACCCACACGCCCACAACAAACTGTTTGCAAGCCGGAAATCCCAGCAGTGAGCGAGAAGTGCGCATCAGAAAAAAAGGAAGTTATCTTCCCCGAAGGAGAACCTCTTACCTTGGCAACGACCATCAGAAGCGTGAAGACGATCCCGCGCCAGATCCGCCGGCCGGTCCAGAGCTGCACGAAGGGGATGGCGAAGCCGATGCTCGCGAAGAACAACGGCTCCATCAGGTACTTCTGGACGTCGACGAGGTAGCGCTCGAAGGTGTGGACGAAGGTCGGGCTCTTGTGCGCCAGCTTCTCGCCCTCCTCCCGGCTCAGCACCACGAACGGGCCCGTCGGGTGCTTGCTGGGGAGGTAGGTGAGGAACGTGCCCGCCAGGAAGGCGCCGAAGAGCACCGAGGTCCCCGCGTAGGCCGCGATCGTGATGAACGCGCTCAGCGACAGCGTCATCAGGACGATGTTGGAGATGTGGTCGAACCGCGCAAAGTCGTGCTCGATGAACCGCCGGAACCCGGGCGCGAACAGGTATTTGGTCACAAGTGGCGTCACGATCGCCATCGCGATCGAGGCCACGATCGGCCGCCCGATCAGCCAGCCGAGGTTGACTCCGCCGCCTTTGAGCTGACCAAGATTTTCGATGACGCTGCAGAGGAGCGAAATGCGACGGTCAGTATGAAAGGTTTTCCCAGCCCCTCAGAAGGATTGTGCCAGGAGAGAATGCGCACAAACCTTGCCATGACAAGCCCAACCACGTCGTCAATGACCGCTGCGCTGACCAGGACAGCGCCTACTCGGGTCTGTGCAAGATCGACGGTGCTGGAAGCGGAAGAGATCACTGCAAAAGTTGTACCTTGGCAGTGTAAGCAAACAACCCATTGAAGGGATCGCCAGAATGGCGAGCCACAGCCGTCCGCTTACCCAGAGAGGTTGCAGATAGCGCTGCTCCAATGATAAAGGTTTCTACAGCACCTGGGAATCGTAAGCCTGATTATACAGAGACGGGGATATGTGCATGGATGAGGAAGCCCACCATATCCAAATCCGAGATAGAGAAGCAGGTACGACAGGCCAATGGGAAAGCAAACCCCGGTGGCTGCACCAAGCATACTAAGCACCAAATTTGCCCGTAAGAGATCGAGGCGAGCGCTGAGACCACCTGGAAAAGAGAGCGTTAGTGCTGAGTACCAGGACCACCAGATCAGCGGCACGACATGAGCCGTGTACCTTCAAATATGATCAAAATCAAGCCAACATAGCCGAGAGATAGAAAGGTTTCTTGCCAGTCCAGTTCAAGGATATCGGCGAGCGGTTTGCCGTAAATGATACCAACCGCGATTTGGCCGATGATGCCGGCGCGGATTATCTTCGCTGAGGCCCATTCTGCCAAGGACAAGATGAAAAAGAAGGAAATCAGGATGAGGATGTCGACAACTGCATATTGATCAGAAGACTGGATATCGAAGGGTGTCTAGACGGAGTGTGGGCGACCGTACTTCCTGGCTCATGATAAGGTAGAAAGCCTCCCGCCATGGCACAAGAGCTTTGCCAGTGGAACGAACTGAGTATTTTTGTTCACAACGGGGGGGCTTTAGCGGGGGGGGGGAGGTAGGGAGGTTTAATTATTTGTATCCAAAGCGAGCGAGACTCTCTCACTTTCTTTCCTGGTTTCTAAGGAGTTTCGGACTGCACGGAATAATAAAAGTGGCAGCGATTACGGCGGAACTTCAAAAAGTCCACCGCTTCAAGCACGTTGTCATCGATTCCCTTGGCATAATTTAATTCGTGCAGAATGAGGTCCCCGGGGCCCACATATCCAACTTTCCGCGAACGGAACGATGTCCTCATTCTGGAGTAATGGATGGATGCCATCGGTAGGCAGGTGGCGGTATCTTCCCATTAAGGTTTGCCAAGAGCTTCCCCGAAAAGTTGGAACCAGCCGTCAGCCTGCCTGGCCATGCACCGTGAACATTTTTCCGAATACCTGTTAAACATATATATACCGACTAACGCTTCTCGCCAAGACCCGCCGAGGCCAGCACAGTGGAACAGTGGAGTAATGAAACTTGGCGCAACAGCGGAAAGAGCGGGATTGGGCATTGTTCTTGGCCTGAGTTGTTCGACTCCATGCTAGTGTGCTTGGCTCAGACCAGAATCGATCCTCAATACGAGCGAACTACACACGGGCAGAGGGCATAGCGGACTAAGGGCGCCCAACTCGGCGTGGTCCGAAAATAACTCCGTGTGATGCAATATTTTGCCCAGGATGATAGAGGATTTTGGACTACGATGAACGTTTTCTGGACCCCGGTGAGCTGGCCCTCGGTGGACTAGCTATGCCATCGTGCAGTGAACAGGGTCAATTAAGACCAAGACCTTGCCAAAGCAAAAGCAAAAGCCTACAACAGAAGGGATTTGCTGGTGGGTCACCTATTCAACTACTAGCGGAGAGTCCTCGGGGCAGTCCCTTAAATAGCCTATAACAGCCTATAGGACGAAAGTGCTGGGTTTGCCTCGTAAGTTTGAGATAGGCGGAAGTAAAAAGAGAAGCAGATAGAAAAGAATTGACGACACCTCTGGAGGATGAAGAAGGTGGTTGATTCCTCCACGTGAGGCTATCGGAGAACTAGCTAAGGCAGCCGGGTGGGCGGTGAGCTGGCGGCTCAGGCACCAAGGCCCCGGGCGGTCGTCAAGAATACATATTCGGATTAACAAGAAAACTGTGACTGCTAAAATCAGTTATATTGATTATAATCAGCGAGCCATCTAGTGATTGAGCTGGTGATTGGGGGGGGGTCCAATGATCTGGTCGAGACACTACAAGGGGACGGGGCCAATGGCGAGCGTGGTGCAGACGTTGAACTTTTGGATGACGCCCGAAATGCTCGCGACGGAAACGGAGTTGCCATAGATGCCGGGGAGAGAATGAGTCAGCATCGACAGCTCTGAGCTCACTCGGAAGAGAAAGCCTTACACAGCGAATGGGGCGATACAGACTCCGACCACAAAGGTCAATCGTCGGGCATAGGGCCAGTTTCGCGGGTTTTCAGGGTCGTCTAAGTGACCAGATTGTTGTTTTTGCCATCGATGGCGCACAGGTCTGGATCCCCGTCAGTCCAGTGATGTACTGGGAATACATATAGCCTGTGGTGCGTGGATGTGGGAAAGATGAAATGGATATTTATGATTGAGCTTTGTATCAATGAGCGGGGTCTCGGAGGCGGTTGAGGTCGGATTTGGCCCGCTAGCGGAGTTGGCTGACCGTGAACGACCATGAAGCCCACATGTATAAATATCTAGCAGCTGGAGCAGATCGCTTTGAGCCTCATTCAACTAAAAGCCATATCCTTTTTATCTAATCACAATGCTAGAACATATCTCTCCCATCTACACCTTATGTCCCGTCATACTCTACGTCAGTGCAATGTCCCGTCTGCCCCTCCAGTATCTCCGTCCCCACAGCCCTAACATGGACCCACACCATAGATCGCCGGGTTGTGTGTCTATCAAATCTACTTCCACCGTCTCCATCAACACCCTGGACCCTTGCTGGCCAAGCTTACGAACTGGTATGCCGCATACTACACGTGGCAGGGCACCATCCATCTCAAAATCCGAGAATGACATGATGTGTACGGTACGATCCCTGAGGCCAGCGTCACCCACAGACACATGCTAACGGAAGCCACAACCTCGACCACAGGCCCGATCGTGCGGTTCGGCCCCGACTCCATCTCTATGAATAGCCCGACGGCAATGGTCCAAATCTATTCCGCTCGAGCCAACGTCCGCAAGGACGATGCATATCCTGTGATGAGCGCCAGCAGCCACATCCCCAGCACAATCAGCTGCCTGGATAAAGGCCAACATGCAGCCAAGCGCCGTATCCTTGCGCAGCTGTTTACCCCCTCGGCGTTGAAGGGCGTCGAGGAGCGCGTTTTGTCGCACATTCGCACCTTCTGCGCCTCGCTCGGGGAGTCCAGCCAGGAAGGACGAGCGACGGACATGGCAGTACTGTCGGACTATCTCACCTTCGATATCATCAGCGACCTCTGTTATGGTCAGGCCTTTGGCCTCCTCCAATCCACAGCCCTGCGATATATCCCAAATGTGATCAGCTGCATCAGTCGTCGGAACGCGATCGTAAGGTCTCCCTTCCATGGTCCATGACAAGTACTTCCAGAGGCGTCCTGGGGGAGAACCCCCAGACCCCCCTTTTTTTCCAGCTTCCCAAACATGCACCCAGAACACCAAACCAGAGAGCTAACCGACTCCCGAGAACAGTGCTTCATCCAGCCCGCGATCCAAAAATACCGACTCGACCGCCTATTCTTCGCCCCCATCTCGACGCAGATCCATGCATTCGGCCGCTGGATCCAGCAACAACAAAAACAGCACCCCAAAAAAATAACCCCCGACTTCCGCAGCCACCTCACCACATCCACCATTACCCACCCCGGCCCTAACCCCCGGCCCCTGACCAACAAAGAGGTCTGGATCGAGCTCCTGCAGCTCGTCATCGCCGGCTCCGACACGACGACCGTGGCCCTCAGCGCGGCCGTCTTCCACTTCTGCCACCACGCGGCCGCCCTGGCGCGCGCCACCGCCGAAGTACGCACCCAATTTTCCACTACTGTCGAGGCCATCCGCCCCGGCAGCCCCCAGCTCCGCCGCTGTACCTACCTGCACGCCTGCATTCACGAGTCCCTCCACCTGGCCCCGCCGGTGACGGGCCTGGCGCCGCGGCGGGTTCTTGAGGGTGGTATCCAGGTCGACGGGGTGTGGCTCCCTGCTGGCATTGTGCTCGGCTGCCCCATTTACGCGGTGCAGCGCGATCGGACCTGTTTCCTTACGCCGGATTGGCATCTCCCTGGTCGGTGGGAGGATGTGTAAAACAATAGTTGTAAGGGGGAGGAGAGTGATGATATGGGCGTGGAAGAGAGGCAACAACAGCGGCAGAAACGGTCTCGGATGCTGTCGGCCTTCTGTCCGTTTAGTGTCGGGCACCGGGCGTGTGTGGCGCGGCGGTTTGCCATGGACGAGATTACGGTGACTCTGGCAAGGGTTCTGTTTCTGTATGATTTGCGGTTGGCGGGGAGAGAGGATGCGGATGCTGGTACTGGTGCTGCAGCTGCGGCGGAATACGCGCTGAAAGGGTGGATGACTTCCGGGCGGGAGGGACCCGTTGTATATGCTTCGCCGAGAGAAGGCTGTTCGCTGTAGACTTTTTGATTGACATTTTTATTGACCCTTACTCATTTTCCGTACTCACTGCTGCTCATCTGTGACTGAAGATAGCGTCAATAACTCTGGATGTTCTTACACAAATGTACAGATGAGGTGCTTTACCCTCTTTTCATGTCACACCTTTCAAATAAGATTTGCGATTCCAAGATATATATTCACCTCGTGAATGCTTACACATATCTTATATTTGCCGTCTTTTTGATATCGCCTACCGTGAGTATTAGGCGTAGTAAGTATCAATGACAACTACCTTTTACAATGCTACTGTTAACCCCTGTTTTGCAGACAAAAGAAAAAAGAAACAAAGAAGAAAAAAAAAAAAAAACGAAACCAGCTAGTGTATGTAAGATTTCAAATGGAAAAGTGCGCCGGTGTACTCCAAGTCGTGCGCAAAGGGCTCTTAGCCGGCCTATGCATAGGCTAACATCGATAAGAGATAGGGCGGGTCGGACTCTGTCCGCTAGCGCGAGTTTGGTGTCCGGAGTTTAAGGCTCTGCATACCATTGCTATCTCCGCCCACCAGCCCTAAACCCCGCGAGCCGTGCTGATAGTGGAAGAGCAAGAGAGCGATGACGAACAGCATTGTCGTATAAAGGGATGCCATCACCCGGGAAGAATGTCAGCATCAGCTCGCTACTATTACATTGAAACCAGACAGTCCGGTCTAATATCTCGTTGAGTGGGAAAAGCGAAAATGACGGTAGAACAAGTCCAACTCATCTACGGCGGGGGCTCGTTCATCAGCGAGGTCAGCAACCGCTCTCTCTCCGACGTGCAGGCCACATTGAACCAACTGCATTCTCACGGTATCCGGGCGATCGACACGGCGCCCATCTACGGCCGCTCCGAAGAGCTCCTGGGCCAGGCCCATGCCGCGGACCGGTTCGCCCTGGCCACCAAGTTCCCCGGCGGGTTCCTGCCCGAGCCGGCCACCAAAGAAGTCCTCCTCGCTGCGGCCGAAGAGAGTCTCCGGAAGCTGCAGACCGATCAAGTAAGTCCTCTCTCGCCTCTGTATCCTTAACCCGTTGAGGTAGAGACCCGCAGATAGACATGCTGAACTAACAGGCGGACTTGTTAAGCCCGGCAAGAATGGCAGACACGCGCATAAACGACCTAGAAAATTTAGTCAGCCATCAGACTTGTAACCCTGGAGAAGTTGGGTAAAAGATTTCAGTGGTCCTCGATGAGCAGATATCGCATTCCCTGTCTCCTGCAAATAATGCCTGAAGTGTAGAGAGGATAGTGGTTCCTTGAGGCGCTGCTCTCGATAAGGTGTAGTAGATCGGGGTACCACGGTCGATCGGACCATCTCTGGGTTAAGGGAGACTCTGGATCCCATTTGACTCCGAGCCTGAAGTTCCATCTGCGTTGCACGAAAATTTCAATACTGCCTTGTCTTCTACTTTCCAAGGCAAAGTCCACAGGGGCCTTGCCACTATGGCTGAAAGTTCTGGCAAGAGCGGAGCCTTTGTTGCTTTGGAGAAGGAGATTGATCATTTTCCTCTGTTGTGCTGTGGTTTCCGTTCTGCAACGCCACATGGAGAGGAATATCTCCAAAGCTATTCCGGCCGTGCGGGTGATTATCTGAGGAGGTCAAGAGGCCATGAACTCTCGAGACTGAACATCCATGAACTGGTTTGTGAAGCAGATTGTTTCCGTGGCCGTCGAGTGGAATCAGATCAGTGTGTAAGAGTAGTCTTTCCAGCAGTTCGACATCCTCGATCTCTTCGGAAGCCCAGCGTAGAGGACAACGGCCATCAATCTCTCCGATGCACGCGTCAGCTCCCGCTTTCAGCAACTGCTCGCAATTGTCTAAGCCACGAGCGCAAAAAGCCCCGAGACATGGCGTCCGTTCACGCCGGTCCATGACAGTCAGCGATGTTGGATTAATTGCTAGCAGGCCGGAGATCTCCTTTGGTGTGCATGCTCGAGCCGCCACATGGAGTGCGACTTCACCCAAGCTGGTCCGGCGAGTCAAATCAATACTAGGCAATTCTAAAAGACCACCAATGACATCCTGGTTTCGCTGCTGCAATGCGACCATGAAAGGGGTTCTATGGGTTCATGCGCTTTACACTTTAGCCATTTATACTTTCTATCTCGAAGTCAAGCTTGAGCTCATGTTCAACTCTCTATTGCCAAGACAAATCGATCGCTCCAGCTCCAACTCAATTTCGCAAATCACCAGCTGACCACGATAACCTTATGGTTCACCCGTATTCGCACCCATGGTATCTTCTGTTCTTATTTATGTTTACCTTCATTTGAGCCATGTCTCTGCACCTTGGTGAAGGGGCTGTGCATTTTAGGTCGGACGGAAAATTAACTTTGCTCGTGTCCAAGATAGCGGCTGCGAGATCGAACCAAAGAATGTTGGTCTCTACACGGAAGGGTTTCCTGCAGATTGCTTGGAGATGACTTCAACGACTGGGCTGCCAGCTGGCCTTAGGTTCTTTGAGCTATCCTCATCAAAGGATCCATGCTTGCCTACAAACTATTTATATTGCCGTCTGCCTCCTGGCCTAAGGACTTCTCATTGAAGGGCCAATTCTCGAGATCTCAACCTCAAAACAAAAAGTCCTTCCCCTTCGAGCAGAGATGTATTCCAAGATCGGAGCAATCCTTCTGGTGATCGGTGGCATGATGATGTCTGGTGCCGCAGCACAGTCCGACCAATGCTCCGCCCAACCCTGCTATGAACGCTGTGTCCGAGATAGTTATCAATGCCTGAACGACTGCTGGAACATCGCATCGCAAATCCGAAACAGACGCCAGGCAAACCGGTTCCACGCAAATTGCCAACGGGGCTGCGACGATGCAATCTCCAACTGCATCTTCCGACAGTGCGACGTTCAATGCCCCGTCGTCGCGGACAGCGATGACCCCGACCAATGCCACGAGGGCTGTGAGCGCAACGCACTCCTGGACACGATCCGATGCATCACCACTCGGCCCAATTCCGCGGACCGCGACAGTTGCATCGGAGCCGCAAACTCCAAGCACCGGGGCTGTCAGGCCGACTGCCCACCCCGTGAGCCGGTCGGCGGCTGCAAGGGCGGCTGCATTGCTGATTCGATCGTGGGAATTGGCCGGTGCGTAGTGGCACCACAGAACCCGGTGAGTCGAGAGCTCTGCAATCGGGCGGTGGAGTCGGAGCGGATAGAATGTGAGGAGAAGTGCGACAAGGCGACTCCCTCGCAAGCTCCCGGCCCGTCGGCCACCACTGCAGCAACAACCACCACCACCCCCACGGTGACCCCTTGTCAGGGAGCGCCACCATGCGGATCGTTGATCACGCCCTGTCTCTGCGACTGTTTCAACGAGTTACATTGTGGAAATAACGCGTGTAACGAGGAGTCGGCTACGTGTGGCGACTCGGACGCCTGTGGCTGGCGTTACGGCGAATGTATCAGTGCGGTCGATGCCAAATTTAATACCTGCAAGGGCAAATGTCCGGCTTCTTGATTCTTCTTTTTAGTGTGAAACATGGGTCTCCGCTCGACCTTCACGTCCAAAAATTAGGCCAATGTGATTAAGCCCCGGAGTCGCACGAGGTGGATTTTGATATGTGACTGGCAACACAAACATATGCCGACAAGGTGTATCTATGATTCTCTAAGGATAGCTATCTCATCTCTAGGAAAAGCATTTGGTTGTTCTATATTGTTGCCAAACACGGAACCTGAATATCTTTCCATATTTCACGTAGTGCTGTCTTCCCTCCTTCGAGGGACCAGGCACATCTCGAGTTTGGGAGCTGTTAGAACCAAGGAAGTACCCACGGGCCAGGCATTAGTGAGGATTAGTCCAACTGTTCGTGTTGACTCACCCTGCGCAGAGCTTTGTCATTCCTTTTTGACTTGTGTTTCCTGAATTGTGTTTCGCCGAGGGAGCTTTGTTAAATTTCCAGGATGCTGGTGGCTCCCAAAAAAGAGCCGAGTGAACTCATTTCCCAAGCTGGCTCTATTGTCTCAACCCCTTTACACACCACCACACCCCCCTCTTAACAATATCCGCGATATTTTTTGACACTCATTGTGACTTCAACTTTTCTTTGCGTTCAAGATTGCGAGACAATAAGATCGACCATGGTCGATGCGGCATAGATAGATGGGTGTGTTTAGGGGGTGGTTCACTTCGTACCGCTAGGGTTGGGATAACGCTTCATGCATGTAGTGGCGAGTCAAATGAATGATCCTTCACAGATAGTCAAGACAGATACTAGGGACTAAGTACTCTTGACCAATATAAAAACTCACCTATGTACACTTCTGGTAATCAAGTGCCCTTTTAAGTGAAAGTCGTGTCTGCCTCTTTATTTCCTACTTAAGCCTGCCCAAACGCCCGCCGTGAAGATTTCGATAGCATGAGTGCGCACCACGCTGCACGCACTCCGAGCTCTCTCATTATGTCCCCTAAACAGCAAGACTACCACCCGCTGCGACGCAGCTCGACCGACGAGGCCTCCGAAACTGAGAATGAGAACGGGACTAAGCCAGGGACGAACAATCTGGACCCCCCACGAGCCGCAAGCCCGAATCCGACGAGGCCACACCGAACCCCAAGGGCCATCTTCCTCACTGCCCTCTCATTCGCAGCCCTCCTCCTTTCCTGCTCCAACATCACTTTCCTCGTCCACTGGCTGAGGAGTACTAAGCTAACATCGACCCCGTGCGAGGGGGGTTCATACTACGATGTGTGTCCCAATTCTCGACGTGAATATCCCCCCACCACGAGAAACCGCGACGCTGAATTGCATATCATGCAAAGCCAATCTCCACCGGACCATCCCCCTCCCAATCCAAGAACACAGCCCATCCGTCAGCGACAACGTCAGCGACAACGTCAGCGCCGTCGCGCACCTCTGGGAGGACGAGCTAAGCGGCGACCCGGGCGTGGTGGCGCTGGAGAACGATTTCGTCCGGGAGAAGCATCTCCCCGAGGCGATGCCGTTCCCCTGGGATCCGTCCAAGAGCGTGTATCTGCTCCAGGGATATCATAATCTCCATTGTCTGCGGACGCTCTTCCGCTACGCCTGGACGGCGGACCGTGGCCTCCTGCAACGGATCGCGTTCAGCCACGTCTTGCACTGCCTGGACCAGCTGCGGCAGGATGTGATCTGCAACGCCGACGACACCCCGCGGTACGCGGGCCACCCGCGGCCCGGGGATCCGCCGGGGACGGGGGCGGGGCAGGTCCGTCTGTGTCGCGACTGGGCGCAGCTGGAGCGCTGGGCCCGCGAGCGCACCGCCTGCTTCAAGCATGAGGATGAGGTCCCCGGGCGGCTGCAGTGTTATTGCAATGAAGTCCTACAGTCAGGCTATATTCTAGAGTGATCTGGTTTCTCACGCGTACTGCGCGAAGATGTTGATTTAGTTCCATCCTTCCCATCTATCTGTTAATTTAACGGACATAGACACATACGACCACAGGGTGTGGAAAACAGGGCTTCCCGTCCGCTCAGCCGTACTTAAGCCACATGCCGGGAGGTTAGTAGTTGGGTGGGTGACCACCAGCGAATCCCTTCTGTTGTATGTTTTTGTCTCTTTTTGCCAGTATTATAGGGAGAATCGTCTCTTTCGAAGAGTCCCGTGCTGCTTGTTCAATGACCGCCCAATCTTTTCATTCGATCACCTTATTGTCCAAGGTTGCCAAAGTAATGATTCGGATCAGTACTGAAACAGTCTTGTAGCGCAAACCATAGATGCCGTACATCTACAACAAGCTACTCGCCAAGTTGCAATAATCCTATTTCTTATAGTATTTCTACATTATTTCGATTTCTTTGAGCTTTACCGTCCACCAGACCGCTTTCTCTCCGAACTGATTCTAATACAGAAATTATATACAAGACTTTTGGATAAAGAATCCTAATGCAACAATACCTTGAATCTGAGATATAAGATCTAAGAGTTCTAGCAATCCTAAGATAGAATATAGTTATGTGACTTTGCTGAAACCAAGTGAACTTGAAAAGATAATGTAGTACTGCCAGCAGAATTGGGGTTATTGTAAAATTGGCACGAGTGGCCCACCGTAGTACATTCTTTCCAGCTTCAGCCGGCAACCGGATCAATCTTTGGGAAGAGATCTCTCAAAGCACACTTGCCCTTCCAACATATGGATAAAGGTCTTGCTCACCTACCCAGCAGGGTCTTTCTTCCGGCTCACGGCATACAAGTATTTTTTCTGCCACACATTCTACTCGAATATTCTCGCTTTGTTACATTACTGTAACGGGTCTGATTGGAGAATCTTGTATACATAATGTGTCTATGTTGTCCGACCTAGTCAACTCAATAAAGTCTATTGTTAATCTATTGACAGAATGATATGGAGGTTGTGGGGCACAACAATGACGGGCTCAGGCCGAGCCGAGCTTCTCTGCGTTCTCGAAGCCAGTGAAGGTGAAGTCGGCGAAGGCAGCGCCAATGTCGTTGCTGGTGCCATCGAGGGTGAGGTACAGCACGTAGCTTTGGTAGTCAAGCAGGAAGGACGAGCTGTTAGCCAGGGAAAGCGCCAGGTTGGCCCTGGCGATCGCGTCGTGGAGCTGGGTGTAGTTGGCCTGGTTGACCCACTCCTGGGTGGACGGGACGTCGGCGCCGCTGGTGCTGATAGTCACGTTGTCCAACTGGGCCTGGGCCTGAGCGACAGCCCTGGTGAGGAAGTCGCGCGAGTTGCCATCGCTCGTCATGCCGACGGGGCCGCCGCGGTTGGTGGTGTTGGTGACGGGGACCAGCCAGAGACTGACGTTGAGCCCGGCGGCCGAGTCATTGGTGAGCTTGAAGAACTTCTGCGCGCCGGTGAACTCGCCGGGCCGGTTCGAGATGGGCAGGTTGTCCCGCGAAAAGCGCATGGCGTCCCCGTAGGTCACGCCCCCAACGTCGTAGAAAGTATGATCAGCGCCGTCGATAAAGAGACCGACCACGTCCTGAGCGCGCTTCATGGCCCAGCCCTGGTTGCCGTACCAGAACAGCGCGACGTCGCCAGGCTGGATAGTGGTATCAAAGTTGCTGGCGGGGATAGCCGGGCCGGCACCGCTGAAAAGGTCGGCGTCGAAAATGGTGCCCTCCCAGGGCGTCTTGTTGGCGACGTCGATATTCCCGCGGTAGACCGAGTAGGTCCCGTTGGCGTTGTGAGTGATGGTGTCGACGGTGACGCCCTCCAGGTAGTCGGCGTCGATGAGGTCGGTGTAGCCATCGCCGTTGGTATCCCAGAAGCGCACCTCGAGACCGGCGACGATGTTGGTGACGACCGACAGGGCGGCAGCCTCGTAACTGCTGGCCTCGGTCTCAGCCTCGTAGCCGCCCCACCACGTCGCGGTGGTCGTGTCGTAATACAGCCAGGGCACTTGGTTCACCAGATAGCCGTCGCTCAGGCACTGGCTGACTTTGTTGAAGGCGGACTCGGTGCCTGGGATGGCCCACAAGTTGATGTAGAATTGGCTGTCTTCGATGACAGCCTTGACGCCCTGGAGGGCGCTTCCCTGCTTGAAGTACTGGTCGTACTGGGTGGCGGTGACGTTGGCAGCGTCGGTGCCCATGTCAAGCACGACGGAGTGGAGGAGCGTGCCCTCGATCTGACTGCCCGAGTAGGCAGTCCCGCAGGCAGCGAGGCCCGAGGCGGGCAGCATCGCCAGGGCCGAGGCGTTGGCGAGTCTCATGTTTGCGAGACCTTGAGGAATTAAAGTCAGCGAAGGAGCGTAATGGAAATGAACGACAGGGAAAAGAACGTTGGCCAATATCTGGAGAACCGATGAGCACAGTTACACCCCGAGATGCTGTGGGTGTCTGGATATGCCTGGCATCTGGATGGTCTTATATCCTCTTTCCTCATTGCTGATGACGAATCTGATGTGGTTGCACTCCGTGCTCCGACTTTAGCGGGCGGGGGGGCCGACGTGTAGATCCTGCGAATTTCCCCCTTTCCCCTTCCTTGCTCAACTCCACATGTCCTCTGAAGAAACCCCATTCCGAGGTTTCATCGCATGGGTAAATGCTTAAGCGCTCGAGCCGTAGTGCTGTCACTCTCGGGATACAGAAGATTGAGGGGACATGCTAGCTGCGGCGGTGGTTCGGACCGCGACGGAGATGCCGGTCTGACTGTATACTTCTGGGGTTAGTGAGACACTAACCTCCAAGGTTATATTAATATTAATTAGGTGAAGACCACCTGGAAAGGTTGTCCGTCAACTTGTCCCCACGAACCCCACCATATTAGCAGTATGTCGTCGCACCGTTGTCGCACTGGCTGAAAAGGAACAGTTGAAGAACATCCAGTGTGGGTCTGAGTTGACGACATGGGAGAACTGCAGCGAATGATCCCATGGCCATTTCAACATTCCAGCCATCGCGAGCTCCACACCCCCGTATGTCAACTTGAAGAGTTTAAGCGTAGATCGACCCGAACCTCGGAGTTCACAGTGAACCGAAATAAATATGCGCAGACATTTCTCGGAAGAAAAAGCCGCTTAAGTTATTAAGATAGCTGCATGAATCGATTTTGATTAAGGCTGGATGTTGATCAAGATGATGCCGACTTCATACAAAACTGCACCAAACTGTAGTACGTACCTTGCTCTAAATCCAAGATGCCCCTGTCGATCCATGGCATGTGCAAACTAAACTTTGCGGAGACTAAACCACCCAGGGTTTAGTGTCCCGCCAAGATATCCTCCGTGCGCGTTCCAAGATTTCTCTCGATCCGTGATCCGTTCCATGTTCGCCCTCTAGCACGTTCATCATCTTCTGTTCTACAACTGCACAATCTAGCAGTGAGGGGTAACTTAATATTATCAGTAGGGAGGAAAATATACCCCACGTGACAACAATATTTTCAATTCTACCCATGTCTTACTAGGTGCCTGCATCTATCTATACTGCTCTGAACTCATCGAATCAACCCACACCAGTCATGCGTGTTGGGTTTAGGGCAAATCAAATGGAGTCGGGTGCTAGTACTTGAAATGCAATAGCTTGTTGTGAATAAGTAGACCAGGTAACTTCCACCCGGCTATTCTCGTTACTTTCTGAACATTTTACACTCGTTGATCATTCCGGAACTTCAATCTGTGGTGGATCAGTCGGGAGCCTCGTGTATTCCCTGATTAAAGAAGCCATTGATACTACTTTCGAGGTTGAATCCTCCATTTACTATCTTTGCTCCATAATTCCCAATATGATAATGGAAATAGTGTTGGAACGAGCAGGATGAGAAGATTCGGTATTCTGCGGCAGAAGAGCGATCGAACCAGTTAAAGTGGAGAAAGACAACGTTGAAAGAACCGACCCCAGTTCCCGTAGAACTGTCTTTCCTGCAAGGCCCAGCTAGAATTGGTGGATGGATGAAGCTTCGGATTCGTATTTCACTGGACGGCTCGTTAGATTTTGGCATCAATTGGTACCGAAAAATTGTAGACTAGATTGCCCTGAACGGAGTGCTAATTCAAGGTCTTCCCATCAGGTCTATGGAGCAAATATTGTCGCCAGCTTCGGCACAGCACCCTTCACAGATCACCTGGCCTAACTTTTTCTTTTCAGCAGAGAGGATAGACAGCCACGACAGAAAATTGGCAATTAGATTGCGAGAACCACAGTGGTCCCAAGAGGCTGGCCTTTTGCTTTGAACTGTAGAAGCCCGAAATCCCTCCTAGTTATCTTAGTGAAAGTAGAACGTCATTAGGGCAGCTCAAGATACACCAAGTCTCAGCTCGTAATTCGTGTTGAATATGATCCGGCTTCAGCTGGTAATTGGTAAAGCTTCATTTGTTGTGGGAGGCAAAAGCTTTTTGGTTGCTCGAGAGCAGTATTCGGTAGTACAGCCATTCGTGTTCCGGGCAGTACGATGCAAACGAAATTTGGCTGCAGTCTGTGGCATCGCGCATCTCGTCTTCAATTCAAAGTCCAACAGTGAGGTCGGTGCTTTTCAGGTCCCGAGCGACGTTGACGTTCGTTGACCATGGTAAATGTACAGACATAGCCATTGATTTAAATCGTCGGGCTCCAAATATCCTTTCCAGCCGTCAGCCACTGGCCGTTAGTACGACTCCGGAGACAGAGTCTAGTTCGGGGGGTCTTGTCGTATTCGGGCGCCATTGCGATCGTGTTGAAAGCTTGTCCATAAGTGCAAGATAGCCAAAGACATGGCTACATGGCGCCGTTGACGAAATGACCATGATGGTATGCCCAGCAGCCGTGCAGAGGGGCCACATAAATTGAAGTTTCCCCGGACTGCCCTACCAGAACCTCTGCCATGGTAATACACAGTAATTCACTCCATTTGTTGGGGCACCACCATCGCACCTCGATCTAGGGTAGCAGCATATCACAACAAGTACAAATTCAGAGGAGACGGGAGCCATGGCATCGCTCCTGGATGAATTTCGCCAGTCTGCAGTCCCCGCTGGAACCGCCGACTGGACAACTCCACACAATGTACGTGAACAAGATCCGGTCTGCATTGCCACACGGGCCAGACACAAAAAGACATCTGACGATCCTGGTCGGCGCGGGGGCTTCAATAGGTGCCGTTCAAGCGAGTGAGCTCACTACCAGCGTCAGCGAGACCGACAAACAGAAGACCCTCAGCGGACTGAGCTGGGCGGGGCTTCTCCTTGATGGCCTCCTCGGTAGGTCGATTCAGGACTATATGAAGCTGAACAAGGACGAAGGCATGGAGCCTGTGCTGTTGGCATGTCGCGTAGCGGACCCCAATGTACTCCCCATACTTTCGACCTTCCGAATGTCTTACCAGAGACTATTCTCGAATGCGCAAACGCTGCTCAGAATCCTCGCTTTGATCGGCCTCGGGGGTGTCAGCGACGATTTCTTACAACGGCCTGCAAACACGTACCCACTGGAAAGTTCGCTGGAAGGCTATTTGGTCCATGACTACCCCGACACCCTCTCACTGCAGGACCTTTCTTCTCTCCTGAGCAGATCCCATCGTCGTGAGGTTGCTATTGATTCTCTGGTGGAAGTCGCCCAGCTGCAGCGGGTCGATACCGGACTGATAATGCACCCTGTAGGACATCAAATCTAAGGACGTGTGTTTGGCCCGGAGCTGACTATCGCGCAGATGCAGTTGGAATGTCTCAAAGCCACTTGCTTGGAGCCGGCTCGGGACAACCTCTCTCTTCTTGTCTTGACCATGATTGCGAACCTTTTTGCGAGTATGACCGATCGGGAATTTGTCCTCCAGAGAAGCTACGTATATTACGCCCGGACATGCATCGAGATCCTCTCCAAGTCTTACACCGAGACACCCGATGAAGGGACACTGGCCAGGTTGTGCTTCTATCTGGGCCGGGTCTTCTGGCTCGTCCGGGACGACGTGGCGGCTACTTATTTGTATGAACGCGCCCTGGCAGGAAGTCTGGCGTCGTTGCAACAACCCCACATCTTGACTTTCTGGGCTCGAAAGAATCTTGGGTTGATTTATATGGAGCACGGTTTTTTCGAGAGCGCCTATAGGCAATTGAAAGACGCGTCAAGCTCCATCCTGCCTGTGAGCTTTGAGAGAGATCCACTTCCTGAAGCCATCCTTGTCAGCAATGCCGGACGTGTAGCGAAAGACAAAATAAGATCTTCACCACACGGGACGACACCAGCCGTGGACTCTTTTCTCGCTTCTTTCCAGGCCGGATCCCAGGCAACTGCATATGGATTATTGATGTCCAGCATTGACGGAAATGTCGAGCAAGCAATGGCACGAAACATGCTCTGGACAACAGAGCCATCGCTCCCTATCAGCCGCATGTACGATCCGGGTTGCCGATTCTGTCATGGGGACGAAACAAGGTTGCTGGATCGGGTGAAGGGCATGTTCCGAGACTCGGAACGTCTCAACCTTGGAAGATCACTGTTGGCGGTTGAGGTTTACTTGCAAGCAACGTATCGCATCTTACTGGGAGATCTTTCCGGAGCTGCTTCGTTGTGCAATCGTGCTGCTAGCAGCTATTGGAAAAGGAATGCGGCACATACGGTTCCCTCCTATAGCTGGGCCCGAAGGGTGCTCCAAGTCGCCACTTACGGTGTTCATAAGCGTGAATTCGAGACTTTTTGGGGCACTGTTTCGCCTGCCTCGGCAAATCTAAGTGAGATGTTGCTTGAGTGCAAGATGAGAAAGGACCCATTTGTCGGAGGTTTTGTCACGCATTCGTGGAACGGTACGTATAATCGATCTGTTGCGCCTCGTAAGTAGTCATGAAGTACGGAATATTCGGGGCACTGACCATGGACCACCAGGTTTGATAGAACCTAGCTCTGCGAAAGGCCTTGCAGCGCTTGTAGACGAGTTCATCCACCGTGGCACATTTCTCGGGGAGCTCACACCCTTGTGGAACCATTGCCAATGGTCGAGCTCATCTTTCCGGACAGGCTCGGCCCCAGTAGCAGACTACGAGTCAGAAGAGGCCATCGATGCCTCCTACTTTTACATGATATTCATCCTGGCAAATTTGCTTTTAGGACAAAGTCATCGCGCACTGGAAATCTTTTGTGAGGTGAATGAAAGGATGAGCGCGTTCTAGCGACCTAACCGAGTGCTGCATCCTGAAGACTTTTGAGCTGCAGCAGACGGCCGAGGTCTGCAAGAACAGCTAGTCGCTACTGAGCAAGCTCCAGGATGTGTGCCAGGTCGAGAAGATCTAGCTGCAAGAGCCGCACCGAGAAGATTTGAAGTTGACACGAGAGGTCATCAATCCTGTACTCAATGTAGCGATGAGCCAACGATGATTCCTGCCCTGTTGACTCAATCGTGTAGGCTAGTGGCTTCTGTGATTCATCGGATGCTCATGACACCGCATGTAACTTAGCAAGGGAGTCAGATGTCGGTCACTATTTTCACTTTCAAGTTCAGCAGCTGGTGTGGGGTTAGACTAATGCTCTGGTGCGTAGAGCAGAGCCGGCAGTGAGTGGAGCACGTAAGCACTAAAGCAGCCCACACCAAATGGATATTCGACTTTGTTGTAGCGACTCAGCCTGTTGCAGGGGTGCCATTTGCTCAGCCTCGTGAAAGTGTGTTCCAGTTTCTCGCTATGAATGAAACGTTGGCCCGCTCATATATGACCTGTCATCTTTCACCGGCCCACCCCTCCTACTCCTCGGACACCTTGTGACAGCTTCACTTCAGCACCAGGATGTTTCTCAATCCTATCTTGTCGATGGTCCTCGAGACCGTCGTAGTGGTGTCTACACTCGGCTTCACCCCGGCTCAATCAGCCCTACGGCCCGGCGCACTTGCGCTTCTGTCACTATGTGTAAGCCATTGCCTCTCAACGACGCTCGAATACTTTGTGCGCACACTCTGGGCGCTTCTAGCAGGCGGTTACTCTGTTATGCTGCTGTTTCACTTTGCCGACGTCGGTCTGCTGACGCGTTGGGAATTCCATGGGCCCAGTCGTGTCAACAAGCCCACGAAATCAAAGCGCAGGGGCTCCCGAGGAATGTCGGGCTCGACCTGGGCGGCCCGGATACGATACGGCATCTGGGCATGTTTCAACGCGCGATGCATTGGGACCCCTGAGCAAGCGCGCAACATCCCCCAGCCATGTTATCAAGACAGGGAGTCATTCCTCCGCGGAGCCTTCAGTTTCATGATCCTCCGCTATATCGGCCTCGATGTGCTCGGGTCTATGAGCGATCCGGAGGTGGGATCTCGTTTTCTAGTCGCGTCCTGAGTGCCGTTCTTTCGTCGCTTGTCGGAAGTCACTGTGGAAGAGATAGTCATTCGCGTATTCTCCGCGGCTGCTTCAGGCGTCGGCCTAGTGTGCAGTCAGGGCGGGTTCTATAATCTCTGCGCATTTGTTAGCGTGTTCATGCGATGGGGCGAGCCGCAAGACTGGCCTCCCTTCTACGGATCCCTATTGGAGGCCTATAGTCTTCAACGACTCTGGAGGTAAGATACTCCATGTCTCCACGGTCACAGTGGGCGATCAACTGATTCAGGATCTAGTTGCGTCTGGCACCAGTCCAACACACACGATTCCGCGCGATTGCCCGATTTGTGGCGGAGGATGTTCTTGGCCTGTCACCGAAGACGCTATAGACCCATATGCGCAGATTCAGGTGGTATTTGGGACTTCAGCCTTGATACACTTCCTGATTGATGTGTCGATGGGGCTGTCGTTCTCTACATCTGGGGCGGTGCAGTTTTTCTGCACCCAGGCATTTGACCTCATGATAGAGGATTTGGCAGTCCGTGTTTATGTCGGTCTGCGCGGCTCTTCTCGTAGTCGATTGGCGTTGCGGGGAGAGCGCATTGTTGGCTTTCTCTGGGTTGGATGCTTCCTGGCTTGGTCGCTTCCTGCGTATGTTTATCCGATGCTGTATCGGTCTAACAGGGGCCTCAATGAGTCGGTGGTTCCAGTGAGCATTGTTGGCTTAATGAGAAGGATGATACTTGGGTAGATATGACTGTAATGACCGGTGATAATGATGCGAGAACGAGTGCTGTTTCGGAAAAGATGTGAATGCTGAAGAAGGTGGGCAGAGAAAGGATTCTCCGCACGGCGACAATGCGGGGAAGGTGCAGAAGCAAACAAAGCAAACCGCACAAATCAGGCAAAATGTATTCCGCCGATTGCGATAATCTTCCCCGACACATCGCTGAAGCATCGCTGACATTCTCTCTCGTCGCAATAAACCTCTTGATGACATACGCCAGAGTTCGCCCCAGCAAAAACAGCGTTTTATCTGTCTTCAGGGCTCCAGCGCCGTTTTTGTCTCGCGATCCTCCTTGCATAATCCCGAGCGGGGCTCGCATCGTAGCCATGTCGACCTCGACATCGGCGCCCCCGCGCAAACCAATGCCCTCTGCATTGACCTTTGATCTACACGCCAAGTGCTCCGTCAGTACTCGGCCCTGTCTTTCGGCGATGAATGCGATGGAATGGCTTCATGCTCATCTCATTTCTCTTATAGACAACGAAAGCACGCGCGAGCACGCTCCACCTCCCCCATGGCGACGTCCCTCTCCCCATCTTCATGCCCGTCGCGACCCAAGCCTCCCTGAAGGGCTTGACGTACGATCAACTCCGCCAGACCGGCTGCCAACTCTGTCTGAACAACACCTACCATCTTGGCCTCAAGCCGGGCCAGGCGGTTCTCGATGCGATCGGTGGTGCGCACAAGTTGCAGGGGTGGGATCGAAATATCCTCACGGACAGCGGAGGGTGAGCATACGTTTGCGAGCTCGATGGACTGGTTCTGACAAGAGGCTTGTAGTTTCCAGATGGTGTCCCTCCTCAAACTCGCCCAAGTCACCGAGGAAGGCGTCCGCTTCCTCAGTCCCCATGATGGCACTCCGATGTGCGTGTTCCCCACTTACAAAACCGATGCATATCTGACAGGACCAGGCTCCTCACTCCCGAACACTCAATCTCCCTACAAAACTCCATCGGCTCCGACATCATCATGCAATTAGACGACGTCATCGCCACCACATCCCCGGATCACGCCCGTATCCACGAAGCGATGGAGCGCTCGGTCAGATGGCTGGACCGGTGCATCGACGCGCACAAATACCCGGAGAGACAAAATCTGTTCTGTATCATCCAGGGTGGGTTGGATCTGGAGCTTCGCAAGCAATGCTGTGAAGCGATGGTCGCTCGAGATACACCGGGCATTGCCATCGGGGGTCTTTCCGGCGGAGAGGCCAAGGAGGACTTTTGCAAGGTGTATGTGTTTGACTGCCAAAAGAGAGGCGAAAGCTGATGAGTACAGGGTGGACACTTGCACGGGCTTGCTTCCCGAGAAGAAGCCGCGCTATGTTATGGGAGTGGTAGGCAGCAGTGTTTCTAGCTATTAACTACTGGAGACTGACGATCGACAGGGCTATCCGGAGGATTTGATTGTTGGTGTCGCTCTCGGCGCAGACATGTTTGATTGTGTCTGGCCTACACGAACTGCGGTAGGTCTCCTGTCTGCGTTGAACCAACAGTAACTAACATGGACCAGCGCTTCGGCAACGCGGTCGTCCCCAGCGGCACATTGAATCTGCGTCATCGGTCATACGCAGAGGATTTCCGGCCGGTGCAAGAAGGCTGTACATGCAGCATCTGTCGGCCGCGGGATCAGGGCGGACTCGGGATCACGCGTGCATACATCCACCACCTGACAGCCAAAGAAACTGTGGGGGCTCATCTGTAGGTTGCTTGTCTCTGACAATTGAAACAGGGATACTAACGGTACCAGTCTCACCATGCACAATGTGCATTACCTACTGTCCCTGATGGGATCCGCTCGGCAGGCTATCCTCGAGGATCGGTTCCCGACGTTCCTGCGCGAATTCTTCGCCAATCTATATGGTGAGAAGTCGAACTATCCCAGCTGGGTGGTAGACGCGCTGCGGGGCGTAGGGGTGGATCTCATGGTCGATTAACGCAGCGCAGCATATTGAGAAGCGCCAGCGATAGACGATAGTCTAAACTTTTGATACCACATCATGTAGTGTAACCATAGAGTATATATTACAGCCGAACCCAGCAATCATTACCATCCCATCCTCAAAACCCACATCTACACCCCCCGAACCGTCTATTCATACACATCCCCCCCCCCCCCCCCCCGAAAAACCCCTAAACAACCCTCGCCTCCTCCCTCGGCGGCCTCTCGCCAAAGATTCCCGTCCCAACCCTCACCTCATCACTCCCCAACCGAATCGCGCCCTCAAAATCCTCACTCATGCCCATACTCAACTCCAACCGCTCCTCCTCCCCCGCCAATCCCAACCCCTGCACAACCTCATCCCTGACCGCCCTCAACGCCAGAAAATCCACATTCTCCTCCCCCTCCTTCACCGCGCGACTCCTCGCAATCGCCCCGATAGTCATCACGCCCGCCAGCCGGAGGCCCGGACACTCCTCGCGGATGAAGCGACACAGCTCGACCGCGTCGCCGCCCGGCTCGACGCCGGACTTCTCCGCCTCGCCGGAGGTGTTGACCTGCACGAAGACGCGCAGCCGGGCCGCGTGGTCCTCCCGCCGCAGCGCGGGGGCGCGCTCGCCCCACCCCTTGTTCAGCAGCGAGGCCTTCTTCTTGCTGTCCACGCTCTCGACGGCCCACAGGCCGCGGACCTCCCGCGCCAGCGTCACGCATTTGTTCGACTGCAGGCCGCCGATGAAGTGCCATCGGATGGTCCCCGGCAGGAGCCGCGACTTCTCGAGAAGCTCTTGCTGGTAGTTCTCGCCGAAGTGCAGGTGGCCGGCGCCGGTGGGCGGGGCCGTGTGCAGGGCGAGGATGTCGGAGGCCGGTTTGAGTTTGGAGACGGCGACGAGGCGCGGTTCTTTGGGCTGGCTGGAGGTGGTGGTGGAGGTGGAGGTGGCGGCGGTCGTGATGCGGAGGGAGACGGTGGTGAGGTTGCTGAGGAGGGTTGCCGTGCGGGACGGGGTCGCGGTGAGTGGGGTGGCCATTTTGGAGTGGTGTTGGTCAGGCTCCCTGTGTGCTGGATTTGGGGGGGTTGTTGGTGGTGGTTTGTTCAAGAGGGGAGGGGTCTCGAGGTGATATTTGGAGAAGATGTGGTGGTGATGGTGGTGATGCCCCGCTTGGGATGAGTCAGCGGGGTTTTCAGCTGGGTGCACGTGATGAGGGGTCTGGATTATGGGGATGGTGTTTAAACACTTGTTTGATGACAGAATTCATAGAGTAGCATTCAAAATGGTTTACGTTCTCAATGGAGGTATAGTCATTCTGTTACGCTGTATTTTTGAGATTAACTCGGATTCAAGTGACAGATCGAGACTACACAGAAGATCCCCGACCGAAATATATAAAAGCTTGAAACTGTTGAACTGCCAAAAGGTATCTACAACTCTTGTGAGACTCAATCTCACCAGCCATTGCACATCTACACCCCCTCAATGCTTGAACTGATCCTCCGTCACGCCCTTGCCCATCGCCGCGGTGCTGCTGATACCGCCCGTCACCATCTTCAGCATATTATCGATATAATTGGCACCACTCCACTTCTGATGCGTCACCACGTCGACGCCCTGCTCGATCTCGGGCTCCTGCACCAGCTCGCCGTACGCGCGCATGCCCTGCTGGGCGTAGGCCTTGGCGAACTGGTCCGTGATCAGCGCCGTGGTGTGCAGCCCGGCCAGGGTGATGAACTGCCAGCAGTATCCCAGGGCCCCCAGGCGCTTGATGTAGGTCTCCTGCTCGTCGCGGGGCATCGCCTTCTTCCAGTTGAACGAGGGGGAGAGGTTGTATGCGAGTCTGCGGGCGCATGTTAGCACAGCTTGATCAACAAGAAAAGAAGTGTTGGCAAAGGACAACGTACTTCTGCTCGGGCCACACGGCGTGCACCCCGTCGGCGAACTCCTTCGCCTGCGCGTAGTCCGGAAGCTTGCTCTCCATCCAGATGAGATCCGCGAATGGGGCGTAAGCCACCGCCCGGTTGACCGCACACTGGGTCCCGCCCTTGTACCGGTAGAAGCCCTCACGGGTCCGCGGCGCGTCCCAGTCCCAGTGGATGTCGACGCCGGTGATGCTCTTGGCGAGGGCGCGAGCCTCGCTGTTGCTCTTGCCCTTGACTTTGCGCAAGTAGTCCTCCGCCACGGCTTGCTTGTTGCTGTGCGAGCCCTGGTGGATGGCGTCGAGGACAGCCTCGTCGAACAGCTTCAGGCCAGCTTGAGCCGTCCATTGGTCCTCGATCGCCTGCAGATCATTGCCCGACTTGCCCGCTTGCTCGGCAGCGACCATCAGGTCGTTGAGCGGCTGCAGCTTGGGGTTGGTGGAGCCAATGATGAAGCCGTGGTCCCGGTAGTCAATGGTGGATGTGATGAGGGTGGCGGCCTCGGAGTCGGTTCGGGCAATGGCCAGGAGATCCGTGCCTGCGTTGCTCGCCGTTAGTCAAGTTCGTAACTCTGCGCGAAAGGCAGACGTACCCATAATATCGGCCTGGGCACGAATGGCAACCAGGCGGTTGATGTGCTCGCTAATAGGCACCAACACCTTACCGGCCATGTGGCCACACTTCTTGGTGCCTGGAGCCTGGTCCTCAATGTGAATACCAGCCGCACCCCGTTCGACGAACAGCTTGGTCAGCTTCATCACGGCAGTCAACCCACCATGGCCAGTATCAGCGTCCGCAATGATAGGCCGCAGGTAGTCGATGTTAGCCACCTTATGGCGCTGGTCCTTGGGGGTGGTGATGCGCTCCTCGCGTTGTTTCCGGTCGTGGAACAATTGGGCCATGAAGAGGTGGTTGACCTTATTAGGGACAGTATTCTAGTACCTCACGTCAGCACGGGAACAAGCCCTTTCCATATGTCCCAAACCTACCATAGGATAATCCGCCAAGTCCGGGGAGGGCTCGTCGGTGGAAGAGGCAGTGGAAGAGCTTTGCCAGCCCGATACGTAGACAGTGTCGAGGTATTTGGCCATCTGGGTGACCATCGTGGGGTCGAGACAGCCATATGTGAAACTGGCCACTTTTTTCTGCAAGCACAAGGAGAATAGTTAGCTTCAGCTTCATTTCACATCCACCCCTCCAAAGGTCTGGACTAACCTCAAAGTTGCTTTCCAAGATCTTCCAGAGCTTCTTGGCTTGCACATTGGATGGGTAGTCAATCTTCAGGTTTCCGCGCTTCGCCACAATCTGCTCAGCAGTGAAAGGGCGCTTGGTATGTCTCCATCGGGAATCCTTCCACCAAGCGTTGACGGCTTGGACGTCTTCCAGATACTTCTGGTCTTCGTCTTCGTGTAGACCCATAATGTGTGAGACGGGAGGGGTGGTGCGAGGGCAACAGGAGGGAATCAGGAAGCAAGCCGAGACAGTGTATGCAGTATAGCCAGTCTACTGATCTATAAGAACCGTGACCAGGGAAAGTAAGATAAGCAAGAAGAACGAAAGTCAAATTGGAGTGGAGAGTCCGGAGGGAAAAGAGGCAACGAGGAGACGGAGGGTAAGAGAAGGGTTAAAGTACTGACCCTCACAATCACGAGCCAAAGGGTCGATATTTAAGGCCCAGGAGCAGGAGCAGCAGATGCACACGCGCCATCGTCGGTGCGTCAGAGTCATTGACTTTGGGCCAGTCGTCGGTAAACGTTCGGATCAGCGGGACAAAAAGGGTGGTCGAGCAGACGCACCCGGCATGTCTCGAAAACTGGGGGAACTGGAGAGGTGGACAGGGTGGACAGGAATTACATGAGGAGGTGAATTAGGTTAACCGTGTCCCAGATTCACAAGTCATGGTCGGAGCCAAGGAGCAAGCTGAGTGGTCGGTGGATGAGGTTCGGGAGAGAGGATCACGTTCTGCTGAAGATCCTCGGTCTAAGGGGAGAGACCCTCCACCTTCCCCCGGGCCTGAGGCATTTCCGGGGCTATTATTCGGTCGCCACGCCGCGGCGATGGATGGTCCTTGGCATATTTGGGTCGGACAGCGTGGTTTTGTATTCTGGCATGGTAGAGGAGATCAATAATGACTTAGAGAGAGCATTGGACAATACCAGAACCGGCTCTAGTAGTCGTGCTCTGAGAAGTGCCTGTTTCAATTTGATGCTGGGAGAGAGTAAGAGAGAGGAAGAGGAAGAGGAAGTATACGAGTGAGTCCATGACGTCGATGCATGTGCTTCCGGGGGGGGGGGGATAAGCTTACCATACCATACGCGTACTGCAGCCCGAAGTTGCAGGCACCAATACGAACAATTAACCTCGGTCCCGACTGCCTCTCGCCGGCCACACCCAGCCAGATCCTCTGACTCGTCCAGATCGACATCGACAGCCTGCATATTCGACGGCCACGAAAAGCACTGTCGGGTATTCAAGGAGCTTCCTTCCGTGATCTCACGAAGTCCACGACATTGTTTGATGAGATCCAATAAGGTACTCGCTTGGTCTGTTATGAATCACAGATAAAACACTCCATCGGAACCCGCCTGACAACAATGGCAGTCAAATAGAAACATGTTTCATTGTATAGTCTTCAGTACAGACAAATATAAACCAGCTTTAAAGTACCACTTTGAATCTGTTAGTCTCCTCTCTCAGTAGCACTTTCCCTCTGACACATGCTGGTCTTTCGCATTATGTGACAAGGTGCTCATTCTTACTAATACACACGGGAGTCCCTCGAGGCGCAAACAACTACTAGAAGTAAAGGAGGGACGTTCAATTATGACTTGAGATGGACTCAGATCAGATTTGCTTGGCAAGCGGGTACAGCAGCCAATGATATCGGTGGGGCGCAATGGATTCAATGATGAGGCGGTAACGACAACTTGGTGATATTCTGCCGTTGCTGGGCCATAGATGGTCTTTTCAACGCAAACAACTTGAACAAACCAAACACTGTTATCACATCGATCTTATGTTAGCGTGGCTACACGTTCGTCAGTTCGTCCACTCAGGAACCATCCTGCGAGTGCAAGTCTGCTCCCTCGTACCAGACATGCAAACGCTCAGCAAACACCTACAATGCTTGTTATGGTCAAAGCACAATGTCTCTGAGCACGCTTACAAACGAGCTACTTCTGCAGGTGGAATCCTATATTGAAACGCAAACCGACCTCGCAGCCTTACTTCAAGGTCGTCGAGTCTATAAATTACTGGTGCCGTGTCTATACCGGCGTGATGCAACCGCCGCCTTGCTGTACGGGGTTCAGAACGACCTCTATTCCACCGCCTGCAAGGCGCTTCAGGCCGGGGCCGACCGCAATGTCAGGTCTCGCGATAAAAGACGACCGATGATTAGTCTCGCAGCTGAAAATGGATCTCTGGAAATGGCCCGGCTTCTGCTGGGGGCGTCATCTCCGTCACCGTCACCGTCCCCGCCACCGCCGCCGGTCGACCTTAATATGATTGACAAGAACCGATACACAGCCCTGTTGCTCGCGGCAGCCGTGGGACATGCTGCAATGATCGAGCTTCTTCTGGCGCACAGGGCCGACCCCAATAAGCGAGAGAAGGCGGATCGCACTGCACTGTTCATGGCGGCCATCCGCGGCCACACGGCCGCCGTCCGCACTCTCCTCGCCTACCACGACGACCCCCAGCAACCGGAACTAGAGCTGGATGTTATCATCAAACATGGCGGGGAGACCGCGCTCCTAGCCGCCGTCGGCAGGACCACGCTGAGATCGTGACCATGCTCTTCGAACGCGGCGCTTCGCTGGGAACCAACGGCCGTAGCGGCCCCCAGCCCGTGCTGCACAGTGCAGTGCTTCACCGACAGCCCGAGCTCCTCCAACTGGTGGTCAATCGCGACGAGATTGACCTGAATCGAATCTATCAAGACGAGACCGCCCTCGGCCTGGCGGTAGAGAGGAACGACGACGACCTAGCGGCTATCCTGTTGGCGGATCCGCGTGTACATCCTGATCTTACCTTGAATGGTGGCGGCGAGACCCCGCTGATGCGGGCAATTCTGAAGAACAATGAAAGAATGACCCAGCTCCTGCGCGATGCCGGCGCGAATCCGCGGATTATGAATCGGTGGTGGGTGTCGCCGGCGACGTTGCTGGAGGCTCCCTCGTGGGAGGCACGGCGGGAGTTGATCGAAAAGTATCTGGGCTCCGAAGTGCGCCTGGCGCCGGATTGCACGCTGGGATAGGCATACTAGGTATCTATAGGTACCTTGGAGGGGACATATTTGCAGCGAAAGTCACATGATTCTGACAATCGCCACCTGGATCCAAGCTCAGTTACATGTATGTACTGTACAGCTGGTCTACCCGAAACTGCGGGGTGCGGCAGGGGCAGACCCGGAGATGAATGTCCTCTGATGCATGCCACCCTTTTCGGCTGTACCCGTGACGGAGTAACCTGTCCAGCGGAGCTGTGAGGCCTGCGGAGCACCGGAGAAATGGCATGTGAAAGTGCATGGTCTCACGCGAGCAGTCCCGCCTCTCAGCCGCATGCTTCTCAATCAATAGAATGACTCATATCCGCCGCTCTCTTGGGCATGCGATAGCAATCTGGCGGGAGTCAGCTTTCTTCCCAATTTGCACTACTACAATATTGATTTCTTCGACGAGACACTCGATACAAACAGTCTATACAGTCCAACGCGCTTTCACCAAAGGTGTTGCAAGGCGCCGTAAGTTATCTAAACCGTAGAAATCACGATAAATATATTCCAAATGCTTTTAGTCAACTATTTCCAAAATATGTACCCGAAGCTTTCGTCTCCATATGCACAAAGCTGCACTTCTACTCCACAGGGGTGAAGTAACGCTTAAATCGGTCAATGCGAGTCAACTTCAGCTCCACAATAACCGAGTGGCAGCTCATCAGTAGACTGGGGAATCGCACAGTCCAGAAGTTTAGGTAGCCTTCCGGTAGCCCACCAATGTGCGCCTTGAGGTGTTCAGGCATGTCGTTGTAGTGGTTGCGCTTGTTGCGCAGGGCCCGCAGAAGATCGAGAACCTTGGATCCAGTGTATTTACGCTGCTTGCCCAGGTTTTCCTTGAAATCGCGGGGTAACAGGCGTAGGAAGTCCATGTCTGGACCCATCACACGCGAGGCAACGGATTCCAAACAAAGAAGGGCATCCGACGGAGGGTCACGTGGCTCGAACTCGAAATGATCCGAGACGTCGCACAGGAAGCTGAGGCGGTCGGAGGGCGGCCAGAAGAACGGATGAGTCAGAACGGCGCTCGCGTCGGGTCTGGAACCGGATTAGACTTGCTAGCAGTGGGGAAAGAATCAAGTGGCGTGACTTACCGTTTGCGTGGGTCCAGGGCTAACATCGATTGGATCAGGTCTTCTGCCTCGAAGGCATATTCCCCTAACCGCTGAAGCTCATCCAGATTGTGATTGCCTTTGACAATATTGGCCTCCCGCATGAATTTCCCATTCTTGTCGAACGGATGGCAGCCCCTGGTCAGCACGTAATAGAAGACGCAGCCCAAGGAGAAGATGTCTATAGCCCGAGTCGCTCGACGGTTCGTTTGAGGATCGACTACGGCGGGCTCGGAAGATTCAGTGTGCTGAGACTCGGTGCTCATCATGGCCGGGGTCATGTCCTCATCCATCAACAGCTCCGGCGCTCGCCAGCCAGAGGTACCTGCCGCATGTGCGGTAGTCGCGCGGAATGAGCTTTGGTTATCCTCCAATTTCTTACACAAGCCAAAATCGGAGATAAGCAGCCGCAGCGAGCTCGGGCCCGCACGACCGCGGGGCATCGCGACTAAGATGTTTTGCGGTTTCAAATCCCGATGAACAATCTTGAGAGAATGAAGGTACCGAACACCTGCAATGATCTGGCGCAAAACGTCGGGCATGTCCATGCCACCTTGAACCAACTGGGGAAAGTCACCCGGACGTTCAACAACGTCCTGCAGCGAGGCTGGGCAGAGCTCCAGCGCAATGTAGAGAAACCCAGCAGCCTGTTCCCGACAGTAATACCGAATGACATTCCCGTGGTCATCACTCTCCTGCAGCAGGCTGACTTCGTGCGATGCAATGTCGTAGAATTCGACCAACATGCGCTTCACAGCTACGTCTCGGCCATCAAATGACCCGCGGTAAACGACAGTGCCGTGGCTTCCATGTCCCAGCACCACCTCGGTAAAGACTTTGAGACGACCAATCTGGAGGACACCACCTACTTGAACAATCTCGTTCGACACAGTCCGGGTCAATTGAATGTCTGGTTCCAGGCGTGACTGGGGTTGGAGATTGTTCACTTCCTCTACAACGCGATCTGCCTGATCGTTGGCCTCGCCTTCGGTGGGCTTTTTGCCACGTCTGTGATTCTTCCCGCCACGGCGTCCACGGCGAGCTTTCTTCTTCGGCTTCTCGCCGTCGCCCTTTTCAGATTCTTGAAGGTTGAAGTCGTCCACGTCATCATCGGCGTCGGGTCCTTGAGACGGCTCTCGGATGCGAACTCGAGGAGTCGTATCAGGCGCCAGGGTGTTGACGGTTTTCTTAGGCTTGGGGGTCATATCACCGGCAGACTGTTGCTCCTCAGAAACGCTCATGTCAACCATGACCTCTGGTGCTGACCGGGTTTCGTCAACCTCTCGCTTGATATGAGGACCATCGATGACTGGGGTCGACGGCGTCGACAGTGATGGCTGCCCGTATGACACAATGATGTTTTTCAAGTCCAACTTCTGTTTGGCCAGTTCCTGGATATGATGCGAATTGAACCAGATGAAGGTACCGAAGAACAGCAATAGGAGCGTGACGAAGATATCGACTGCATTATCCCAGCCCTTGCGGATGATGGTACTGTGCCGAAGAGCAGGCGGCAAGGCTATTTCAGATGAACTTTGGACGACCCCTCGAGGAGGGGTATCATTAGAGAAGTCTGCGGACGAAGGCCCCGAGATGCTTGGGATGTGGCGGCGAATGACACGAGGAGCATGGAGGGAGTGGACTCCGGCTAAGGCATCCTGCTGTTGACTTGTGGTCAAACTCGTCAACGGCTGCCCATGACGGAGATAGTCTTTCTTGTAACATTGTGCCATCTTGGCTCTCCCGGTCACGAGGGGGTAACTCTCCTCTGACATCGCATACCAGCCACCAGCCTCGGTGCAATCGATAAAGACGCGTGAATCGCGATCATCGATCGATCCATAGTCAGGATCAGGGGGTTGTGAAGGTTGCGAGAGAAGGACTAGCGGCGTGGGCTGATCAGGCGAGTCAATGCCAACCGGGCGAGCCACGTCGAAGACCCGGATTACGGGGCTCGAGAAACGTTGAGTATAGCGTGGGCGATCCATCTCAGAATGGTCGAATCCCAAGACCACGCCATCATGCATGCTGTAGATGAAGCTTTGGTCCATTGTGTTCACATATTGACTCTGGAGGTCAATGTCACGATTGTTGGCCGTCCACTCAGAGTATTTTAGCGTGCAAATGGGATCCCCCGTCTCTGTGTTTTGTATCGCTACCGTGTATTCTATGCGACCGAGCACCAAGGTGCCAGAAGGGGTCTCGCACTCCTCTGCATCCCCATCCAGACCATCAACCTTTCGACATTCCTGGCCCGATGAGACAGGGCCGCGGGAGCTGAACACCCGGAGAATAGTCCCCGATCGTGCGTCGATGGTATACAGAGTGGTCTCTTTCCGTGCCGTGTACGTAACGGCGGGGTCATCCCCGGAATAAGGTGTCTCATCGACAAGTTCCTTCACCGTCAACCCGAGTTTTTGTAATCCTGCATCCGGGCCAGGACTGTAGATGTAGAGGCTACCACCCTGACTCGGCTCCACTATCCAGATGAAATCATCCTCCGGTTGTTGCCGATCGAAGCTCGAGCGGTTGGATCGGTGGTAGATACTTTCGACGGTAGGACTGCTAGGGACTTCCAAGGCCCAGCGAGCCGCACCGGTTTTGCGGTCACGAGCGTGAATGGAACCGTCGACGGTCGCCAGAAGGACAAAGTCCTCAACCTTCCAGTCCTGCAAAGACCGCGCGTGAAGCTGCGGAGCCAGCCCAGCGGAAGAGCTGCTGCTGACTTGGGCAGGAGGGGCTCGAACGGCGCGGCTAGAGCCCGCCAGAGCCATGGTTGCAAGGGCGCTCACATCGTTGGACTTCACATCCGAGACGTATGAAGGATTGTTTCCCGCTGGGGGTCCGTGGGATTGCTGCAGGACGGAAACGGTAGAAGGAAGGTCATATTGCTGTTGAGGATGTCGTTGTTGTTGCCACTGCTGCGGAGTAACAAGAACTGGAAGCAGGAGAAGTGCGACACTGGAAGGAAGGGTCGACTGGGCGCCAGGCAGCCGCCACCGCATGCTGAGAAACTCCTATGATGATAAGAAATGGATTTGGGAGAATTGTGGGGGAGGGGGGTTTGTGTGGACGAGAGTGGGAGGATTAGAAAGGGTGTGGTGACACGGAGGGTGTCATGAGTCGAAGCTGGCCTCAAAGAGGTGGGAGAAGTGGATAAGAAAGAGAAATAGGAATGGGGATAGAGAAAAGAAGAAGATGATGATGAAGAAGAAGAGAAAGAAAGGGAAACGAGATTCAAAGACAGGGAGAAGAGAGGAGGGGGGGATGGATTATTGAAATTGAAAAGAAGGAGGAGGAATTGAGTGGATGCATTGGATGACAGGGCGGGAAGGGGAGGGAGGGAGCCCAGGTGGAATGCCCGCAGTGAATAGGTCGGTGGTTGTACTAAGTCAGTTAGCTGCCGCCTGGTGGGCACGTGATGCATAACTGCTAGTTGTTTGTTACAAGTACAGTCACTTACCAACTTACGGCTGCTCACTGCTGACGCGTTTGCGCCATTTGCATTGCCTCCCAGCCCCGACCGGCCCGTCAGCCCTAGAACGGCAGAGTGTGGATTGAAATGGATGAAATGGATGAAATGGATGAAATGGATGGAATGGGTGGAATGGGTGGAATGGGTGGAATGGATGGGAATTGTGGAGGTGATTAGCCCGCCCGCTCCACGGACGGTCCGGAAGATTGATACTCATTTGGGCCTAGAGTCTCTGTCTGATACCAAATCCGATTAAGGGGGCCAAAAGGAACCTGGTCTAGTGCGGGCTATCACGCCAACTACCCAGTACTAGGTACACACTACACAGAACACAAGAGGCGCAGTGTTGAGGAGTGAAAAAATTCTGTGCTTACCTTTCTACATGATTCTATGCAAAATTGAGTCAATATAATCGAGATAATGACAATCCGAGAGACGTAAGACATTCTGTCCATAGCCACAACTACAGAGTCGCTCCTCATCCAAGTTTTTCTTCAGGAGGTGAATCGTTTTGATTGCTTTGTCTCAGTAGTGCCATCCGGTGCACTCCACACTGCAATCAATTCTGGGTCTTAAAAGAACAACATATCGCGCTAACTAGCAAACGGTGCGGGCATTAACAATCATCTGCCGATAAGACGATGATCATCCAAGTAAGACTTGATCCTTCTCGGCACTTTCTACCATTTTAACTAGTGCATCAGCAATGCCGTACGAGAAGGCATAGCCACCACCCGCGAAGCCATAGGCAGACAAAACCACCCGATTTCCATGCCGCTCAGAATCCAAGCGGAAGCCCCCTCGTCGCGACGGTCGGATTCCGACAATATAGCTGAGAGCCTCCTCAGAGGGCGACTCTGGGACAATGTCCGGCGCGAGTCGATGCGCCCGCGCAATCTCATCTCGAGCGATCTCCATATCGACCTCGGGCGACCTGCAAAGAGTCAGCATCCTTGTTCCGCCGACCCAACTCCAAACCATGCTTACAGGCTATCTGCTTGTTTCACGCCACCAAGGACCACACCGTGCGACATTGGGCGGGGGATGACATAGGTGTATTCCTGCCCGTTCCGGAAGTACATGGTCCGGCAGTTGTCCGTCTTGTAGAAGACGTTTTGGCCTCTTTCAGGGAAGCACCGATCGTCCCGCACATCCTTGAGGGTCTGGCTTCCGATCCCGCTGGCATTGATGAAAATGCTGGACTCGGGAAACATATGATGCAGTTCCTCAAGAGACTCGACTCGCTTGCGGATGAACTGGCCACCCAGCTCGGTGATTTTCTTACCCAGATAGGGCATGTGGATCGTCGGATCGGTCACAAGAGTCTCATAGCGCCAGCCACAGCTAAACTCGGAAGGATATTCTCCTGGTTGCAGGTCACGCCACTGACGCGGGGTTAGCGAAACCAGTTGCTGGGGCATGCTAAGTGATATCTATCCTACCTTGGAGAGCACAGTTTTGCCCCAAGCTGATGAGTTCTCGGAAGGAGGTTGTTCGAGGTATTCATATGAGTCGACGATGCAAACGCCCGAGTCAGGTTCTTCCTGGGCCATTCGAAGCAAATGGCGGTGAGTGACGGCTTGGATATATCGATATTCGGGACTGATGGCCCCTGCTGCGTGCCATGCTGCACCCGCCCAGGCGGATGCATACCATATACTTTGATCGCCGGGGAGATATTCTGCCACCAACACCACCCGGAAACCATTTTGCAAGAGCAGTCTCGCCGTGGCACAACCGATGATTCCAGCACCAAGGATGATTACAGGACGCTGCGGGAAGGGGACATTCGAGCCACTCGAGGAATCATGGAGTTGACCCATCTTGCCCAAGGATGTGAGGATCTTGTGCACTACCATAAGTTCGTGGAGGTTTGCCTGTCCGACCCGGCCGACATCAGCTTCGTCGGATGTTGAGAAAAGAGGTGAAGACAAGCAAGACAAGCAAGACAAGCAAGATAGGCAAGTGGAGTGTTGAAGGGAGGGGGGCCTTTGTCAAGACGGATCCAAGGTACAGTACAACTCTATAAGAAAGGATCTCGCACCGCTTAACCACACGTGGCGAGGAGCTGTGGCGGAGCTAGCTCATGCTGAACAAATCCAAAGGAATCACAGGTGAGGGTTGGACAGCATATATAATCATTCGGGGAGTGTCTTTGCCGAGCAGACCCGCAAAATTATGATAACATGGCCTCATGAGAAAAGGCAGTATCTCTGGTTGCGGCGGTGGGCATTCGGATCGAAGCGCCCAGATGGAGGAGTGCGACAGGCGGTTCCACCCGCCCGTCGGGTCCAGCCGCTGCTGGCAAGCACACTTTTATCCCGATCCTGCTAACAGTCGTTCCTCCTTCGCCTACTCATGTCGATGGCTAAGACTGCGCTATGCGATAGTCAATCGAGGCCTCGTCAGCAATCAAGGCATCGACAACGCTGATAGGGCATGTTGCTACAGATAGCATGCCATGCCCGCAACAGGAGGATTGCACACGCGGCCACTCCCGACAAGTGGGGGAGCTCCGATTCCACCGATTGTTCCATCTCTAGCACAGTGACTTTGGAGATAGTTCAGTTCATCATGCATATAGTGGTTTGTTCTTCCCAGGAGACCGGAGAAAGGCAGATTTAGCGAAGTGGGATTGTACAGAAATAGATCTGAAACGCGTTCATGACGCTGCAACATGAAACTGCATTCCTGGCTCGCAGTTTCGAATGTCTTGCAAATCGAGTTTCCTGAACGTCCCAGCTGGAACAAGTCTGCTCTGTCGGTTTCAAGAAGCTTCTCCGGTGCGGGGATGTCAAAGTGGATTGCAGTGGGAAGAGAAGACCTGAGATTGTTGATGGTGAAGATGGCTGATGGCCTGGCGTGATATTGCATTGTTTGCATCTGCCGGCTAGTGTGGTGGTGCAGCGGGACGTCCCAGCTCCGGGTATTTCTGCCACCGCCTAAATTGAACAGTTTTCCAGATTGTTTTTTCAGGCCTGAATCCCCTGCCGCGAGATTCACTATATTCTGCCGGTGGAAGCGGTGAGCCGAGCGGTCCTGCTTGGTTCTGCCGGCTCTTCGCGCTACCGCCTAAATTGAACAGTTTTCCAGATCGTTTTTTCAGGACTGTTCATCCCCAAAATCCGCCTGGAGAGTTACGAGGTTCGCTAGTTTCTGCCAGCTGGGGCGGTGAGCCAAGAGGTCGCATTCTGTTCTGCCGGCTCTGTATGCTACCGCCTAAATTAAACAGTTTCCCAGAGTGTTTTTTCAGGACTGTTCATATCGGAAATCAGCCCGGACCACTTCGAGGTTCGCTAGGTTCTGCCCGACCGGGGCGGTAGTGGAGGCGGTCTGACAAGCCATTCTGCCCCTCTGCAGTCACGTGCTCCTCCAGCATCGCATGGAGAGAAAGTAAGTTACGTAACGCCACGGCCGGAAATCGGAGTTGTAGTCCAACCTACTCCAAAAATTTGTTTCATTCAACTGCAGCATGGGATCAATTAATGTTAGAATTCCTCGTACCACATGCAAGCTAGGTTTGCAGAACCTCGTCCCTAGACAGCACGCCATCAAGTGACTGGGTTGAAAAAAGCCGAGAATCAGGCCTGGGTACAGTACTGTCCGAAGTCAAATGATCACTCACTCCCTTCACAGTATAACAGGTTTGCTGGGCCTTCTCCAATTGGGGCGAAGTTGCCCACCACCACTTTGCTTGTGACCCCAACAAGAATAAGAATAAAGTGGGTTGGGGGCCTGGCCTTTTCGATGCAGTTTAAAAAAGTAACTTTGAGCTTCACTCCAAAAACACAAACCTGCCTGAAGGGGAAGGCCCCGCATTCTTATTTTTTGTTGCCCCTCCCCGCGAGCCTTACTTTTTTTCTCCCCCCCTTCCTCTCTCCACGGCAGCTCGGGCTTGAGAACAACAACACTATCAGATAATAAAAAATAATGCGATCGACATCAGAGCTGACCAACATGGTCTCTTTGAACGGAGCGCTGCCTGAACTGGCCGAGCAGCAGTCCGAGGATGCCATCCCCGAGTCGCGCGTCCTCATCATCATGACCGGAGGTACCATCTGTATGCGACAGTCCCCCTCTGGTTTCGTACCTGCCCGAGGGTTCCAGGAACAGTGCCTCGCCCGAGTCCCGACCTTCAATGATGGCTCGCACACAAGCATGATGGACGTGGTGGTGAACGCCGACAAAGAGGTGAAGGGTCACCCGAGTCTGCGCACCCCCGTCACCGCATACGGGCGGCGCGTGCGATACACCGTGTTCGAGTTTGAGGAGCTGCTGGACAGTAGTTCGATTGACGCGAAGGGTTGGGCCGAAATCGCCCGCACCGTCGAGCGCAACTACACGCGGTTCGACGGATTCGTCGTGCTGCACGGCACAGACAGTCTGGCGTATACGTGCTCGGCGCTCAGCTTCATGCTGCAGAACCTCGGAAAACCGGTCGTCCTCACGGGAGCCCAGGCTCCCATGCTCGAGTTGCAGAACGACGCCACGGACAACCTTCTCGGATCACTCGTTGTGGCGGGCCACTTCATGATCCCGGAAGTCTGTCTGTATTTCAACAATCGACTGTTCCGCGGCAACCGATCGTGCAAGGTGGCGGCCAGTGACTTCGCCGCCTTCAACTCTCCGAACTGCCCCCCGTTGGCGGTCACGACGTCGATGCGCACAAATGTCGACTGGGAGCTGGTAAACCGACCCAAGAGCCTGGATCATTTCAGCATTCAGACCAACCTCGACACCACGCACGTCGCCTGTCTGCGGATCTTCCCAGGTATCAAGCCGGAGATGGTGGATGCTGTGCTGAAGCTAGATGGACTCCGTGGGTTGGTCCTGGAGACCTTTGGTGCTGGAAATGCACCCAGCGGACAGGATAATGCTATGACAAACGTGCTGGCTGCTGCCATCAAGAGAGGGATTGTCATTGTGAATGTCACCCAATGTGAGTCTCGCTTGGCCCATAATTACCGTGGCAATGTCATTTGAATCTAACATGGACAACACAGGTCTCACGGGAAGTGTCAGTCCCGTTTATGCTCCGGGTATGAGCCTGTCCCGCGCAGGTGTGGTCGCAGGCCTCGACCTGACTACGGAAGCGGCGTTGACGAAGCTGGCGTATCTCCTGGCCTTGCCCGACTCCACACCCGAATGGGTCGCGAAGAACATGTCCGTCTCTCTGCGCGGAGAACTGACCGAAGTATCGCAACCTGTGTTCCGTCACCCAGACGGTGCTCTTCCGGAGCGCGTTCAGTCTCTGACCGTGCTGGGTTACGCGATTGCCCAAGGGGATATTGAACGGGTGAAGGAGATTGTGGTCAGGGAGCATCATTGGCTGCTCAATGATGCGGACTACTCAGGCAACACTCCGATCGTAAGTGGCTCCGTTTATCGTGTTTTGACTACCAGCTGGACAAGACGACTGACTCCCCTTGCAGCATCTGGCGGCCACCTCTCCATCTGTCGAGATTCTTCGATACCTCCTGCTCCAGGGTGGCTCAGTACACATCCGGAATCGAAACGGTCGCACGCCATTGTTCCTGGCGGCCAACGCTGGACTTTCGGAGCATGTGCTGCTACTCCGCAAATCGGGAGGACATTTGCATTCGGATGAACGGACGGCGGCGCAGCTGCTCGCGCGACGACGCCCGGCGGTGTGGGGTCTGGCCGGCATTGGACCGCGCGAGGTCAGCGATCGGGAGTTGGAGGAGATCGACGATGAGGGCACTTCGCTAGGACGCACGGCGGAGATTCTGATGGCCGGGTCGGCGCCTTGAACGTAGAGACACGATATACATTCAGAGGTGTCATCTGGAGCTGATGCGGAGGGAAGGTCTGGGTTTGACTTTACATGTGTTCACGCCTGATAAAGCAGTGAGGCGGGAGCGAATGGTGGCTTGTGGGTACTCGGGGTAGATTCCGAGTCTGTCTTAATCCTCTGCAGTTTTCCATTACTAGAAGATCCTAGATCGTCCGTGTTTGTCCGATCGCCATGCAGTTATCACCAGAAGAAGACAGGCGAGACCTCAGTTTATACATTGCACAATACCCGATTGTGCCAGCACCAGCAATAATACTCTTCCCAATTCCCTCTACTTGAACCATAATCATTGTCAAGACAGATGTTGCCATAATTTATAGCTAGCCTTTCCCAGATGAGCATAGTCAACCTTGAGATCCATCCCACCCCGGACTACGTTGTCGGAGACATTCCCCAGACATTCTTCCACCCGATATCTTATCCACCAACCAGACTCGGCCGAGAATCCCCTCTCGACTCAACACGCACACCGCGAAACTACAACACACCCCTCAGAAACCCAAAGACGAAGCAATAAAGCACCAGCACGAATTCGAGCACCGGCATCATTAAATTTACCCACCCCCCCAGAGAAGAAAATCTATAAATCTATAACCCACAACGCCACAGATATGCACATCATCATCGTCATACATACACAGCCCTAAAGGCAAGCAAGGCCCACAGCCCGGCGCCAAATTCAAGGCTTCACCAAGACACCGCGGTAGCGCATCTTGCCCTGGCGGAGGGTCTCCATGGCGTCCTCAATGCCCTCCTTGGTGAGCGGGAAGGTCATGACGGTGGGGACGATGTTCTTGCGGGCGGCGAAGTCGAGCAGGGAGCGGATGCTGTTGCGGGAGGCGACGAGGGAGCCCTGGATGCGGACGCCGCGCCAGACGAGGTCGAGCATGGGGACGCGGGCGGGCTCGAAGGCGACGGTCAGCGGGTAGATGCTGCCGTGGGTGGCCATGAGGGGGATGAGCCTTACGAAACAGTCAGTGGGACAGGTCGTTAGAAGAAATGTGTGGGGGGGGGGCAGGCAGGCAACATACGAAGGATAATCCACCGATCCGCTCCCGCACAGCAGCAGGTGGTTGACGGGCTTGAAGCCCTCGGGGACGGGGCCGCCGGACCGGAAGACGTGGTACTCGGAGGCGCCGAAATCCATCGCCTCCTGGCGCTTGCCCTCGGAGCTGGAGAGCACGACCACGTGGCAGCCCATGGCGGCAGCCAGCTTGATGGCGATGTGGCCCAGCCCGCCGATGCCCATGACGGCGACGCGGTCGGTGGCCTTGATGCCGTACTCGGACAGGACGGTCCAGACGGTGGCGCCGGCGCACATCAGCGGCGCGGCGTTGATGGAATCATACCCCTCCGGGATCGGGTAGACGCACTTGGCGTCCCAGATGGCGCCGTAGCTGAAGGTGCCGTTGTGGAGGTCGTGGAAGCCGTATTGCTTCTGGTTGCGGCAGTACTGGTCCCATCCTGTTGCACCTCTGGTTAGCATCTTGTTTTTTGGGGTGTGATATAGGGCACGGAGGGTAAGCATGGGGGAGCATACCAGTCACGCAGTTATCGCAGTTGGCGCAGACGCTGTGCGTATATCCAAAGCCAACCCGCGCGCCAACCTTCACGTCGGTGACACCAGGCCCAACAGCTTTGACGATACCCACACCCTCATGGCCCAGCACCTGGTCGGCCTTGAGGTAGTGCTCGTCCGTGCCGCAGAGACCGGAGTGGGTGGTCTCGATGAAGACCTCGCCGTGACCGAGCTCGCTGGTGGTCTGGGCGGGCACAATCTTGCCCTCAGAGGAGCCGCGGAAGACGTCGTAGGTGAAGGAGGTCATTTTGCACGAAAGGAATCAAGAATGCAGACAAATTTGGCTATGACAGTGTATCATCCCCAGAAGAGAAAAAGTGGCAGTCGGATTTATATAGAAGAATGGTTATCGGGAAGATGTGGGTCCAGCGGGCAACCTGGGCATCAAATCGGGGGTCTCGGTTTCGCAGGGGTTGCAAAAGGGTGGGGCAAGAACTCATCAGCAACTGGTTTCTTGTCTTTGATAAAGATTTTTTTTTTCTGATACAGTCAACTGTCCGTCCTCGGCGGAAGAACCAGTCGGGAGAAGTCTCCGAGAATGTGTCCGTCGGTGGGATTTGGATAAACTCTCCGCCATATGAACCCTCATAATTCCTGGTTATGTCTCTTCCGGAAACATTAGTCCATGATCGATCGCGGAGAGTTTTGGATGTTGAGTACATTTGTTGATGTCTTGTGGAGTGCGCACTTATCTACAGTACATACTGCACTACGTCAGAGATATGGAGGACAAGCACTATCTTAGTAATCTTAAGCTAAAGAATAGTGGCAGCCACGTTTCAACTGTAAGCAGCACTTAAGGTCAGCCACATCATATTTTTTTCCTTTCTTATTTTTTCTTATCTGTCTTGGCATTCAACGGCTTGCTGTGCCGCTCACCCGGCCCGATCTCATTAAGGGTTACAGGCCGAACAAATCCCGGGCTCGGTATCCCGCCGGAGGGCAAATTCTCGTTCCTCCGAAAACCTCTCTCTCGAACCCCGTCACGGGTCAGATCTTGAGAAGAATAACGGCTCATCATATGATTGGCGTCACCGCGGGATCTTAAGCCTAAAACTAGCGTGCAGGACTGTGGATCACTTCCACTGATCCTGCCGCTGGGAGTCTTCCAGAATCTTGGATGGTTCCGTTTCCAAGGCAACTTATGCGCTTGCCATGTTTCATGCTACCGGGGCCGAAGGTAGGCAGGCGGAGATCGATTTGCACAGGAGTAGATGTTTGCAAGGATGCATCAACATTTCGAACCGATGACATAACGCAGCCGGGTGTGATTTACATTATAAGAGACTTTCACCCACGGTGGCTTCCTATTAATTCAAGCTAAACCTGTGGCGAACGGAATGCAACACAAACATGATGTACTGTCTATGCGTTAGAGTATCACATCAAAGTCCCGTAACGAATCTTCATACAGTTTTTTCCAACTTCTTGATTATCTATACCCCGTTTAAGTATCCTCAATAGCCGCGTAGATGGCCTGTCTCTCTTTGCGAACACCTTCCATGCCGTAACAACACACCTGTAAGGACTAGGCACTGCAAGTATCCCTACAGGGAAAACAGAGTCACATGCACGCATTAACAGGATCAACAGGTCCGCAGCTGGCCTGGTTCGGGCCCTACATCTTGCAGGATTGCGGGTAATATTGGCCGAACGGCTATTATTTTGAATGAATCCTATTGTTCTTTCTCACAACAGCACCCTTCCATGCTTAACATCTTCAAGAACCCTATCTACCTAAACAATGTTACATTATTGCGTCGCTCCCGTTTCTCATTGATGAACGTGCCGTCCTTCTGCCTTCTTTCTACTGTCTGCACTATAACTCTGTCTACTCAGCTATATCTAGATACCCGACTACTCAATTGTAGATCTATTGCTTATGTACCTTGACTTAAATTAGTCTTTGATCTTTTGAATACCCAACTAGTACATCGTCACCTATAAATTGAAGAACATATCCTTTGGCCGGAAGTCCATGCCCGCTTGGGACTTAGGACAGTTGTAGATCCAGCTAAAACAAAAGCTATATGTAATCGAACAGAACGATAAATTTGCTCAATAATTTCCCATCAAAGCTCTCTTCATACGGTAGCAAATTAGCAAATGGTTCCCCCCCCTTTTTTTGGTGGCGATATATTGACCCATGCAAAGCCTTCCCCAAGCTTTCATTGCAATTCACGCCTATCATGCGTGAAAGCAAATGCACGTTTCTAAGTGCGCTCACAAAAACACCAGCATTGTAGCCATAACATTGCCTGTTCGACTGACGGGGAAAGAAAGATGAATATACCCAGCGCGGAGGGGGGGATCCACAGGACAGGCACGGCGCGGTACGAACCACCCGTATTCAATAAGGAGGCACAGTCATCTGCACCGGCTGAAACACAAACTTCTGCGCTGGACTGCCATCGGCCGGGGCGGGTTTGATGGTGGAGTCCGCAGCGGTCCAGACAAGTCCATCCGCAGGGTTGCAGACCCTATATGCCCCCGCACCAGCGTCCTCAAATGTGAAGGTTGTCGGCTGCTGAGCAACAGACGTGCACGCCGTGTCATCACAGCTGATATACGGATTGATATTGGTGAAGGCGTTCTTGATGGTGGCGCCGCCGTCGACGGGGTCGATGGCCCATACGTTGAGGTAGTCGTTGGCTTGGTAGAAGCGGAGGTCCCCGGTCGCATGCAGGGTGTCGGTGGTGCCTGCGGGCTGGATCTGGTAGTACGTTACGAGGGCGGCTGAGGCTGAGTTTATGAGAGTTGTGATGAGGCTGATGGGGATTTTCATTGTGTGTGTGAGCCTCTAGATGGGTGGGCTGATGAGCGTGAGATAATGGAATGACTTTTGTGCAGAGATCGTGCGGGTGTGGAGTGTAAAAGTCGGCTGTATTCAGCATGAACAAAGAAAAACATTGACGTATTTGTACTCAGACTAGAGTAGGACATACTAGCAGTGGCGAAGGACAACGCTCGAGTTCAGAGTAGGCGAAGTGACGTGAACGTACATGAGAATCACGAGCGTTGAGACACCAAGCAGAGAGAGGAAAAAGATGATCAGCTCTGCATGGTTGTGTAACATCACCTGCCCTGGTCTTACAATCACCAACGATTCATGTGAAAGAAAAGCATTGTTGTCTTGTCTTAGGCAAGGGATGTGATTTTGCATCAATGCCAAGAGGATATACAGCAGAAACCATGACATAATGTATGCTTGGTGCGAGATCATCACGCTTAGAGCAAGTTCACAGCACTACACCAATTGAAGGACATCTACTCCCTTTTGTCTGTTCCTCGGTTGAGGCCAGCAAATTTCTGAGCGTGTCTCTGTCACCCTCAAGCCCTAACCCAGTAGACCATCAGGAAATCACAATATTTCTCTTACTCTCAAACACCAGGCAGTCATGCCGGAAGAAGTTCTTCAAGAACCGCATTGCAAAAGGACGAACCGAGCAAAATAGACATTCGAAATCTGAAGTCTTATACCCGACTAGTGATACAACGAATCACACGAGAATCAGAGATACAATCCGGCAGAAATCACCATCAGCAGTCATTTAAGGTCAAGTCCTCCTTATCCCCCCCGGTGCAAGTGGATGAACCCTCAGAGTCTGGGTCGCGGAGACTATCCTCGTAGTCTGGATCCATCGAGCTATCCTCATACATCCGCGCCTCCCCGAAGATATTCCACAGGATTGATGTGATGGCGAAGTCCCTGGTTGAAGAAAAGAATTCCCAACGTTCGGTCGTGCGTTGGATCTGTAAACTGTCAGCGCGGGGAGAATACTCTGGTGCAGACCCTTCGACTCCGACCTCCTACCTTCCTTGTGGTGTCCAGACGGAGGAACGTCAAGGTACGGCTGTTCTCATCGTGGACAAGACCATAGACCGCGGCAAGCATGTCGCAGGCCTGCCAACGGGATTCTTGAACCATGACTAGACAGTTGAGCACGTCAGAAAAGGCTTTTTCTTTTGTCGCTCACCGCGGAAAGATCTAGCGGTCTGATTTAGGAAAGCACGTACGCATGTAAGCTATAGCCCGCGTCTCTGCCTGCTCTTCCGTCTTGACGGGATCGGCCTCGACCACCACCAGATGGATGCGAGCGATTTCCGGGTCGCGGTACCAGAGGGTGTAGTCCGCCCGACCAGCAAGAGTCATGTTATTGTGTTGCGCAAAGGTGTGCAGCAGGTCCGTGTTGTGCGCGAGATTCATCATGCCAGTCTTGAACCCCTGGACGGTGTTTACTGCGTGGGCAATCTGTAGAAGGATCCAACCGAGCGGGCTGTATTGATCGATGTTTGAGTGATCATAGGAGTATTCATTCATGATTTCAGAGACTTCGAGCTTGAAATCGGCTGTTATATTCATCATTAATTCCCATATCTCTTAGCTGGCCACGGGCCGCTCCTGGGAGAAATTATCAAATGCGATTCCTTTGGGGACTTACCTACCTGGCACTGGATGAACGTCAGTTGGAAGGGCCATCCAGTCATAATCATCATCGCAAACCACAATCCCGAAGCTGCGTTGCAGGTCGCGATCGGTGAGAGCAAGAAGAGAGATACATCCCGACTGTTCACGGTCTCGCTGTTCTTCAATCGGCCAAATCTGGTCATCGAGGACGAGCACCTCTCTGTGCTGCGTTTCAACGCATCCCAACACTTCCTTGAGACTCTGCAAGTGTGTGGTTGCACTTTGAATTTCTGAAGCGATCCTTTCGTTGATAGCGCTGCGTCTCCCGATCAACTCCTGCTGGTTCCGAGTCGCAGACACGACAGATTGTTGCTCCATACTCTCGCGGGACAGAGTCGGGACAAGAAAAGATCAGTAGTACTTGCGTCCTGCTATGTCATCTGTATCGAACGTGGGTGGAAAGGACGGTATACTCTAGGTGTATTTCTATTGTGTCGGAGAAGAATGCATTCAGTTATCGGCACATTCCAGGAGGAAAACGACTAAAACAGACGTGCCGGAGGAGAGAAAATGAACTCTTTATATGAGGGGCAGCAGTTAGGGAAATACGATCCGCATGTTGTCATCATGATAGCTTACGGACTCAAGGGGCCTGCGGGCTTCGCCGTGATGATGTAGGGCTTACCGAGCCAGAGCAATGCCACACAGCCATCCATTTGTCTTTCCATCCCACTCCGCCAAAAACCCGTCGTTCCTCCAACCATAAGCTACTATTCCGATCCACACCACATTCATCAGTTCCTGACTCGTGACACACATTCTACATCCGCCATGCCGTGGAGCATCCTCCCAAAGTCAGTAACAGCATGGCTGAATCGTTGGGACGAGAGATCTTGCGAAGACGTGGGAGACTTCCACGAGGCCCAGGAAGCCCGAGCCCGACTGTATTTCCAGGGTGCAGCGGGGCAGCTCGGCCACGTGGAAGCGCTGGTCCGCGACGACGTCGACTTGAACTTTGCAATCCAGCGCGAGGCGGCTCTCCAGCGCGAGCTCAAGACCCTCTTCGTATGGCTAATGATCTCCGGCGCCGCGGACGTCACCACCGCGGAGGAAATTTACTCTCGTATCCAGACCGTCGAAACCCAGCTGTCGGCGCTGGAAGAGATGATCTGGCGCTTGGAGCGCAGTACCCACGAGGTCCTGAGTCGGTTCGCTGGGAGCCGACTCGCATCGCTTTTGAGGGCTTGGGCGACCGCCGAGATCATATGCAGCGCCTCATGCTGGCCTATCGCTTCGGGCTGCGTTGGGCAAGGCGTTACAACAATGTAGGATGCAAGGATTGATTCCTTTGAGGGTGAAGGGAGGAAGAACTTGGTCTCTATTGCTGTGAGTGAAACGAGCTTTGAGAACAGTAGGAGATGTTTCGTGGCCTTGCGTTGGGCGCTTTCTTGCTCTGGTCATGGCGGGCATTACTATTGCTGGCTGATAAAGATTAATGTGGTGGTGTGTTTGAGGGGCTGCGGTTGACTTCCCGCTATATCGCTCTATCTGTGCCCTTAGTCCTTTAGTGCCTTCGCCGATCTTATCCTCTGGGAGTACTACTATTTCCATGACGTGATTGATCAACAGGGAGAAAATGATTTGCTGAGGAGAACGAATCCGAAGAAGATCCAGATGCGGTCAGGGTTACATGTGCTCACGTGCTTTATAGTTGATGGCTCAGTAGGCAGTTTGAGAACACATCATCATCATCATCATCATCATCATCATCTTCATCTTCTTCTTCTTCTTCTTCTTCTTCTTCTTCTTCTTCTTCTTCTTCTTCTTCTTCTGCTTCTTCTTCTTTTTCAATGCGATCCTCTTTGTTCGCGCCAATGTACAATGATGACAGAGATATAGTTCTAGCAATCTGTAGTTCATGAAACAGTGACCTTATTCAACACTAAGTCGAGAAGAGATGAATAGATGAGAGGTTAATCCCAGATTGAAGACCGGGAACAGGGTACGAGAATGAGCCGGTGGGATGGGTGATTATGTGATTGTATATACGAACGGAACAGACGCTGGAGCGCCGGCCTAAGAAACAGGATACTGGAATGGATTTTCTACTGCCCAAACAGTCACACTGTCTAATCGGTGCGACCACAGCGAACAACCTCCTACCAGCTTCGAGATAACACCTTGTTCAAGCAGCCACCAGTTGAAGATAATACGACACGATATCCACGACCTGCTCTTCGAACGAGCGGAACTTGTTCCCCAACACCGTCTCCGACGTGCTCGTGTCCAAAGGAATGGGAATCGACTGAATCTGCCCGTTGTTCGGCAGCAGGCCCGACTCGACCTCGTCTCTGAACCTGCGCGCGGTGATCTCAAGACTGTCCTGCCAATCGGTTCCCTCCACCCCTCCCGAGGAGAGGATGTAGCCCTGATTTCCCGGGACGGTGGGGTCGAGGCAGCGGACGTGCGCGTCGGCGACATCATCCACATGGACCGCAGAATTGGGGGTGCATCTGTCCTTGGCCCCGTAGGCCACCGGCCCCAGCACCTCCTGGTTGGATCCGCGCATCAGATCGGCCGGTGTGCGGGCAAGTTCATCCCGTCCGATCACGAACCCGGGGAACATATGGATCACGTCGAAAGACGGTCGGGTCGTCGCCAACCACTGCTCTGCCTCGTTCAATGCGGCCACTTTACTTGCCGCATAGGCTTCGAAGGCGGAGCTGTACTCGTACTCCGCGGGGTGAGTTGGCACGCGACTGTTGGCGTCGAACACCCTCCCGACGCCGCCACCAGAGACCACGAACGACCACGGCACGATCGCCGCGCCGGACGAGGTGATCACAACTCGTCGGACGGTGCCGGCCTTGTGTGCGGCCGTCAACAGTCCCAGGGTGCCGCTGACCGCCGGGTCAATGAAGTGCTCGACCAGGCGGGCACTGCTGGCAGTGTCTTGATCGAGGTTATTCAGCTGGGTTTGTTGCGGGATCGGCGAGGCCACGTGGATAGCATACTGCGCGCCTCGGATCGCCTGGTCGTAGGCCCCCTCAGCGGTCAGATCCGGCACCTGCACGAACGACAGCCGGTCGTCGCCGGGCTGAAGAGCCTGGATGGAGGGCGTGGCCAGGATCTGCCGGGCCTTGTCGGGGCTCCGCACCGCAGCCTGCACGCGGTAGCCGGCCTCGAGCGCCCGCACAAGCACGCGAAACCCGACGTGGCCGCTGCCTCCGGTGATGAAAACGAGTTCTCCGGTCATTATAGGTCTAATTTGATGTGCATTGAGTCTGGTGTCATGTTCCCGGCATTTCAGATGTGTCTCTCCTGGCGTGCATTGCGGGGATTTATAGATAGTGCGATTCGGTCTCCGTCATTGAATCTGTCGTCCGTAGTCAATATTTTTCTGTACCATAGATACTGAATCTCGAATACGATCACCCCCAGATTGGGTTGATACTTTTGATTTGCGGCCAGATTATCTGAACCAGGGGTGCGGGCGTTCGTAATTGGGGTTGATCTTGCGGGACGAGATTGGGACAGGCCGGAGATGGGAATTAATACGAGGCGCGGGATTCGACCACGAAACACAGGCAGCTTTTATTCAAGTAAGGCAGTTTTCTTTGTCTTCTCATCCTCTCCGAGAGTGCGTCCGGCAGCACGGCTTGAATCCTAATTTGTCGATGTCCCCGTCACCACTCCCGGCGGGTAGAAACTGGAGACATCTCACCGTCGATTGCACATCAGTGCTATATCTCAATAAACTCGGTACCTCTCAAAGTTCTACCACTACCACCGCGACACAAGAGACCGACTGAAGCTTTGACTGGGAGTGTCTTCAACTCTCCGATCAACGGCGGCGTCGAACTATAAATCCTCCAGATTCTGTCTGGCGGCCAGTTCCTACATGCTCGGCATTCTTTATATAATCACTGGGTTGTCAAATGATTCATGGGACATTGGGAGTTCCTTAGGCAGATTTCAATTGTATTACCAAAAGGGCAGATATATAGACAATTTGAATTCTCATGAAAATATGAAAACCAACCCTTCATGACATCTATCTTGAATGAACACGCACGCCCGAGACAGACCAAGTATCATAAACTTTCCCAATTTCACATCTCCTCAATCCGATTATACCGTTGTAGTTCAAGTACTACTTCGCAAATGCTTAGCTACCTAGCTTTAGGTTAATGTCGCATATTCTAAAAAAAAAATCTCCTGGTTACATTGACAACAGCGTAGAATCGCTTCCAAGAGAGACAATGCTCCAAATAAAGAATTGTAGCCTGAACAATACATGAGTCGGGTAGTACAGTTTCAATTTATGTAGGAAATGTAAAACAAAAGAGATTCGAGGACGTGACTAAGTAGTTTACAGGGACGATTCACTCCACCCGCACCTCCACCTCCATCACCTTCTGGATCTGCAGCTGACATCCTCCCCCCTCGCAGCCGGGGATCTCCCCCTGCTGCTCCCCAATCCGGCCCTTAGGCGGGGAGGACGCCATCACTGCTGCCGCGTGAGGAGCAGCGGGTCCGTCACCATGTCGCCCTCCGCTTGCTCTTCTCTCGTTACTCTCCAGCGAACTACTGTCCCCGCTACTGTGCTCGATCGTCGTCGTCACCATCACCGCGTTATCCCACGGCCTCTCCTGATAGCCCCGAGGGTGGTGGTTGCGATGGCCCAGCTCCAGGAACTCCCCGGCCTGGTCGTCCGTCTCGGAGGGCAGCATGCGGCTCTGGTTGCGCTGCGTGCGGCGGACCCCGCTCATCAGCCCGTACGAGCGCGAATGGTTGTTCAGCGTCTGGCTGCCCGAGACGCCCGCGGTGCGCTTGCGGCGGCGGGTCCGGTAGCTGGAGGAGAGGGTGGAGGCGAAGGCGTGGAAGTAGGGGCCGTAGGTTGGGATGCAGGCGATGATTACCTGATCGTTCCGTTAGTCACCACTAACTTCTTGTGGAGATTGAAACATAAGGGGGTAAGGGTTCCCGTAGGAACTAGGCAGGGCACGGTAGGAACCGGGTTCGGGCGAGCATACTCCCAGACTGATCTCCACGTCCGACCACAGGACAATCGGCTGGCTGTCCGTGTAGGTCTTGAGGTTCTTGATGGTGAAGATGCGGATGATTTGGATGATGGTGATGAAGAAGCCGAGGGCGAAGATACCGATTAGGGCTACCTGGTGTTTTGATCGGAGAGTCAGCGTCATGCGACCGACAGGGTTGCTTGTGGGACGGGGAACTCATGAACCTTCTGTGTATGGCGGAGTTGTAAGGTCCAGAGGACAGGGAGGGGGAGAGCGATGATCACGATATCGAAGCCGAGGCTTGTTCCTGTAGGATAGGGAGCTGGTTATGGACTATGTTCTGGGGAGGGGGAGCGGGAAGTTCTGTACCGGCCAAGGCTGTTGTTTCTGTCAGTTTCCTAATCCTCATTGTGTTAAAGTTATGGGTCTTGCCTACCGTAGTATGAAGCTACCGTGTCAATGCAGGTTCCAGGAATACTCGAGTCCCATTGCTTTGCGACCTAATCCCTTGTCAGAGGAGGACTACCAGACGGATAGGAAGGTTTTTGGTGTGGCACTGACCGGCTGACAGGCCAGAGTCAAGAGGAGTGTAAAAGCCAGCTGGTTGCATGCCACCGCGCCGGTGACGGCGATGATGACCCATCGGTATGCGGCCACAAACCCTCCAATCCGGAGGTAGGAGGTCAAGAGCGAGACCTTGAAGAAGAGGAGCGCAAGGATGTATAATGGACCGCCAGCGTATTGGATCTGAGGCAGTCAGTCTGTCACTGTTACGAATTACCACCTGGTCACGGCAGGAAGAAAGTACAAACCTTACTGAACATCACCACATTGGCATCCGGAAAAGATGCCGCGTCCAGTCCAAGACCATACCGTGTCTCTAAGCAGTGGAATTGACTGTCAGTTCTCATCAAGCAAGCTTTACATCCGGGTGAAGAAGAAAAACGTACGAGCCACCGCAACCCCGGCATAGCCTAACCCCAACAACGCACTGCAAATCGCCGCATAGTCATCGAGCCAGAGGTCGCGTTTGGTGTGCAACCGGATGTGAAGCCGTAGCAGCACGGCCAGCAGGGCACTGATGCTGAAGGTCAAGCAGATCGCGATGACCCGGGCAACGTGGCTGTGGGGATCCGGGTGGGCGAGGTTATGGACCCAGGGCATGGCATTCCTGTTAATGGGGCAGACAGGGGTGGTGAAGAACTCAACGACCAGGATCTTGTAGATAGTGCAATGCACATCGATCTCACCAGAGAAACATCATGCAAGGTGGGAAGACCCGAACCCGGGGGAACAATCACCTTAATTTTTTTTTCCTTCTCTTTTTTTCCTTGTGTTCATGTTGCTTGAAGATTTCTCGGTTCCTTCAGCCTAGCAATCGGCACAATCGGACTCCCCCCTCCCTGTCTAGTGAATCAATTAATATGCACGAAGTCAAATCCAAGACATCGGCTGCATTGGCAGCGCACTATTTCCGAGGCGATTTACGCCATCGTGCATTCGAGTGAGACTAAGGCAGTACTAACGCCGCGACTAACGTGCGCCGTTGTGGGGCACCAGCACGGGGGAACCGGACCGCGCATCGCTGCAGCGGGGGCACTGTCCAGTCGGTCAATAAACGTGGAGACTAACAGCTTAAGCGAGATGGTTCGAGATTGAATGTAGATTAACTGTTTGGCTTTAACAAGGATAGTTGGGATAGTCTAGGCAACCAGCCGAGTTTTCCGACGATGAACAAAAATTGACAAGAAGGCAATGGCCTGATAGCAATCATACTCCTAGCCCTAGCTCAAGCATACCCAATCTGCTGCATAAGTTACGAACGGAGTAGATGTAGGAACAGGTCAGGGGGTGTCCCACTTGGTGTCATGTTCAACAGCCAAGCCTCGGGAATGTCGGCATATAAATTGGCCTTGTCCTCCCCCCCTGTCGCTCACTGGAAGATCGTCTCCAAACAGAGCCAGGTCATCTACCAATCATCATGCCCTCCGCCACTTTCTGGACCAGCTTGCTGGCCCTCACGGCCGCCGCCACGGCGAGCCCCCGCAGTCCCAGGAGCACCAGCAATTCCACCAGCTGCCGCTGCTTCCCTGGCGATGCTTGCTGGCCTTCCACCAGTGAATGGGCCAAGTTGAACCAGACGGTGGACGGCCGTCTGATCAAGACCATTCCCCTCGGCAAGCCCTGCCACGCGCCCAACTACGATGCCGCCGTGTGCGACGTCCTCAAGGAGGAATGGACGGAGCCTGAGCTCCAGTAAGCCCACTGCCACTTTGACTTCAGCCCCTTGCGTCCCTCATCGGCTCCCCCTTACTGATCCGTGCGACGCGACCCACAGTTACCAATCCAGCAGCTCGATCATGGCCCCATGGTTCACCAACGGCACCTGCGACCCGTTCCACCCGGTCTCCAAGCCGTGCACGATGGGCAACTACATCGATTACGCGGTGAACGTCTCGACGCCGGCCCATATCTCGGCCACGTTGAAGTTCGCCCACGAGCACAACATCCGCCTGGTGATCCGCAACACGGGCCACGACTACAACGGCAAGTCCACCGGTGCCGGCGGGCTGGGCGTGTGGACGCACAACCTGAAGTCGCGGACGCTGGTGGACTACAACTCGACCCACTACACCGGACCGGCTGTGCGGCTGGGGTCGGGTGTCCAGGGCTTCGAGGCGTACGAGTTTGCCGATGAGCACGGCTACCAGGTCGTGGGCGGCGAGTGCTCGTCCGTGGGCATCGCGGGCGGCTACTCGCAGGGTGGCGGCCACTCGGCGCTGTCCTCCAAGTACGGCATGGCGGCGGACCAGGTGCTGGCCTGGGAGGTGGTCACGGGCGCCGGGGAGTTCGTGACGGCAACGCGCGACAACGAGTACAAGGACCTGTACTGGGCGCTGAGCGGCGGCGGCGGTGGCACGTACGGCGTGGTCGTGGCCATGACCTCCAAGCTGCACGCCTCGACCCCGACCTCGGGGCTGAACCTGACCTTCACCAACGAGGGGATCTCCCAGGACACCTTCTTCGAGGCGGTGACTCTCTACCACACGCTGCTGCCCAGCATCGTCGACGCCGGCGTCATGAGCATCTGGTACTTCACCAACACGACCTTCTACATCTCCCCGCTGACGGGACCGGGCGTCCCCGTCGCCACGCTGCGGGCGCTGGTCGAACCCTTCGAAGCCGGCCTCACCAACCTGGGAATCGAGTACACGCTCACCGCGAAGGAGTTCGACACCTACCTGGAGCAGTTCAACACGATGGAAGCGGAGATCGCGGTGGGCAAGGCGCAGTACGGCGGGTGGCTGATCCCGCGCGACGTGGTCGTGCACAACACCACCGCCCTCACCGAGGCCTACCGCGCCATCGTCGAGGACGGGGCCACCTTCATCGGGGTCGGGCTGAACGTCAACCGCAGCGTGGCCGGCGACGTCGACAACGCGGTCCTGCCCGCCTGGCGCGAGGCCCTGATCGACACCACCCTGACCACCCCCTGGGAGTGGGACGCGCGCGCCGCCATGGTCGCCGAGCAGGACAAGATGACCAAGGACTACATCCCGCGGCTGCAGGCCCTGGCCCCCAACTCTGGCGCCTACATGAATGAGGGCAACTTCCAGCAGCCCAACTGGCAGAAGGCCTTCTACGGCGTCAACTATGACCGTCTGCTGCAGATCAAGGACAAGTACGACCCCTACGGCTTGTTCTACGCGCGCACCGCCGTCGGTGCGGACGCCTGGTCCGAGTCCGCGGATGGGCGGTTGTGTCGGGCTTAGTGGAGTGCAGGTACTGTCTGTGAGGCTCGACGTGAGATCTCGGGCCAGTTGTATTTCTAGATAGAATAATAGAATCAAAACGTTTCTTGTTTTGAACTGCGGACGACAATCAACGACGTACTAAACATTAATTATGATCCTTAATCCTTACACCAATGGAATTGCAAGCTATAGAGCAAGATTTAGCGAGAGGGGGGTGGTCAGTCTCATGAATACTAACTGTAGACAGCCGTTGCTTCAACTTAAACAGAACAATTACAGCTGTCTCTTGACTCATAGAGGGATCAATAACACTATCATTACAATAGCATGAGACAGGATACATGGCACTTGTAACTCAGAAGATACACTACATAAACCGGGCATCAACTACGACTAGCACATACGACCAAAGGCTGTGGAAGATAGGGTTTCCCCTCCGCTCAGCCGTCCTCAAGCCACACTGATAAAAGTGGCCAGAAGATCAATGAGCCCCGAGCGTGTTGCTGTTTTATGGGTGACAGGCGCTAAATTATGGGTGAGCATAGGTGAGATGGGTGAGAATTCGGTGAGAATTTGGTGAGAATATCACCTACCGGCGTGGGTGGGGGTGAGAAAGAGTGAGCTACAGAATGCTAAGTTTTCTTCATCCTTGATATAAAAAGAAAGGGCTTCTACAAATTCTTTTTGTTGTTCTATAGTCCCCGACTTCACTTTTCTTCACGTAACCACGACTGTGTCTATGGAAACGTGGCCAAGCCAAGCAGGGTAGCCGGGTATGATCGTCTCAGGAAATCCGACAACAGCGGCTTCCTGTGTCCCTGCTTCGCGAATCCACTGACAGACAAGCTTTGTAGAGTCCGCCTTATGTAGGAAGCAGGGTGCGATCTGTGCGGCGGCGAGCCTATTCTTAGATCGTCGATTTGTCGCTGTGGTTGGCTCAACTGGTATTATGAATCATGGTGGCTTAATCGGCGCGAATTCCGACGAAAGAAATTGTTGCAGAGTCCTTGATAAGCATTGCTGCAAAAGATCTAGATAATCCCTTTCCGTATGGGCAGGAAGCGCTGTTAAAGATCTAGGTGGTGGCTCTTGTTGCCTCATTGATCAAGAACTACTAAGTTCCAGCCATGTAGCCGCGCTTGTCCCAACCAGGGTGCACTTACCACCAAAGATACCTTTAATCAAGCTATCCTTCTGCCAGTAAGTGCAGAATTGTGGACTGCGGGTTAGGGTTTTGTTGGCTTTGTTAAGCTCGGACAGGACTCAACTGCAGCCTTGCTAAGTAAACACAACCAATGCAACACCGCACAAGACTCGGCACGTATAATCTTCATTTTATTTAGCTGTGAGATTGATTTGGCTACTGCTTAGTATAGTCTCAGTAGCATAACATGCATTCTGGTTCTATGAAAAGAACACTTCTCTGGTGGGTATTCTGTCCGCATGACTATTGGTTGGTGTACCTTGCAAATATGAACGTGATAATATAATTTCGAATTAGTCACGAATTGATGTACTATAAGTTTCGATAACATCCAGTATTGTTCATTTTGATGTTTCGAATTTGTTGCTAGTTCAATCGAAATGCATTGCTCTCCAAGCATGAAGTTTGGTTTTTTAGCCACCTTATTGTGGGCTACAAGGGTACCAGACGGCAAGCCCTCCTCTCTGACTTTTTACCCTTTAAACACGAATTGGATCTATCCTGTTTTATAAAGTGCCACATGAATCAGAAATAACGCTTCAAGGGCGCCATAGATGTGTGTAGGTACAAGGAATAGCCTCGAAAGTTGCCGCATACGTTCAACGTGCCGCTGGTAAGCCGAAAGACAACCTTAAGTCTCCGCAAACTTTGACCTCAATCTCAATCTGGCCCCGTACACATAAAGTGCGGACACCCCTACGATCCCTCCACAAGAAAGATCACCCAAGAGTGAAACACCTCCAGCAATCCCAAGCCGGTCGAAGAGCGGCCGAGCATAGATTACCACGCCAGCAGCCCAAGCCGATCGGAAGAAGTCATTGGCCGCGAAAAGGCTTGCCGCATACCGAGGATAAGACAGCGGAAGATACGTGAAAATCCCTGTTCGGTCTTAGTAGGACGCGCCGAATGACGGGCATATTGCGATAGTGTACCTACCTTGGAAGAGGATAAAGCCACCTGTGCTGAACAGTGCGACGCCAGCCATGGAAACAACCCAGTGGATACTTTGTCGGCTTGACCAGGCAAATAGGAATAGCCCTATTGGTTGTAGAAACGAGGCGAATATTGCCGGGATGAGACACTGCTCTGGGGGACTAAGTCCGTTCTTCTTGACTCGAGGTTCCTTCGCCCGGCGTTAGTCCTTGTCGCTTGAGATCGATGTACCTTCAGCTGAGATCAGAAAATGAGAATAGGGAGTTACCCAATGCCAGTGAACGTAAATCAAATAAATTAAAGTCCCGGCTAAACACGCAACAACGATCGATAAAAAGGCGGTACCCGTCAGGCCGAGATCGAATGCATACATATCTGTATAGACAAGCGGAAAAGCCTCAAAGAAGCTGTAGTAGACACCGTAGCTATAGGAGCTATAGAGATTGGTGAAAAACACGGCGGGATCCAATATCGTGATTTGTAGGGGCCGGATCAAAGCGTGCGCGACAATATGGGGTGGGGATAGACTAGCTTCATCGATTTCGGACTGAGAGACATATCGCTGGTCTTTGAACACCTTGCGGACTCGTTGGGCCCGACGTAACAGAACAGTGGAGGCAGATGTCTCCAAAGGCGACAAACATGACCACAAATGTAAGGAGAGCCATCCATAAGATCTCCCACAAGGGCAAGCGCCAATCGCCGCGGGCAGCAACTGCAAAGCCAGAGATGATAGGACCTAATGCAGGCGCGCAGAATGTAGCGCCTACCCACGCCGTGTAACCATAAGGCATTTTCGACCACGAGTAAAATATCCTGGAGTGTCGCGCCCCCCGTGGCGAGACATGGGGAACCCAAAAAGCCTGTTAGAAATCGCAAGACAAGGAAAGCAGGAAAGCTCCGGGTGAGAGCAGTCGGCACAGCCATCAGGACATAGAGAAATAAAGTGATCATGTAGGGCGCGTTCCTTCCAATTCGGGGGATTTCAGATATTGGCGAAAAGATGAGAGGACCAATGCCGTACCCAAGTATATAGAGCGAGAGGCCCAGGGTGGAGAGTGTATGGTCAAGATTGTACTCCTCCATCACGCCGTCCACGCTTGGTGTGTAAATGGCAGAGGCGCAATACACCGTAAACGTATACAGCCATAGCACGGCTGTCACGATGGACTTTTTGAAGGAACTCCAGTTCTGAGGATTGTCGACATCCTTCTCATCGTACCAATCCACAAGAAATATGTCCTTTCCATCCGACCGCCGCCCTTCATTGACAGGGCCACCTTGAGGTGTAAGCGGCTGCGAGTGTGGCCGTTCGTACTTGCTTCCAGGACCTGGCACCAGCCCTTGATGCTCACTTTGGGATCTAGGTACATGTACCAGACCACTGGATACGGAGACTTTCTCCTCGGTACACGGATGCGCGAAGCCCGCTCGCTCTTCGGGATACAAGAAGCATCGCTTGCCAGTAGCAAAACGGACAATCTGTCCCAGCGAGCTATCGCGAAGCAGATCCATCCCACACCTAAGCCAAGGGAATCGCGCGCGGAAGAATAATCACCGAAAGGCTTGCGGAATGGATGCACTTTAAGTAAATTTGAGACCTCCAGAAGTCTTCCATGGACGCCACTGGACTTCGTTGTAGATGCGGGTGAGATTCGGACAAGCCGCCCAAGCCCCAAAATGGGCCACCTGAAGTCTTCTTCAAGATACTACTATGTACCATGCAGTTGTTCCACTTCCTGGAAGGCAATGGTTCCATCGGGCGAGACTCGGGCGAGTTTCAAAACGGATACGTAATCAAGAATGCCGCCTCGTTGGTACATGTACATAAGGTAACTACCTAGTAGTTATCGTGCACGACCATCTTCAAACCGTCTAACGGGTCAGTCTCGGGTGAGCCATGAATTACCTATTAACTACGGAGTAGTAACAAACTTAGTTTATACCTACATATCTGCGGCCATGGCGACACGTCCCGAGAGGGTCCGCAGGACACAAAGAGCTCCGAAAAGCTGTTTTTTCTGCTCCCGACGCAAGCCCAAATGCGATAAATCGATTCCTTGCCGGCCCTGCCGATCGCGAGGACAGGCTAATGAATGCTTTGTTGAAACAGTAGAGGTGAAAGGGCAGGTAGTGACGTAAGTTTCCTTCCGACGTAGACTTGGAAGTTAAGTTAGTTGCACGCTGACGACTCAATTAAGATCTGATCAAACGCCAACTACTCAGCCCAGCTACTCAGAATGATTAGACGAAAATGCCCGTCTCCGATCGCTTGCACTGCAGGGGTCATCTAAGATCGCTCGTCCCATTTCCTCATTGGCTTTGATAGACCAGGAAGAGCAGGAGCTCTATCTTTGCCTCCGAACCCATTATCGGCCTGCGGGCATTGCAAGTGCGTCGGAGGTCATCTACCCATCCGATTAATGTTGTTGTATTCTCTTCTCCCAGGCTGCAAAGTGGGCCTGGCTTCACTCGGCCGTCTCTCCCGCCACTCTCGAGCAACAAGGGCTTCGAGATAAACCAAACCAATTATGCAGAGAATCGCCAACTACCTCGGACGCGTCGTGGTTAGCTCTGTATTTCAGCCATCTTACTGTTCGCAATCCTGACCTGGTTCTGCATGGAGTTTTGTGCTAATGATTCCCTGACAGATAGGGATCGCATATGCAGATGAGATATCTCTTGGGGAATGTGATATCTCTAAAGATTTGTAGATCTTCTCTGCTCTGGATGAACCCGCCTTACCTTTTTTTCCATGACAGAGAGGGTTGCTTTCTTACGAGAAAATTGGTACGACGCTGCTTTGTATTTCCTCCACCAAGCGGACTTTCTCCGTCTATTGGATGTCCGAAACATCCAGACAATCTCAATTCTTGGAACCGTGTTCTCAAACTTTGGTGACCTGAATTTGTACTACAATCTGCTGGGATGTGCAGTCCGGATTGGTGAAAGCCTCGGGATCAATAATGACTACACCCATCGTACAGGGATTCTCCCGGATCTTGAATCTCAGCGGTCTCTATGGTGGTCTCTGGTCATTCTGGACTGGCTAAACATTCCATTAGGCCAACCTTGCATTCGTGAAAACGATTTCCTGGTCGAGATGCCTTTGATTTCTGAAACACAGTCCAATTGGGACTCCACCAACTACCAAGCCAACATGTGCAAAGTGGCTCTGGTGCTGTATAGGTTCCAAACAGCCATCTGCGCCTCAATGGACTGGGAAACTGTCGAAAATGCGGTCATCGTGGCTGATGAGAAGCTCGTTAATCTGAAGGCAGAACTGAGCTCGTGTACTGAGTCAGGGGGCCTCGAGAACACATACGTGGGTACAGATACGTCAGACGCCTCCGGTTGTATTGGCTCTATCCAGCGACGAAGTCTGCTGCTGATACTGTTTTACTACCGCATCCTGATCAACCGCACACTTATCCACCAGACACCATCGACGAGAGCGAAGAAAGTTTCGTTTTCAAGATGCTCCGAGTCCGCTCATAATATACTCCATTTATGCACAGATTTGGCTACTAAGGGCCATTTGATGGCTTCGTGGTACGGGCGTCTGGATTCCATTCCTCTTAGTCCATTTCATCTGACTGTATGTAGGTCAATGTTGTTACCTCTATACTCGGCAGCGAATGTTTTGGCCGTATACGGGTCTCGGTGTCGTTGTGAACCAGGCCATGATCACATGGCGGATGTTGCCGCTGCCGTTCAGATATTTGACTCTTTGTCGCACAAAAGTGCTTTTGGTGAGTATGCTGCTAGAAGGTTGAAGGAGATCATCAACAATGCAGCTCCAGTGTAGTTAAGGTCAGTTTATGCCTTTTCAACACTATGATATCAGATATTGAAGTTTTGCATAAGTCTCGTGACTAGCACATACGACCACAGGGTGTGGAAAACAGGGCTTCCCGTCCGCTCAGCCGTACTTAAGCCACACGCCGGGAGGTTAGTAGTTGGGTGGGTGACCACCAGCGAATCCCTTCTGTTGTATGTTTTTTTTTCCCCTACTTGCTATACTCGACCTCTCTCGGTGTTTAACATGCATACATGCGTGCAGGGCTATTGAGCCGCTCTTTTGTTTGAAGGCGGCTCAAATTGCTTGCCACTTCCTAACACGCGATGCAACGGGCCCTGGCATTATCGATCACCAATTTCTGTAGTCCATCCTGGTCCTTAGGCGAAAAAATGGAATCGTAGGTATCTAAAACTGCTCATAGATATCATGATGGTAGGGAACGACGAAAGACGGATAGCTGTACTGTCTGTAGAAAGTAAATGAGAAGAAGAAGGAAAACAAAACAGGCTTCTCTGTTGTATGCACAGATTGAAGTCCGACCGGAAGAAAGTGAGTTTTGCTGTAATAGAAGATGGTAACTGCCCCTGACGCCAGTGTATGATAAAGATGCATGAAAAAAAAAGGGATAAAACCTCCCGAAGCGCAACCACCCTTATAGACCCGATTGGAAAGAATTGTAGTCTGCTCTTTCTAGTGGGAGACAAAAGTCAAATGCGAACCCTAACTTGGTTCGGAATATTGAAGAACGCCCCGTCATGACGTCTTAATGTAACACACCATAATCAATATATGCCCGGCATGATCTCACAGAGCCATGCCTTGCAAGCTAAGAAGAAAAAAAAAAGGAAGAGAAGAAAAGGAACGAAAGAATCGTCAACACTTTATACATCATTTTTTAACCCGGGTGCGGTCTGTCGTTTAGTAGTATCGTAAGATCATAGGCCGTGCACAGGCACAGACAGTCCCCTCGCATCAGGTCGTGAACATCAGCCTCAAGCGACTGGACCGCTTCGTCTTCTCCTTGGGCTTCTTGGCCTCCGATTTGGGCGAGGTGTGATGCGACGAAGGCGCTTTCGAGCCGACATACGACTCCGCGGGCCGGTGGTCGGCGCGCGATCTGCCGCTGCTGCCGCCGTGGTGGTGCGACCGCGACCGCCGCGACCGCCGCGAGGAGGCCATCGAGCGCTCCTCGTCGTCGTCGAACTTGAAGCGCGGGTCACGCGTCATCCGCGCCGTCGTGACATCAATGCCCGACATCATGGCGGCGGTCGGGGTGATGAACTCGCCATCCACCGAAGTGCCGGCGCTCTCGGCCTCGGCGTCGGCCACCCCGCGGCGCCACATCTCGACGCTGCTCAGGCAGTCCGTGTTGAGTTCCATCATGTCCTCCATGCTGGGGTCGTCCATTGCCCCGTCGCGGGGATATTGCTGTGGGTATGGTGGTTGCTGTGGGGCTGCTTCGATGACCGGAGTTTTCGATGCTGATTGGATCTGCTTGATGATCTTGTAGCCGCCGAACATGACGATCGTCACTCCCAGCCCCACCCCGGCCGCGATGAGGAACTGCGGGCTCGCGAGGAGCGCGAACACGCTGGGTGCGGCGGCTTTGAGCGCCCCGAGCGCCGAGGGCGCCAGCTTGGTGACCAGATTGCTGATCTCGGCCAGCGTAAGCGCGACAGCCGCCATGGAGTCCGGGTTCTTCTGCAGGTGGGCGATGGTCGCAGTGGCCGTGTGCTGCATGCAGTCGGCCTCCTCGAGGAGCCACTGCGCGCGGGTGACGAGACCGTTCAATTCGGGGTCCTCGATGCGTTGGAGTTGGCCATGTTGGTGTGGGACCAGCTCGCCCTGGCGGGGCTGCTGCTGCTGCTGCTGTTCCAGTGCGGAAGGGTGAAACTCGCCGTAGGCCAGATCCATATCCACATGGGAGGGGTGGTCGGACCGGGAGCGGATCGGAACCGGCCGTTCCATCTCCCGCACGCCCACATCGTGGTGTGTGTGTCGTCGCACCATTTCTCGGGGCTGGTCGTAGTAGTCGTCGGCTTCGTAGTCTTCCTCGTACAGGGACCCACCGCGAGGGTGATGGCTGCGACTGCGGCCCGAGTAGTGTCGCGAATGACTCCGCCGTGATGATGCAACGGACGGCGCCGCGTCGTACTGATAGTGTTGGTCACCCCCGTCAATGTGGTAGTTCTGTAACGCCTTCAGGGCTTCCCTCTCCGCGATCTTGGCATTCCGCTCGGACTGCACTTGGGCTTTGCGTTCCCGATAGGCATTCTTGGCTTGGCTGAATACCCCGAAGAGGTGTTTACTCTGTGACCCCGCAGGGGAAGAGGTCAGTCCCTTATCGCGATTGATTGTGGAGAAGCAAGCGCAGACGTACCGTGCTAACCACCTTCCCGGACTTATCAATCACCGCGATGGTCTCGCCCAACGGCGCCATGGTTGGGAGGGTGCTTCAACTCCGGGACTTTTGTGTCAAGTTGAATGGGTTTCCAGTACGACTGGATTGAGTCGATGAAGAAGCAACTTCCAGTTCGACATTCAATTCTGGTCCAAATCTCCAACTTTTAAGGATGGGGGGAAATTCCGGCAAAAAGGGGCGGGGAAATGGACGTCAGACGAGCGGTGTAGCGCAAGACTAGTTGATAGTGTCTTGATAGTTGGGATCCTCAGTGGGGGGGGGGATTTCTTTGGCCCCGATCTTGGCTTGGATTGTGGGTATCACTGAGGGCACTGAGCTGGGTTAGGGTGAGGTAGGAGTGGTGTCGGGTTTGATTATATGGTAGCAGGAATAGTTGCTAGGTAGTGGTGAATGGCGAGGTATACCTCCGATGGCAAAACATCAACAAAGACAGCTGAATCTGCACAGGCCAGTCCAGCTGGTGTGAGGGGGGATGGGATGATGATCACGAGCAACGGCAAAGCCCTCGCAGACCCGATAAGCGGCGGCAAGCGGCGGGATCGAAATGCAGTCTAAGGCGCTAGGAGGTAGGACGGAGCAAACGGGAAATCCACGCCACCCAAACGAGTTATTTCGCGACCGATAGGGACCGATAGGCAGAGCAAAGCAGAGATACTCAAGGCAACCATATAGGAGAATTGAACAGGATTACAGAAAAGTGAATCCGAGGGGGCTGGGACGGAATTTAAAATCATAGGACGCAATGACCCCAAGCGGCGCCTAGGGGATGGGCATAAAGCAACGAACGGGAGCAGCGATCACCGCATCCCTCCACCCGGCGGTTGGGTGTCGATGAAGCCAAGAGCAAGGCAGCAGGCGGGTTGCAAAATAGGCTTGAGTGGCTGCATGGATCGCTGGGGGGAGAGTGTTGTCGGTGTTGTCACTGCCTAAGGTTGACTGACGTGTGGATGGAGAAAATCAGGGCCATGTCATCCGGAGTGTCAGTGCTGTGGCTCCATCCGAGGTTAATTGTACCGGTACCTGACGTGGAGGGGAGTTTGCTGTCTGCCCGAAGTACCACGTTGTACTGGACTATTCAAAGTGTACTGACGTCTGGACATGGTGGATGGATTGTGACCGATGGGTGAGATCAATGGATTATGGATTCAACAAGTGTATCCTGAACAACCTGCTTCTCTACTCAACTCCACTGTTACTGCTTTCTCGATGCTGAGAAATTCCCTGTTCCATGATGGAGAAGCTGGGAAGTGATGCGACCGGACTAGGGAGGGCTAAGAGCGCTAGACAGGGACTAGAAGGAAGAATTTCGTCGCCTTGCGAACCCCTCTTCTAGCTTCCTGCCTGAGGGCCAAGTCAGAATGGCGGTGATGCACTGGCCGCCCATTGGTCCGCTCACCCACCGCCACAGTGGCTGAGATCAACCCGTGGCAGTGTCAGCTTCTGCACGGTTGGCCTGTCGGCATCGCCGCACCTGCGCTTCTATGCAGTGGTAGATCCTGGCAGGCTACTATAGCAATTGCCTACCAAGGTGCGAGGACGTGGAGTGTAATTTTAATCAACGCTGGGAAGTGACTGAGCGCAGAAGGATATATATCTGTACTGTCGCTAACTTGGCATAGACCAAAAGCAAAAGTTAGAGGAGGGCACCGTCGCCGGGTTGCGCAAGAATGAAAAGGAACGAATCGCGCGGAAGAATTTCCTGACCCCACTGGAAACTGGAAGGCATTTCACCGCCTCCCTAAGATAGATTTACTGCCATGCTGCCTGAGGCCTATAATGTCGATGAGGCTGGCGGCGCAGTCCCGACCACCGGGGGTCTTCACACCAAGCCCCTCTTCACTTTCGCTGCAATCGGTGCTCTTATCCTACTTCTACATAATCGTGGTGACGAGATGGTGGTATTATGATGAGTGGCTGCGCTGGACCCGAAGTTGTTGGAGAACCCGTGTCGTCATGGGTCTCTACCCCTGGAAGACATATATGTTGATCGAGGACACTATCATCTAACAGGTCAACTTAAAAAACAAGCCAAAAGACAACTTCCAAACATATACGGAACGAATAAGTAACTAAGCGCACACAAGTATATCAACATGATGCTGAAATGAGTATTGATATCCTCCTAGCTGTAGCAGAAAGATAGTACAGTACAACAGCCAAAGCGCACCGCGGGAGCCGGCGACACTCGCCCGGGGACATACAGTACAGCCCCGGCGTCGCAAGAATCACACTTCGAAGCTGTTTTTTTCCTTACCGCCTTCCTGGACAAGACTTACTGCCACCCGCTCTCTTGGGGGGCCTTGGGCAGCAATGATCATTCGCATGTAGTAGGTATTAATAATGTCAGCAAGCCTGGGGAAGTTCCCACCACTGTACGATCACCTGGAATTGTTCGTCATCTACGGAGTACTTAGTAGCTCGTGGGTTTGTAACGAACCCCCCTCTCACTTTTTGATTTCTATGTGATGCTCCCGCCCCTCCCTGGGAGGTGATCGTGGGTGATCAGCCCGCCCACTCAGATCCCCGACCAGCGAAGGGAACCGATGTCCGATCGGAAATATTGCGATCAGATAAGAAAGGTGTCAGAAGGAGCGCATCATTACTATTTATATAAATCGAATCCAAGACACCATCCTCAACCCAATTCGGGACCACACGACGGATCACACAGTAACACA